TGTGAATATAACATAAATCTGTATTAATCATTATTCTCCAACGTTGGAAACTTTTATTACTTAGTGATACACTACCCACAGCCACAGAAATCTAAAAATATAAATAATAATTGCGCAATCGTGTAAATCAACAGCCTTGCGATAGATTATATAAATGTACATTTCGTTCCACTAATACGCAGCAATAAGAAAAACGTGTTAACAATTTATTACGACTCTACGCTGTACGTGTTACAATTACATATCGCGCTATTTATTTTGCTAGATTCAGGCGTGAATTATAAACTCTTTAAGAAGTTGTAAAAATTACTTTCCAATCCAAATTACAGGAAGGTAACAACACCGAAAGTAAACACCATTGAAAGTAAACATATAGTAATTTTTAGACTCAAAAAACTTCTGTTTCGGCAATGTTTCAATTAAAATCAAATTTTTAATCAATTAATGTTTATGGAAATTAAATCTCAAATAAAAAATGCAGATTGGAATTTTAAATAAGAAACTTGGTTGTTGATTTTTTTACAAATTAAATCATGATGAATTTTAATGCAACATCTTTTATTATTACAACCTCACAAAACGCTGATAAATTTATCGTGTAATTCTGACAATTATCAATTTTCTACCCTTCATTAAATTTTCATCTTGGAAGTACTAAATTATGTTTAACATAGGTACTGATGTTTCTAAGAAAATGAGAAAATGCATCATCACAAGAGAAACTCACAAAGTCAATAACAATTTGTGAATAAGCTAGCAGAGGTTTAAAAACAGTAATGTATTTGTGGGATGCGTTGTGATGTTCGCCGAAAAAATAACCGCAACTCGACATGATTTACGATTGTTTGACGACAACGACTAAAGCCGACGACGTTGCGCGGCACTTATATAGCTTTTGTAAAAGTGCGAATTGCTAATGTTGTTAATGAACAGCGCGACGAAGCGCATCCTCGACACAACTGCGGGTAGAATCATCGAAAAATGTTATTTGTAAGCCAGTGACCTTAAATTGCACTGCAGGCGCATCTGAAGAGTGAAGAGGTTGCGAAGTGAAATGTACAATCTGTAAAATTTCATATGTTTGAATGTCTAAACATGTTAAAAGTAAAATGCATCGTGCATAATGATAAATGCAAGAAGGTAATATCTAACTTTCTCACAAATACGATGGAAACTTAGCTTTATTGGCTTTGGCACACGTCGTTAATGCGCTTTTTTCTCTGTAAGATACTTTAGGTTTGTTGAAAGTAAAAAGTAAAAAAAATACATGTTTAAAACTCATGTAACATAATTTTGTTCATTTAGCCCTTGCAAAATAATTTCATTTTGTTTTCCACGGATACTTCTGAAATTTGTTGCAACCAACCATTTGGACATTATTTAATTATATTACAAGCAGGAATCTAGTTCATTTCTTTACATTTTTATTAAAATTATTTAAAATTTGATTACAATTGCGTAATTATTTTACGATTTTCCAGCAGAAGTTTAATTAAACGCAACTCTTTCACTACTGAAAAGCTATTATTTTATAATTTTATTGCAAAAAACTGTTTTTTTTTTCTTAAATTTATTATCCCGTTTCTTGTAAACGGTGTCTCAAGCAATTCATTACTCTCTCTAACGTTAATAACGTTGATTAATTCGCGGTTTTATTCAATTCGCTCGTTTTATTCCCAAGGCTGTTTGCCAACTGCAGGCGGCACTGCAGTCAACAACACAAGTCTTAGGCAAGCACAAGCAAAAGCCTCGGCGATCGAGTGGGTTATTGTGCGCGAAACTAAACAGAAGCCGTATCGAACGGTTTGTCGCCTTGTGCATATTACAGGTATCACATAGCATTACCACTCGCTGAACGCATGCGAATGCATTCCAATAGATACACGCGCAGTAATCGAAGTGCAGATACCGTTCAGCGTTGAAAGTTTTACTTTCAATAGTCTGCGAGCACTAGCGGCAGTGTACAGAAGGAACCGAAAGCATGTAACCGGCCAAAGCAACCAGCCGGTTATTGTTACATATTATATGAATTGTAATGGTGATTAAATTTCTTACATACCTGTGTGTCTTAATCAAATCAAATGCTTCACCAAGCCGCCGAGATTACGGATAACATTGTTCGCAACCGGTTGGCGACCATTGAATACATTCTTTAAATCGATATTTCATTATTTATTATCTATTGCGCGTAATTGTAACAGTTTTCGTTTAATTATGTTTGTACAGCGCATTTGTGCGGTTTTTATAAACACCCATGCAATTTACAGTATCGCGCGCTATTTAAAGATTTCTGTATAAACAGATATCTTCTGTTGCGATTGTTATGAACTGCGTAACCACAAACGTTTTAAAGGTTTTTTAATATAGTCCGACCGAAACTGGATTTTAGCCGAAACCGAAATTTCGGCCCTGCAATCAGTTTCGGCCGAAACCGAAACCGAAACTAATTTACATAAACATAATTTTCTACTTTTACCTACACATCGCCAGTTTTTCCACGTTTTTTAGATACATAATCCATTTCGGGAGTAAAGTCCTCGTTTAGTCACTTGATACTTAATATAGTATTAATATGAGTGAACTAAGATGGCAATTAACGACCGCCATTAGCCGCGAAGTTAGCCGAGCGACGCACGACAATTCACGAAAAGTGAGTTTCGGTGCGGCCGAAAATTTCGGCCATTTTTGGCCGAAACCGAAACTGAAGCCGAAACTCGAATTCTTGGCCGAAACTGGCCGAAACCGAAACCGAAATTTCGGTCGGTCTCTAGTTTTTAAGTTAATTGATTGGAAACTCACAGGAAAGATGAGAATAACGATGTTCGGTAATTCTCACATGATTTTAAGAAAAAAATCAGTAAAAGTAAACAAATTTAATTATAGCCTTTCTCTTGAGTAAAGAATCAAAAAACTGAAAGTGTGGACAACAGTAATTTAACGCCCAAATCGTATTATTGCATATATAATTCCTTAATTCACTTTATGACCCATAATATTATTTAGTGTATGTTTGGTTGCGGAAACTGAAAACTTTTGAAGAAAGTGAGGTTAACACAATCGTATAATTTTCATTACTAGAATACTGATTGAAAACTGAAAATTAGATAATATTAATTTTAATAAGTCTATGAAAAGTGTAAATATATCTGTCTAAATAATTAAATTTATTATTCTTGTTTTCGCAGATTGTAGCTGTTGGTGCAAATTGTTATGCTATTGTTGGTTATTCAATTGTGCTGCGAGATTTAAACTTTCCCACCCACAGCAGACACTTCCAAGAAAGCTATTAGGGCGAAATTCGCCGGAATAACACAGAGTTGAGGAATTTTGAAACATTTACGTGCCGTCGTTAGGATTCGTTGGGGTTAGATATTACCAATGCATAACCTGTTATTAATTTTCAGGTAGGTAGAAATTTTGCGCAAATGTGTGTACAAATCGTTGTATTTTCTAAATGTATGAATTATATATCTACGAATGCACTACCAAAAATGTTTTAAATTTTGCTTGATTAAATCTGATTTTGACATGATACCAAACATCGCAGTCCCAAAAAGTATAAAAAGTTAAATTCCATTTCATTCTTCTTCATCTCAAGATATGCCCTTGCAATTTATGAGTCACCACCATGAAACCAAGAAAGAAATAAAAGTTTGAAACTTCTCATAATATTTTGTCGAAATTCTTTACCAACGATGCTTTAGTTTGAATACTTAGAAAATCAGAATATTTTAATTTTCATTATAATAATCTTACCTTATTAGATGGTCTTCTTGATTCCTGTTGTTCTTAACTCTTAATAAACACAACAAACATTTGTAATTGTCCGCTCGAGCACTTCAACGCACCGAACTGATTACTTATTTCATTCACACTCATCCACAAATTCGTCGCGCGGAAACGAGCAATGTTTCAAGAAGTCCAATCACGTCGAAAGTAAAATGAATGACTGATGACGAAAGCATCCAAAGATCACTCACCTGCAAAACAGAGTGTAATCAAATTTATTATCCCAACACTTGGACTAAGTCAGTTAAGAATTTAATTTAATCACACTCGGATGTATTAATCGTAAAAAATATTAATATTTAAAAGAATCGTCATAAAATTCATGCCGATATTAGAATATTTACCTAAGTCTTAATGATGCTTAAGCTGCTAGACTAATATTAAATGTTTGTAATATTACTCATACTAACGAGTTAATTTCAAAGAAATGTCGTTAAAATTTACTTAAGTCATTTATTTTAATAAAATTACTTACATTATTCGTGCATATAATTCCAATGAAAAATCACAACACGAATATTTAACAGGTTAACTGGTTAATTGGCAAACTCAATATTCGCGTATGGAGAAACGATTGTGCGGAGGACAATATATTCGGCGGTGCTCTGATGGACGCCGTTCGCAGACTGGCTTAAGCTAAGTTAGCGCGACTTTGGCGCTCGTTGGTCGCACCGGGCGGCAATGGTGTGGGCATATACACATACAAACGCGCACATGAGAAGAACGTTGAGTTGGAACACAACCACCACCACCAGGCAGGTAGTTGGGTTCACCTGTTTTTCTAGACTCGAGAAGCAAGAACAGCAGCAAAAGACTTAGTAGTGGTGGGGAGAAGGGTTTTTCAAACAAAATGCATCAGTTACACATGCTTGGCTAGAAGCTTTTGAATGAGTGCGTAGGTGATATTTCCGACTTGAATATTCCAAAAGATTTTTTTATTCTAAGTGGAAAGATTTGACTTAAGTTCGAGTGACGTCAGTGCATTGCTGAATTGTGACTAATTTTTGAGATGGGTAGATTTTTTTAATGTTTTGAAAAGTCCCGCTTACAGTTTTTTACAGATTTTCTAGATTTTCGAGGTCATTCATTAGTTATAACAAATTTTATGTAATATTCCTAAGTACAGGTTGTAATTCAAAGAAAATCAATTAATTAATGAATTATTGGAAAATGCTCTGGTAAATCCAAAATAAATAATCAAACAAATTCGCAAAATATAAAAAATTTATTGTTGCATGCGTCTTTTTTAAATAAAAATATAATAATGTATAAGCAGCAGTGTATAAGTTATAATTTTAATAATTAACATTAAGCTACTGAAATGAAATATAGGTTTACATTTCCTGTTTCTGTTTCTTATCTTACACCCAAGCGGTTAACAAGTGTAACATTTTCAACGGTTTTCTGATTCACCTTTGATTTGTTCCGTGCACCATCAACTAAAATCTTTCTACCTGATGGATTATTATTGAATTGTATATAATAAAACTTCTGAAAGTTCAATGGAAGCTAACTGATCTTACTTTTTATGATCATTTGTTTCGCTTTTCAGTGACCCAAACGACAACATTCATCCATTGTCAGTTTGACTGTTTAAACTTCCGGTTGTTCATCACTGCACTATCACAATTGTATGTAGGTAATCGCGAGCATTGATTTTTCTCTGTACTCTCGACCTGTGTCATTGTTGCTCTGGCGTCGCTTTTGCGTCTGAATATACTCGGAATGTCGAACGTGAAATTCCGATCCGCGTGCCTCTCTCAGACTCCAATAAACAGGTGAACAGGTGATTTCTGTTGCCTACACACCCATAGATCTAACGCTTTCACGCACATCAGTATGTAAAAAAATATTATAATATATGCCTACTGATTATTTGTGAGTTGAGGGAGACAATGTTGATTTTGGAATTAATCTTTTTTCTACGTGTAAATTATACATGTATGTGAATGTGCGTGCTGTGCGTTGACCTAATTTAGGATACAACGAGTTTGTAACCGAATGCACGAGCGTGGTTTGTGTAACGGCAGGAAGGATGATGCGAAATTGCCTGAAATGCCGCCGACATTTTTCGGCGCACGCGAAAGAATGCGCCACTTTGGTGCATGGTTTGTCTGTGTCTCAGACATGCGTGCGTCTTGCACATTTCGTTAATTTATGATGGCTCCTGATGGCAACTTTCCCTTTGTGTGTTGGGTGCATATATTATCAAGTTAAAAATTTTGTTCAATTAGAGGTTGGTTTAGTAAATATTTACCACAATTTATAGCTAAAGAAAGACTGGACCCATTTTTTTGATGATCAAGAAGTTCTTTACTCACAGTTTTGGCCGTAAGTGCTAAAATACAACTTTTTGGGTCTGACAACCATGAAAAAACTGGCAATTTTAATAAATATATTTACATATTAAACTAAAAAAATATTAATTTTTGGCACTTAAATTTTAGTTACACTTGTCCTTGACAAATGATATCCCTAATTCTCCACCATCAACAAAAATTAATGCTCCGTTTAGTTTCATTCATAATTCTGCTATATACATTTATCGTCTTTAGGATTCTTCTTTCTTGTAGCTTTGTATTATTTAACATTTTCATGGTGTGTTGATCACTTGGTAACCCGGTAACCTTGTGCAAGTTTCCTTCGCTACAATTAATAAAAAATAAAAATAATTTAAATATTAGCTTGGCAGACACCAGCACTCGCGTGTTCGATCTTATCTTTCCGGTCTGGCGTGAGCAAGGCAGGAAGCGATCAGAAGAAGGGTCCTCCCTCTTTCCTGTCTTCTGTTTGCTGTCGTCACTGCACAAAGGAAGAAGGTACGATGATAATTGTTTTTTAACTTGTCCGTGAACATGGCGCAGGTGTCTTAAAATTATCGGTGAAGTTATAAGTTGACAATATTTTCACAACAAGAACATAGTTGTGAATTTTTTACACTTAAAACTACATATGTCATAAAATATATACCAAATTTCTTTTCAATTGAAATTGTATATGAACTGAGATGGAAGTACAACTAACTGCACTCGCCTTGTTTAAATTTTTATGTTACTTTGAAATAACGAATATTTTTGTGGTTTCCACAATTAAAATTCAATAATTATATGTACAATTATTTAAAATTATAGGTAATTTAATTACATTTTGTTTCATTGTTTAAATATAACTATGAATTACATATTCTACGAAGACAAATTATATATACAATCTTCCATATTTCCATTCAGGGAAATAAAATGTATATTCGTCTATGGTTACAGGCAACCAAGTATACACTGAGTAGTAATAACAGTTGTCTATATTAGAGACCAGTGTTTGATAAATTTCTGTTGGCCTGAGAGTTAAGTTCTAAGTGACGAACAGTAGATGGCAAAACGTTAGTTTTGCCGTTTTCTGCTGTTGTCCAACATTTGACAGCTCGAACAGCTGAAGTTGCTGTGCATCACTGTTCTCGCCAAGATCGCCACTCGTTGAGCACTGTTCAGTGCCGTTTTCGTCCGCATAACAGAAATCGGGGCCGTAGTGCCGCAGTATTCGCCGCGTGCGTTACCAAGCGAAGAAAGTATACACGACGACGATGCAAGAAAAAGAAAGTGTGGAGAGCGGCCGCGAGGCAACAACGTACTAGGACTGTGCGCCCGTCGATTGTTTCTCGAGAGCGGGGCCCAGCCGCTCGCTTCTTGCGCGATTGCCCGAGGTGCCCGTGCGCCCACCGCCAGCCGACTATCGGAAAAGCGCCAGCCGCGTCGAGAAACGAGAGAATCTCATACACGAACACCGTTGTATTTATCACCAGGAAGCAACAACGACGTCCATCAAAGTGTAGATCGTCGAAAAAAAACAAAACAGGACGCCGATCGCCATCGCGGTGTAAAGTGACCCTGAGGAGCGAGGAGAATCCGAGCGCTTCCTTCGTTCTCGCGTCGTGTATGCGAATGTAGGCCCCCGAAATCGCCGAAAATCGCTACGATACAAAATCGCTGATTGTCGCGACTCGCCCGCGGAACGTCCCTCTGCTTGTGTGTGCGTGCGTGTGTGCAACGCTCGTCGCTTGTTTCGAGTGGTGAGAAACGGTGGCGAAACAGCAATCGCGCGAGCGAATCGCACAAAAGGATCGTCGCCTGTGCGCGACGTCGACGCCGTCATCACAGCCGCTAGCAGGAGGCTATTCGAGTAATTCGTGTCCGCACACGTCCGAACGACGTTCATTGTGTTTGTGCGCGCTTTGCGTGAGTGAGTAAAAAGGAGAGCACGACGATGGTCCCGATTGTCGCAAGTAACTTGCGCGCGGAGGACCGCCGTCGATGATATCCACGAATAATGAGAACTGATTGAGTTCGGTGGTCGCGATCCGAGATATCTTCTCCGCACGCGAGTTTTATGTGTTCGGAGTGCCCCTGGCCGAGAGCGCAAATCGTTTTCCGATCGGTGCGGAACAGCATTCGAGATCGTCCCGTCCGGCTGAGCAGGGCGCTGGAAGCGGCGCGCCGCTATCTCCTGCACACGGTGTACTCGTCAGCGAGCAACGGCGCCAAGATGATGAAAAACGGCTCGATGACCCGCGGAAAGGAGGGCAAGATGAGGATCCGTGCCTTTCCCGTGAGTATCTTTTGTTGTTTGCGCATGCGTCATCAATTTCACTTTTTACACGCGCTGTCTGTGCATCAATTTCACTCGTTATTTTTTGGGGACTTTTAAGCAGGTAATCACTGAGAGTGTCGTTTGGAGGAGACGAACACAACTCTGCTAACTATTCTAGTCAATGTCAATCGTCATGATATGTGACTACTATGTGTGTAGTCGAGTACGGATGGAAACGTGTTTGTTGTTATGCATTGTCATGCATTACTTAAGTTTAGTAACGTGTTTCTACACATACTAAGTAGCATGCGAGATTATTTTTTTTATTTTTTGTCATTATATCGACTAAATATGGCTAGCCTATATTACAATGTTTAACACCTTAAAATAATCTGATTGGAAATTGATACAGAAACAATAATAGCTCACAATATCCCTCAATGTATTAAATTCAAATGCTATTTCAACGCCTCGATTTCCAAAATCTATTTTTTTACTTAATCAGCCCGTATACATATTGATAAGGATAAATTGCACAAATGTACAATTTTATTTAAATTATTATTGCAAATGGTATATTTCTCAATCATTGTTTCGGTTCTAACTTCGTCATCTGTGATGAGTACCTATATCATGAATAAGTGTAATTTGTTACACTTACTGAAAAAGGTTTAATGTTTAGTTGTACACTTTGTAATATCAGTTGAATTAGATTTATCGGACATGCATGATATTCTTGGAAAAATAATCATATTAATAAATGCTCAATCAAGTCTTTGTGCTATGATACGGCTCATCGCATTTTATTTTATATCGTGCATTGTATATTGTACAATATAGTTTGATTGTTTTTATGTGACACCTGTATTACATCCATATAGTATTCTTATATACTTATGACCCTCGTTGCAATATAAACAATACATTTGGATACACCACCTTTTATAACGTGTTGTTTTTCGGTTCATAAATTTAAAATGTTATTATAAATTGTATGTTACACTTCTTGGGGTTAGTTTACATAGGCTATTAGAGAATTATCATAAATATAGTTTTATATCTTGACATGGATTTGTTTAAATTATGACTTTTTTATGATTTTATAAAATTTTTGACAGTGCATATTCCAATACGAGTAAGAGTATCTCCACAATATAAATATTAGTTTTGTCAACGGGCTAGCTTATACGAACAGGTTGATTAGAAGCTTTATGTAATATTCTGCATTATTGCAAATGTAATTTGCGATTTGTACTAATCAAGAGTCCACTGATTTTTGAATAATGTCAATTTGTCTGTCTGTCACATTATACCGCACAAAATTCCCAGTTTAAACATTAAATATACACCAACACCATTCAAACCAGCAAACGCACTTTTACATCTTTTGCAATCCATTTCATATACACAGTTTAACATCGGTTTCGTGGCGTTGCCTGTCGCAGTGCACTCCGGGAACCAATGAGCCTGCTTAAATGTTCAAGCCGCGTCATATGAATGCGAATAATCCGTCCTCTTCCGGGGGCGGTCGCGGCGGACATGTAGGCAGTATCAATGGCGGGTGGAATGCACCAGGCGATGTAATAGTAATATACAGTCCAATAAAACAAACGAATGCTTATTATATAAACGATAAGTCGTGTTATTTCATGTGCGAGGGGTTTTCAATGGAATCGGGTTTCTTGCAGATGACTATGGATGAGAAATACGTGGACAGTATATGGGCGCACTTGAAGAACGCCATCCAGGAGATTCAGAAGAAGAATAACTCGGGCCTCAGCTTTGAAGAGCTGTATCGCAATGCATACACCATGGTGTTGCACAAGCACGGCGAACGGCTATACGTGGGGCTCAAGGATGTTGTCACACAGCACCTGGAGACGGTGCGCAAGGAGGTCCGCGAGTCGCTCAACAACAACTTCCTTATGACGCTGAACGCCGCGTGGACAGACCATCAGACATCGATGGTGATGATACGCGACATTCTCATGTACATGGACCGCGTCTACGTACAGCAGAACGATGTAGATAACGTTTACAACTTAGGACTTATTATATTCAGGGATCAGGTATGTGTGCTGGTCAAAATTTTATAAAGATTAGTAAGTAAATATTTGTTCGCAGGTTGTTAGGTTCGATTGTATCCGCGATCACTTGAAGGACACTCTTCTCAATATGGTGATGCGCGAAAGAAAGGGTGAGAAAGTCGATAGAATCTCAATCAAAAACGCCTGCCAAATGCTAATGGTGCTCGGCATCAATAAGCGAACGATATATGAGGAAGATTTTGAGGCGCCTTTCCTCCAGCAGTCCGCTGAATTCTACAAGGTTGAAAGCCAGAAGTTCCTCGCCGAAAACAGCGCCTCGGTGTACATAAAGAAGGTGGAGGCGCGTATCAACGAGGAATCGGAACGCGCAAAGCACTATCTGGACGATTCCACCGAGAAGAATATCGTAGAAGTTGTCGAAAAAGAGTTGATCAAGGAACACATGAAAACGATTGTCGAAATGGAGAACTCGGGAGTGGTACACATGCTGAAAAATCAGAAGACAGAGCATCTAGCGTGCATGTACAAGCTCTTCAGTCGTGTTATCGATGGTCTCAAGACAATGGCCGATTGCGTCTCACACTATTTGCGTGAGCAGGGCAAAGCGCTCGTCCAAGAGGAGGAGCATCAAGTATCAACCAATGCTATTACGTTTGTGCAATCACTTTTAGATCTTAAAGACAGGTCAGGACATTATTCAAATTGAGGAACAAATTATTAAGTTTTTAATGTTACAGGTTTGATCACTTCCTAGTAAATTCATTTTCCAATGACAAAATATTCAAGCAAATGATAGCGTCGGACTTCGAACACTTCCTCAACTTGAATCCGAAGAGTCCCGAATATTTATCGCTCTTCATCGACGATAAACTAAAGAAGGGCGTAAAGGGCATGTCCGAGCAGGAAATTGAATTAGTGTTGGACAAGTCGATGGTTTTATTCAGATTCCTACAGGAAAAGGACGTCTTTGAGCGTTACTACAAGCAGCATTTGGCCAAACGTTTGTTGCTGAACAAGAGTGTCAGCGACGATTGGGAAAAGAACATGATCTCAAAACTAAAAGTAAGTCATTGTATAATTAATTTATTCCATCATGCTAAGGTGTTATTCACTTGGGTTTCTATCACTTCAGACGGAATGCGGTTGTCAATTCACGTCGAAGTTGGAGGGTATGTTCAAGGACATGACTGTATCGAACACGATAATGGACGAATTTAAGGAGCACGTCCTCAAGAACGAAACATATTTGGGGGGTGTCGATTTGTTCATGCGTGTTCTGACTACGGGCTTTTGGCCCACACAGAGCGCGACGCCCAAGTGCCACATACCAGCCACACCATTGGCAGCCTTCGAATCCTTCCGTAGGCAAGTATTACACGACGAAACTATTGAGAATAATTAACAGAACTTGTTAATTACCAATTAGCTTCTCTATTTATTGTCTGAATTATTATTATTTTAAACTGAGTTTCCCATTCTAAATAGTTTTGCTGGCGGTGTTTCAGGTTTTATTTAGGTAAACATAGCGGTAGACAGTTAACATTGCAGCCGCAATTAGGCAACGCGGACCTCAACGCCATTTTCTACGGCCCGAAGAAGGACGACAGCGACAAGGACGGCGCATGCTCGTCCTCAACGTCGATTGTAGGATCGCGCGCTGGCCCACGTAAACACATTATCCAGGTGTCCACATACCAAATGGTGGTGTTGATGCTGTTCAATAACCATGACAAGCTCACGTATGAGGAGATCCAAAACGAGACGGACATCCCAGAACGCGACCTCATCCGCGCGCTTCAGTCGCTTGCGATGGGCAAAGCGACACAACGCATCCTCCTCAAGAACCCTAAGACTAAGGAGATCGAGCCGACGCATGAATTCCTTGTAAATGACTCATTTACTTCTAAGTTACATCGTGTTAAAATCCAGACAGTAGCGGCGAAGGGTGAGAGCGAACCAGAGCGTCGCGAGACGCGAAACAAAGTCGACGAGGACCGCAAGCACGAAATCGAGGCAGCAATTGTGCGCATTATGAAGTCACGCAAGCGCATGCCGCACAATCTCCTCATCACCGAAGTCACCGAGCAGCTGAAGAGCCGCTTCCTGCCGTCGCCGGTGATAATCAAAAAACGCATTGAGGGCCTCATCGAGCGTGAGTACCTAGCGCGCACGCCCGAGGACAGGAAAATGTACACGTACGTCGCCTAAGATGGCGGCACGCGCGGCAGTGAGTGGATGACAGGACGGCAATGTGCATAACACGCTAACAGAGCTAAGAAACTAGTTTTAGAAAACGTAAAATTTCTACAAGATCTTAAACGCGAGGAATTTAAAAACGAAATGCCATCTATCCTGTAGACAACCAAAACTTTCGACAGATGTGATTAATACTTTGATTGCAACGCGGCATTACTATTGTTTCCTTACTTTGTCAACTTCCATACATCAATCGAGACCATAAACCATTAACGAAAAGGAAATTTTGTTTGGATTACTTGAAGAGTTATGTTAATGTAACTTAGCGTGTTATTTTTGTACGAGCATAACTCTATGCGACACAGTTACTAGTGTGTTTGAACAGCAACAAATAAATTTTGCGGATCGACATGAAACCTCATCTACTCTTTGTCTACGTCAATTTGTTTGCAATTGATTGTTTAATAACTTGGAATTATTTTAGATTTATTTTGCAATACCACACCAATAATTTTTAATATAAGTTAATGATAGTCATGGTCGTACTTGCGTGCATCATGCATCTCGATAAATGATCACAGTTTAATTGAATATTATATAAATATCTCTCTAATATTTAGAATATACAAGAAATTGTTTCATTATTTTGTCAAATTCTTGTCATCAATCAACTGGAACAGAATTCTAATCGCAGAATGACAAATTAGAGGAGAGGATGTTTTATGTTAGCTGCTATGTCTGATCGCAATCAAGTAGTGTCATGAATTCCTAACTTTTAAAAATTAATTTCATAAATTTGAATATCCCAGCAGTTTGGATAGTTAATGTGCAGCTTCTTATTTCAAACAATTGAAACATTTTATACGCAAATGAATCAAAAGCTAAAAATTGAAATGTATCTCTCTCGTCGCGCACAACTGTATTTTTTACAAGTTTATCACGAAATTCAATTGATAGAGCGGGTCAACTGATATTCACTTCGTTGTTTGCGCATCGATCTTCACGCTGGACACATGTTGGACGCCCCATGCCGAACCGATTCAAATTGTTAAACATCAATATGAACATTTTTTTATACGTATAAGTAGCTAACATAAAATATAATTCAAATAAAAATAAACTACGAAAGATAATGATATTACAGAATGTTCTTTATCTTGTAAGGATTGTAAATATTAATGATACTTGTAATTGCTACAATTGAAGAAGATTTATGATAGCGAGGTGGAAATCGTGGGAAGCGATCCGAAAGAATTCGACATCTAATACTATTAGACGACTATGATAATGATGATTATGATTATGGAATGAAAGTTCAATTTATAACAAATGTAAAATATTTCAACACTTTTAAAGCAGCTCAGACCGACTCTTGTTTGTTTCGCTACTCCTTGAATACTTGAACCCGTTACTTTAGTGAATTTTAATTCAGTGAAATCATTTGAGAAAATATATAAATACATTCATATCAATTTTAAGTGTTCACAAATTCTATCCTCACATTAACTTTTAAAATTTGGTTTTGCATTCTCAATTTGTTTTAAAATAGGAAGTAAGTTTGGTTGCCTGCAGTACTTATATTGACAATTATAATTAAATAATTGTAATAATTTTACATTAGAATTTATGGAATTTATGGACTTATTTTATGCGTTTTAGTAATATTCGTAAACTTGGTTGCCTATATTAAGTATTAGTATTTACTATTTCAAAGTAAGGTTAACATAGCCCAAGTAGTCGGCATTACAAACAAATGAAACATGTATTTAAAACTCATCACTTATTTTACATTGGTTTTTTGTATAAACAATAGCAAAGCTCATGAATTAGACACAAATGGCTACATTTTATACTGTCCATGCATGGGTAAGCAAGTCAATAAAATAACAGACACTTATTCATTATATTAAATTTTAGGTAGATTTGGGAACCAAGCAGATCACTTTCTTGGTGCTTTAGGATTTGCTCAAGGATTAAATCGTACTTTAGTGCTTCCACCTTGGGTGGAATACAGATATGGTGAACCTAAATCAATTCAAGTGCCTTTTGATACATACTTCAAGGTAGAACCCTTGAGAGAATTTCATAAAGTAATTACAATGGAAGAATTTATGAGAGATATTGCTCCTATTGAATGGCCTCTTAATGAAAGAATATCATTTTGTTATACTAATAGAGGTAGTCAGTTATTATTGTTTAATTTAATACAGGTTGGTTTTAATTCCTATCATTTAAGGGGATGATAATAATTGCAATGCAAAGTATGGTAATCCATTTGGTCCATTTTGGGACACATTTGATGTAGATTTTGTTGGTTCAGAGTTTTATGGTCCTCTACATTATGACACCTACAATCATGACATGGCAAGGCAATGGAAAGACAAATATCCACCAAATAAATGGCCGGTTTTGGCCTTCTCTGGTGCCCCTGCAGCCTTTCCAGTGCAAGCAGAAAACCGCCACTTGCATAAATATTTAAAATGGACTGATACATATGAGACGAGAGCAGATGACTTTATTACCAGCATGCCAAAAGGTGCCTTTATTGGTATTCATTTAAGAAATGGAATTGATTGGGTCCGAGCTTGCGAACACATCCCGGAAAGCCCGAATTTATTTGCCGCTGCACAATGTTTAGGTTACCGCAACGAGCATGGCGTGGCCACACCAGACATGTGTCTTCCCACGAAGGAAACAATTCTACGGCAATTGAAACGTGTCATTAAGAAATTACAAACAATCAAGTCGGTTTTCGTTGCGTCGGATAGCAATCATTTGATTAGGGAATTGAAAACTGGACTGGAGCGCATCAAAGTCGACGTATACAAGTATCCGGAAAACAGCCCGCATGTCGATTTGGTGATTTTGGGTAAGGCGCATCACTTTATTGGTAATTGCATTAGCTCGTACAGCGCCTTCGTTAAGCGCGAACGCGATGCTAAGGGATTAACGAGTAGTTTCTGGGCGTTTCCGAGTGAAAAAGACAAAACCAAACGGGCAAACGTCAGTCATCTGGAATTATAGCGTAAGACTGTATTTACCGCACCGATAAGTATTTATTTTTCAGCTTTTGCTTAATATTGTGAATTTGAAACTGTAATCTCAGTATTTTTATATCTATGAAGTATTTTTGATACCAACGTTTACACGAGATAATTTTAAGTTTTTCAAAATGCCGAAACACATTTAATTTAAGTTATTATGTGTGGAAATATGAGCAGTTAGGGTTTATTAGCTATGTGCACAAAGCAATAATTTTACATATCTTCATAATACAACTAAAGCAAAGCACATTAAGTTAATTAGTGATTACAAGAACTAAGATTGAGACAGTAAAATCCCTTTATTGCATCATGTTACTAAGTAATTTTCCATTTTATATACGTCCAATCATACTTCGTCGCCTTTTATTAAAAACACCGTTCATATTTATATACAACGATAATTATTGTAAACATAATGACTAAAACTGAATATCAACCATGATAAAAACATGTGTAATTCAATTGCAAAGCAAATAAGACACATTGTGACTTTAATAATACGCAAATTTACAAACGGAATCCATCTTTCTTTCATTCTTTGCCGATTCTTACCATTCTACGTTCTGATTTCGGATTCTAGTCCAACACCGACGTTTTCACGATGAGTATATTTTCTATGAATTTCACCACATTACGATTGTGTAAGTGCATTGTACTTACCTCACGAAGGCGCCTACAGGGAGATGCATAACTTGATCGGGCATGCCTGCAGAAACAGCAAACATCAACGCTGGAACGTTCGACAATCGGAATTTCGCCGCAGCGGAAATTTCCTGTATAGAATCTAGAATCTGTTCGGCGGTCGGCACTCGTGTGCGTTCGGCAAGGACGCTGCCGCGATTGGCCCGCGTCGAGTCGAAAGTAGGTTGTGACGTCACGCGAAACTATAAGTACAAGTGGACGAGCGCGAATGCGAGCATTTTACTCACTCGTCTCGGAAGTGCCAGTTACCTCGCCGAAGCTAGCGCTCACGACTGCACGCCAAACGAAAGAGATACGTAGTAGAAGCGCGTGGGCACGGTCACAGCAGCCAATCCATTCATACAACGAAAATATCGGATTATCACAACGGCCTGTTCTACGTAGGTGTGTGCGACGTGCGAATATTACCAGTGCTAAATATCACAAACAGTTGAACAACATTTGGATTAATCCCAAAGGACCACACATTGTTTGTTGTTGATACTACGAAGTGAATAGTTAATAAAATGGCCAGCGAAGCACAACGTTTAATCGGCATCTCTCTAACGAAGATCGCGCAATCAAGGACGCATCGAAGTGGTGTGAGCCTACACAAGAATCTACTGATTGCTACCGTGCTTCAAAAAGCGCGCTATATATTCATGGAGGAGGCGTACAACATGGTGCACTATCAGCAGCGTGCAGTAGCGCCAATGCAACTGCACCACCATCAGCAACAAGTGCAAATGCAGCTGCAGGTGCAAATGCAACCGCAGCAGACGCATCCTGTGAACATGCAGCAGCGACATCACCAGCAGGAAGCTGAAGAAGATGACGACCTGGTGGGATTAACAGTGGAGGAAGCTGGAATAGACCAGACCTCACCATTGGAAGATACCACCACAACTTGTAGCACATTGCATGACTATCCTCAATCCGGATGTGCGAAATGTGCTTCCAATCAGAACCAGGGACAACAGCAACCACAACACGAAAAGGACAAGAACAAGGAGAACCAGCCACCCGGGTATCATCCGGAACAACTGACCTACTTGGATTTGGATAAAACGCCGAGCGTATTAAAAGAAAGAAGTTCTAGTAATGCCAGTACCTCTACCACGACCACCAACACCACTACCACGAGTCCAGTTTGTTTAAAACGGCGAAGGGCTGTTAGCGAATGGGAAACTGAAGAAGCAGTGCAGTCTATCCTACCCAAGAGAAGGTGCTCCTCTGTTGAATCAATCGTTACTTCTGATGAGGACGACTCGGTATTTCTGGACAACGCTTCTCAGCTTTCGGAAGCAGTGAGCAAAAATTTAGAGGAAACAAAAACCACCACCAACACTAGTTCCATGGACTCCATCGACAGGATTACATCGCTGGTATCTATATTCAGCTTTGGCATGACGTCGACACCGACCGAGAACACCTCCAACGCGACCTCAGGCAACGGTAAGCTGTCGTCGAACCGATCAGTGAGCACACCGGATCTGTGCAGCTCGCAGGCGAAGGAGGGAGACGCGATACAGCAGCGGCCGTTTCTCGCAATGACCGTTTAGTTGAAATTAAAATTTGAACGAAACTCGATTTGTACATTACTAGTTTAATTAGCGGTAAGTCAACTGTTGAGTTGACATGCGCACAAAACAAAATGAAATCAACACAACCAGACATCAGCCGAAAAAAGACCAGAATCAAATATTTTACATGAACTCATAAACTGTTGAAAATCACTCGCAAACATACTAGGAAGATCTCTTTTATCAAATACGTAAAGCAAATGACAAACAAACGCGTTACAGATGATATGCATGGCTGACATTGCTGATTAGTACGCATTGTCGGATGTTGGCGATTTCACAGGTAGATTTATGGTGCTAATAAGTTAAATCGCAGTATTTATTTTCGCTACCGCACCACATTGTTGAATACGGTTTTCGTTTATATTTTTCAATAACTTCAAACAGACCAAATGTGATATATGTATAAAGGAAATTGATGAACGAATTAAGATGTTAACTATTTTTGTATTTAAAAAGAAACACAACCTAAATCATGTAAAAGAGAGAGAGTGGTACTATTCATTTATTTTTAACACATCGCTGAAGAGCGAAAACCAACATGGCGGATAAACAACCGCAACGTTGTGGTAACCATGACTACCGTGACATTCGTTAGCTTATCATCACATTGCGCAACACATCGTCATCGTAATCACGTGTTTTTCTAGATTACTCACAATTAAACATTTAGAAATGTGAATCACACAGATTTCGTGTGGAAATTTAAATGGTAAAAATTCAACATTCCATCATTATATTTTTAAGTTATGGAAGTCATGGTTACCGCTTCGTAAAGAATTTGTTTATTATCGACAGAAGGAATTGTATTGTAATTTAAAGAATTGATTGATACATTAATACTTAATATTTAATGAATTATTTTTAAATTTTATTCACTGTATATAATTATCATGTAACATGACGATTTTTGTTACGATTCTGTTTTAAGAATCAATGGCCCTTCATTTGTTTTAAGTTTTGTTATTTTCGAGTTTACGTATTTTTGTGTCTTTTATATAATGTAAATAAATGTCTATTGATTTAATTCTGCAAAGATGGAAAATATAAATATTGATTAAATATTTTGATAAAAAAAACTTGAATTGTTTTTCTAATTCACATTTTACGCATTTAATACAAAATATTTATATGTTTTTTAATTTGGTTTGTAGAATATTCATTCTAGTTTCAATCCTGAGCTACAAGTGGTTGATGCACAGGCTCTAACTAAAGAGTTGAAGAGAAAGTTATAATTGAGGCGCCCACAAGTCAGAACTACACACACATTCGAACAACTGCGTCGGTATTACCTGCCGAGAGTCATTCGTTTCGAATATTCAAACTGCCTTGATTTTCAAATGTTTGCAATTCCAATCCTTATCATTCGTGTGAGTTTCTTCTTTCCGTGTGTGTGTTTCAAATCGCAACGTATTTATTTACTGGCGGGAGGAATTGCGCACGCAAATTATAAAAAAGAAACGGCAGCAAAAGTGTGTTGCTGCCAATGGACGCTACGACGCTAGTAAGATATCCGTTCGTGCATGACGACGACGACGAACGATGATGTTCTTACGACACCATTTTACACTACAACTAATAGAACAATGGAAATACAATCCGTGCGAAATGAGAACGCAAAGAGAAACAACAACGAAATTACACGTTCTGCAGTCATAGACTCGATGAAACAGGCACAAACCAAGTACACACTTCCAAGCGTAATTAATAAACGAAGAATGATTCACCACTATACGATTGAAAACAAGTGAGAAGTTTGTGTGATTTAACCTAAAAAAAATCTTTATCAGCGTTAGTTTATCTTCGCAAGTAAAAATGACAAAAATAACATGGTTTGTGGTTATGTTCCTTGTGTTTATCATGTGTTGACCAATGCTATTATCACTTGTTTAAATATAGATATTAAAGACAAACACAAGTGGTGTGTGCGACTTCCAAATAAAGAAGATGGCCGCTCGTGAATACACTTGCGATGACGATGACTGTAGCAACAATGTCTGCAACAAAAGCGATGTCGGTGTGTGTACAGCCTGGAAATAATTACGTAATCGGCTGCACAAATTTCATCACGATAACTTCGGTTTGAGCAACACTTGCATAACCTGTTGCAGGTAAACCTAACCCCACCAACATTATGTGTATGTATATGTGTGTACTTTTCTTTGCGATGTGTTTCCACCTTCCAATGCTTTTTTACTATCGATTACCAATATATGCAAGTGTCATAATAATAATGTTTGGATATGTATTTATAAATATTTGTTTGATGCGACACGTGCGGACGCGCGAAGCAACCTGACATAATAATGTGGATTAAGTAGGTAATGCCATGACAGGGTGGAATATTTCGAATTCCGTTTACACACATTAAACAATTTTCACCTCAAAGTGATAAATAATGAATATAATTGAAATTATTTCGTGAGATTATTGATTAGGATAATCAATTTTTAGTAAATAAAAAAAAACAAGTAAAGGTTTCTGGAAGTAAATAATTATCAAATAATCCTACTTCCGTTTAATTATCATGTAAAAATGACTTATTCATGGTATCTTATCAATTCGATTATAAGATGAGTAATAATGGTGAGTTACAAAAATAACAAATAAATTGTATCGATGAGTTTCGCAGACATTTACGTAATGTTAATGTTTGCGCGTGCATGCGAATCAATGAAGGATGACGCAATGTGTATTGATTCTGGCGATTTCCCCTTTTATTTCAAGACGTGAGTGTATTTCACGTGGGCACACTGCTGGCACCCCTTACAATTTATATTTAGGGTGGTAAGTGGTAACTTTCCGTCGTGTTCGTATTTGGAGAAGGTTACGCTACGTCACAACCCCACACAAAACATTACAACATTCAAACGTGGTACAGAAATTAAATTATCTGCTTTATAACGTAAATGAATGAAAATGACAATTGATACTGTTTGAATATTTAGTTTCTAAGCATGTAAAGTTATATTTGAATGTTTCAATTGATTGATTTTGATTGAATGCATTTTTTGAATAAATGACATCATCCCGAAGATGTGCATCTTCAAGTTTGGAATAAAAAGAAATACCAAGGAGTTTAATAACTAATGTGGCGAGAATGCGCATGCAAAGAGCGTCGGACGGCCGTTGAAGACGGATTTAGACGCTGACGTCATCGCGCGCGACGGTCTCTACGCTGACGGGCTGACGACCGACCACAAACATCACAACGCGCAATGTGCGCTCGGCACACCACGACACACGGCGCGTTTTTGAGCGGGCGGGCCGGGCGGGTGTTCATGGCCTACCGGTGCGAATGTATCATACATGGACGGGCGCACGTACGTCACTCCAGAAACGTCCGGCGTCTGCCGAGGCGGCCCGAGTCGCGAGTCGCATCTGTCCTCGACGCACCGGCGTAGCATTGACTCACCGATTATATTCTTCGCGCACCGACGCTGTGCGGCCCGTCGCCGATCGATACCAATAATGGAAGTAACCCAAGTGGTGATGCTTGACTGAGAAATCACTGCGTATTTTGGCCTTCGTGAACTACCACAGTGTCAATGGCGGGATGTTTTATGCGCATGCTGCATCTTTAAAATTTTTATAGTTTGAAAGTTATGTTAGGTTAGGTCATATAAACAGTATTTTTTGAAAAGAAAGATAAAAGTTAGGTTAATTAGCAGGGCAAACTACCGTCAGTAGCAATTATCATAAAATTAGAAATATTGCATAATTACTCGCTTATTTCTTTTTTCTGAAAGGAAAACATCTTAATTTCTTAAATTTTTTGCTGTAAGTTGTGTTCTAATATTAGAAAATCAATGCTCTAAATATTTAAACGAAAAGAAGCTTCCAAAAATACCGCACTCAAATAATTGACTTCGTGTGAATATATGAGTCACTGACAATTAGTTAAATTCCTGCCATGGAAATTTTTGTTTGGTTTGTCTTATATCGTCTGTTGTACATAGACGTAAACTGTGCGTAAAACGAGGGAGCAAGAAAAGGGGGATTTATTCGGAAGGGTCATGTTCACGAGTCATAGCTAGTCACAGCTTACGTCATCGCTGCTACGACGCACGCTGTGCACATCATCAGGGGATCAGGAAGTGTCTGCCTGCATGAGCTGCAGGTTACGGATCATGATTGTGGTGATACGCGCGCAGCCAGACTGTCAGAGTGGGTAAACACTTGACCGATGACGATGACTAAACTGTGGAAGTAATATTAATATGTTTATTAATATTTGTTCTTGGATTGAGCTGAAATGATGTGTAAGTTTCGAGGTTAGGAAATGGAATCTTAATTAACACCTAACCTTAACACTTTGGAAAATTAATATTTGCAATATTACGCTTTTGTAATTAATTTTCAAGAATAATTTAAACATAGAGTAATTATGTTTGAAAAATATTCATAGCTAATTCGTGAACTCTTCAACTCTCCGCCAACAAACTCTTGCGAAACTATTTTGCCACGTCGGCGGCATTTTTATCGGTAGTTTTAGCGCGCACACGGTCGCGAGTCGCGGGCATTTTCAAACTGGAATTCGATACCGACGCACTTTACTACTGTTGCACGCTGCGCGCAGGTTACACCTCGCACGACACAACACACAACAAACAGGCGACGCGACCGAGCCACATCTCACATCTCCAGAGCGGGAATCGAAGCGTGCGAATAACGTACGTACACTTACATAGACTTACGTCCGCGCGAGCATCAAAACGGCGAAGAGGAGAACAACAGAAATCGACGACGCGACGCGCGCGCGCGCCTGCCGCTGCTGCTGGCCGGCGAAACGACATCAGCAGGTCGATGACCATGTTGCGCAGACCGGTGAACCGAACGCGCCGCAGATTCCACAAAATCGACTCCCGTGCACACACGCCGCCCGCCATCACACATGCCCGCCGCGCACGTATGTAAAGCGCCCGCGAACAAGTGCGACAACGGAAATTAATTCATTACTTGCCGAAACTTTCGACTTTCAGGTAGCGCACTCCTGTTGAATAGTGTGACACAGATTATAAAAACAATTAAATATCATTGATACCGAATTGGATACTAATCCATATTCAATATTGTTAAATGGCTTCAGGTGTTTGCGAATAATCATCGTATTGGTATTTGAGCGGGGATCGCGTAAGAGGCGAAATAAACGTTATTTATAATAAAGTTGCATAACTTGTGAAAGCGCCTACAATAAGACACGAATCGCCAGCAAAACGTGCAAATGCGAGCCGAAGAATCAAATGCAGTGAACACAAACAAAACAAAAAAACTAAGGAAATAGGTACTAGTGTGCGAAACTAACTACAGACGTAAAAATATAACACAAAACACAAAATATCTAGCTTAACATGCAACGTTGAAAAAACAAGTGAGAAACAAACAAGAATTCAAGCGAAAACAGGCGAAACAAATGATATCAAATTTGGCCTGTAGTTCACATTTTTCATTTAATTCACAATTCACAGTGTTTTGCTGTAAATAAAAAAAAATGTAAAATGCAAATCGTATATTCATTGCGTTGTTGTACAGCACATACGTACTCGTAGGTATTTATTAATGATTATTTCATGACTAATCCTCGTAATTTACACTAAAAGTGGGAATTGACCCAATACGTTCGCTTACAAATGAATTGTGCTTTACAGGAATTGATAGATGACTGTACAACCTAACCTAACAAATTTCACCACAACACAAAAAAATAAGTTGAAATTCTGAGTGTTTATGTGTTAAAATATTACTATAGTGTATCACGTTACTACAGCATGATACTGCAAAGATTTAAATCGCATTTTACGATCATTTTATGTACGTTTTAATTGATTTTTTTGCTCGTTGCTTGCGCGCGGAGGTTTGTGGAAGAGACGACGTATTGAACGTAGAAACACGTACGATCATACGTCGCCGTGTATGATTCGCGCGATTCGTGTGAATACTATTAAACAAATTGGTTCGCGTTCGAGCCGGTTCATACGTAAGCAGACCTTGGACTTTACGCGGAATGAGATCGTCGCGTTTCGGCGTGCGATCGACGCCGACGACACTCGGTAGTGTAAAAATGAACCAATTGTAGATAATATTCTCGTCGTATTAATAAGTTAAACAAATAACTGCGTAAAAACTGTACATTCCTTCTCTGATTTTTAAAATTTTATCAAATTTACTCGATTTTACACTAAACATGAACTTAGATTATCTGTTTGATTGTTTATAATTTCCTCGTTTTGTGAAAATCGCGTGCGTTCAAATTCGGCACGTGCTGCATTCAGAAAACGCGATCTCCAGCGATCATCATGCGCACGAGCAAAGCAGAAACCCGCATGTGGTGTACGTGTGTGTGTGTTTACATGTGAAGCATGTGCGGAGTGACTCGTAAGATTCGATTCGGAAACGATTGGACGGCCATGACGGCAGGTGCAAAATTTATCGCGCGCGCGCGCGCTCGCTAACCGACGTGAGATGGCTAATAAGAGTCTCTGTGTGCATCTTTGGCCGTTTGTTCAGGCGTATGGAGAATCGAGAGCAGTTCGGTTGCACCCGCGGTGGCGTGCCGTAACCGTTTCGAAATACGCGGTTTGCACCTTGCACCTGCGTCATCGCACCCATCCGCACCGGTTCCGACGTCTGCGCGACGACTCTCTTACACACTGCATGCATACAACCCTCAAACACCGGCCAGACGGACAACAAGACCAAGGCGAAACAAAAATGAATAATTTTCGGGCACGTGTGCACATTGCTAGTCCAACCAAACACAAATATTAACAATTGTCGCCATTATGAAAAAAATACAATCGCAAAATTATTAGTAAAACTTATTTAAATCCATTTTATCTGCTTTCCTGCTGTTTATTTCAAACACATATTGATTAGTCTAGTATTTTCTGTATAGTGTTAATCGCATGTATGTATAGTAACGTCAGTGGCCGTGTTGAACAAGCTTCCAGCAAGGTTATCTGTTTTATCACGTGATCGCAGCGCGCGCGCGCGCGCTAGCAAGTCAGTGACCAACATCTTGCGTTCTGCGCCGCGGTGTTGGCTCAACTTGACTCAACATCGAATGTACTTATTAAACCAATGATTACACAAACACACCGTACACAATGACAAGAGTGTGCGTGAGTACGCGCATGCATACACATTTAGATGTTCTCATTGTGTGCAAACGTAAACTCGTATGTTTCACTCGGCAACGATTCAATTCAATGATGCGCAGGCGTACTGTGCTGAACATGTATTGCGCATGCGCAATACAATTAAACAAATAACTGTGTGTATGTGTGTATGTGTGTGGATTTGTGCGTAGTTTCATAGTGGAATGAAAGAGACGGACGAAAAATCAAGAATCGAAGTCATCGGTCACGCTTTCGAGTCTTTCGTGTTCATCTGCGCGGCCGCGGACGAGCAAATGCGTTATATTTTATGTCCATTCTCATTATGGCGTCTTCCTTTGTCTTTAGTCTTTACTTGATGCATTTCGCTGGGCTTCAAGTTTAAATTTATGTTTGCGCCCATATTTGGTGTACAGGTTTTCTTGCCGAGAAAACAATGCGACAATTGTTTAATTTAAATTTTTGTTTTCTATAAAGAAATAAAACAACAAAATTAAAAGTGTCTAAATTTTAGGTTATAAACTACCACTTTTAACTTAACTTAAATATTGCAGACGAAATTCCAATTTTGAAAGTGATTTATTATTTATTTTAAGGAAAATAACAAAAAGTGCGTAGGTAATTTGTTATTCTACATCTTGTCATTACAATGATACACACTTGTACGCTCGTTTTCTCCAAAGAGTCGACGATTCTAGTTTACCTTTCACTTTAGACTTAACAATATTCTACGCGAAAAAGTTTTTACACCGTTTTAAACTTCAATAAAATCTAACTCCGCAATAAATAATTTCTAAGTTTATCAATCTTTTATTTTAATAATTATTCATTAAAATTTGATTAAAACTACCAAAATGAATTATTCGGTGTTTTCATTTGTTTGTTTATTGGTAATTAGAAAATTACTCACCTAATGTTGATCTAAGCTTACTAAGAACAACAAACAAACAACTAATTGCTAGTAATATGATTATTGCATCAAAGCATTCAGGTGAAACATAGCATCGAAGGTCGTATAACACGATTTCTGTTGCGCCTGCGACTTCCATCTCCACCACACTTTTTATTTATTAATTTGTTTTAGATATTTAAACTGTTTTTGTTGTTTTATAACGGCACTCGACGTATGTAGATTGTTTAAGAATATTATATCATGCAACTTTATTGCATATCAAACAAAACATTAAAGAAATCAAACAATTAAAGTAAGGCTCAGGTTTACGGCCCACCAGCGCCATCTAACAACGGGAGAATCACGTAGCTAACTTGAAGTTGCTACGTTGCTAGCTAAGGACACAATCAGCGCATAAATTATTCTAACTGTTCTTAAGAAACAAAACTTTTTAATCATACATTATACTACCCAATCAAAGTTATTACGTTTATCTTCTTTGTGCATGTGTATATGATATCATGTGAAAATTTTCCTAGCAACAATTAAGTTTGCTCAACATTCAGATATCGCACAGATAACAGTGATGACAATTGATTATAGTGTGGTATAGGAGATAAATGATTCACTCTCAGGAATCTGAGTGTGCGCATTAATATAAAAAAACGGATATAGCCTTCAAAACTATAATTCTACGCGGCTGCACTCAATTGGTAACACTTTTCTCAACTTAGCATACTCGTATGTAGTTTATTTCCAGTGTTAAATATAGTAAGTACATTATTCTATCCGAGATGAAATTTCATTGAACGTGGGTGAATAATACACGCACTTTGTACTTTGTACGCCATCTTTTTCTATGTGGCCCTATCCCGCAACCCGTTACGCATGTATAGTGGATAATTCGAAGTGTGAATCATCGATCAAGACAAACAAATTCAAAGCACTGGTAGAGTGGAAGCAGGAGACAAACTCACCGCGTGCGCGGAAAGTGTTCGTACTCTCATAATATGCGTGTAACTGCCTTTCTGGTTGATGGGCATTCGAGACAAAAATAGATTCGATGATTCGAACAAGATCGACCGGTGCAGAACGATGCTGAGCGGAGTGGAGAGCGAGTTCAAATTTGAGGAATTTCAGTGTGACGTTGTTTGACTGCATATGGATATATGGTAGGTGTGGGAGGTGAGGAAAGGAAATTATAATATCTATATGTGCACATATTTACATTGTTAAATATAATTAAACAATTTAAACTATTTATAGCAAAAATAATGAAGTTTCGATGAAAGATATCCAAATTTAGGTTTATGGATGCACTCGTCTGATATTTGTTTGTTTGTGGTTAAATATAGACTGTTCTAATTTTCGCCCATCTTGAAAATCCAAATAAAAATACTTTTGGATTGAAACCAAAGCAAACTATCCACAAACCTTTTCATATTCGGTAAATTATGGATGTACATGAAGTACAAACATTTATAATGTTATTACTATTAGATTGTCTTGACTTCGTATTTATAGATTTATTGTAAACGATATAAATTTGTGTTTATGTGTTAAATTACTACATATGGATATAATTCTCAGTGGTAAAGAATTTGAAGCGAGTGACTAATCACAAACAGACGTGAATGAGTCGGTAGTCTAATTGTGGCTGCCAAGCCGGCTCGCCCGTTGTTGCCGATAGGGTTACTCATCCAGACAGACATGTGCGAGATTGCAACACGACACCACTTTTCCGACATATGACTTTGTATTAAGCCTTTAAACAGTCAATTTTAACAAATGTTATTCTAACAATCATAAGAAAACCAATCGATATTACATAATTTGGTGCGAGTAGGCGGCTCATAGACTTTTTTGAGTTTCTGCCATTTTGTAGTTTTTAAGTCAACTTGTTTTATGATCAGTAATCTTCGAATTAGTAAAATTATTAAAGACCCAGCTCTAATAATAATAAATTCGAAGTAATTCGATGTTTTGTGATATAACCCTTAGTATATACCTACCCACTAATACGTTTCAATTTATATAAGCATTATTTTTCCCCCCATAGGCGTCTAACTATAGATTTTGGTTTTCTATGTTTTGATTCATAGTTTGCGTTATTTTGTTAAAATGTTATTTTTCTTGAATTTATTTTGTATTTGTTCACGTGTTTGTAAATATTGTCATTTTTTTTAAACTCAAAATTGATATGAAAAGCAAGGGCAATTGTTTTTGTTCAAGTTTAAAATGTCTTTATTTTAATTTATTGCTTATACAAAGTAAATATCCGCAAAATACCGCGTTCATGATAACTAATACAGCCGAATATTATAGGATAAGGTTTTAAAATCCGAAGATACTGTATTATTTCTGTTACAAATCAATATTTATAATTTTGGCTAACCTGATTTTATAAAACTTAGTAAGAACCTATACCTATCTCAAAATGAATTTATTTTTGCGAAATAGTTGCATATTAAGCAGTAAATAGTTTATACTGCTTAAACTTCTGAAGCCAGTGGACGTCTCGCTTGTGGACGAATTAGAAAACGGATAAAGGCAATAAAAGTACTTTCACCCATGTACACAAATTGAACACACGTCGCGGATTTTGTACACGCATTGGCAGTACTTGCGCGCTTATATTTAAAAATAGCTGTATCTCAACTTTATTTCTTAAAAATTACATCCCAATGCACTAATTTATTTGTAATAATGATGATAAATTTATAGAATATGCTAACAATGTCTGTGCTTTTGAAGTTATATAAATAAAATGGCATCAACAAATTTTTAGAGTAAAAATAATGTCGTTTTAGAGTATTTTCGACGAGTGCAGTGCTTGAATTTGAATCAAAATTGAGTACACAATAAATATTAAAACGATATATTATATTCCTAGTAAGTTGTAGAGGCTGGGTAGAAATGGAAGTGTGTATTTACGCCCGTGGTCCACTTTCTCTAAACTCACTCTAGCAACTCTATAGAACAACTACACTACGTCATATACGCTTCATTTTAAATATTCATAGACTATATTAATCATTAATTAATTCAAGTTTATAATCTCTACATAATCTATCGATAAAATTAATCAATGCTTTGTGCGTAAATAAGCAATTTTCTATTATTTTGTAATGTCCTTATTTCTCACTCAAAAACTGATTTTTTAAATTAAAATTAAGAAATTATATGAATCTCTGACCGCGTCGCAAATAATGGGTTCATGTAACTTTCTCAAATGTATCAGTTTGCTGTACAACTCCATACAGAGTGTTTTAGATGAAACTATGTTGTGTTTTTTTCAACTAATGTTGCGTCTGCGCGTGCGTGGTACTCCACAGGTAGTCACTAGTTCATCTGGCTCTTTCATTCAGGATCGAAACAGTAATAACAACGGAAACTTCGGTGATATTATTGTAGTAGGTTTTATGGCACATATTTGAAAGTCAACGACCTCAACTGTATCGCGGCGGTGTACGCGCACCGCGAACATATCGCATTGTTTTCTTGCACCGTTTTGCTTATCGCTCGCGCGAGCGCACTTGCGCGTTCCTTCGGATGACCTCTTCGCCAAACGAACCAACCTGCAACTGCGCTCTCGGCTATTTAATGTATGCATTGCTACACAAACTTCTTGTTATTGTGAAAATTAAAGACTAAAAATTAGAAACTAAACAAATTAAATTATTTTGATTTGATGTATTGTTGTAATGTTAATTTTATATTAATCATTTACCGAATATGATTATATTGTGCTCACGTTATCGGTAAACACATAGAAACAGTGTTCAGAAACTTAAAGACGGTTTCTAATGATAATATCCAAAGTGCGAAATATTAACACTGACCTATCTTCCAAAGTGTGCGTAAATCGTGATTGAAACACGTGATTACGTGATAAACATCACCAATATTACCACACAAACCCACGCGTGTACTCAGGCTATGCATAATTACAGTCAGCGACTAGTGTACTTCCCCTCAAGGGCCTTGAAATTATTTTTTATCAAAATATTTCAAATTTCAATTGTGTTTCTATGTCAATACTCATCGTTGCGTGTTACTACGATGACAAATTACACGTGCCAGCTGTCTCTATGTACAATCATGCGCACTTTGACATGAAATGTTATAAAATTAAACGAATGCTTAAAGGTTTTCGTAAATTTCAACCATCTTCAAGAATTTGCATTGAAATAATTATTAAATCAATACTTACCGATGATTCATTTATTAAATATTCATAATTCATACATTTTCTGGTTGTAAATTAATCAATAAATATATGTTGTGCTGAGGTCAAACTGGTTGCATTTATTTGTGTACATTAATATAATTATCATAGTTAATGAGCTCACGTAAGTTACAAAAAAAATTGTTTAGCATGTGGACACAATTATCGAAGTTTACAGCTTAATTCAACGGTTGTTTAATTTGTTGATACTCTATACGACTGGGTATTCACATGCACGACGGATATCAACAAGTATTAGTGACGCAACGATACGAACAAAATTCACATGAGCCCACTCCGCTAGCCATAAAAGCGCGATATAACCGATTCGAACCTTCATTCACAAATTGCACTAGCAACGAAAACATACACTACACAAAAAGTTGCCTGTATTATTTTAAAACAAAAACTGGTTAACCAAGTATTAAATAAAAATGACAATCAAAATGGAACCTAGTGAGTTTAAAACATCGCCGCCATTACGAACTCGCCATGACAGAACCTGCCGAACATCAAATAGTTCTCCTTCAACGACGAACAGAACTTCCATTGGAAATAATCAAGTGATAACTCTATCTGAAGTGATAAACAACATTGACATCATAGGCAATCAAAATTTGCTGACTGTGGATATAAACAATGCAAACATCAAAGTTATCGGCAATGGCTGCACTGTGAAGGTTTACCGCGGCAATGGAAGGATACAAGTTATTGGCAACAACAGCACGGTGTTTATCAGTGATGGAATTGATGCGAATTGCGTGCAATGTGTGGGAAACAAGAGCAGAGTGCTTAGCTTCCAAATGGATAATAATCACAAATCGACTAATGTAGAAACACGAGATGGCCGAGACACGGCGAGTGATGTTCGCGATTGTAATTTAGTTGATGGTGATTGTAATTATCTTAGCGCTGGAAGTGGTAATAGTAACGAAGCGAGTAAAAATAGAAAGCAATCAATGAAATGTCCGGCAAGTAGAACATGCGAGGACGGTGAAAGTGCGAAGGGTAGTTTGAAGGAAGCAATGTACAAGGTGCGACACCCAAATGGATTGTTACATAGTTTTGACCGTCAGGGCACGGTGGTGCAGAAGCATGGATATTTGTATATTGATAATTGTGTCACTGTGAAAACGGGGACCACAAGGACGATACCTTTTTAGTTATTAAATTTATTTATTAAATTATTGAACAACGAACAGTATTATTATTATGTGATAAATGTGTACTTATTCAAAATATTGTATCAATATACTCTCATAAATGTACAAATTAAAATATAATATGTTTTATTTATACAAGAACCGAAAAGGCAAAAATAACATTTTTTTGTTTGCATCAGTTGGAAAAAGAGTAGGAGATGTGGGGTTGGTTGTAAGGGTGCAGGGATTCTTTATATGTGGTCTGCGGATCTATTCTGGTAGCTGTAAACAAAAACAGTATTACCTACTGAGTTCTGAATAATAATATTACCTAATGAATAACAGTATATAAAACGCCACTTTGGTGTTTTTCATTTTTTGAAGATTTATGAAATATTTTCAAAGCGCTAGCGTTAGTAAAGAAATCTAACAAATACGGAAGGGTTTCCGTGAACCTCGATATTTACCAAAACTTCGAACATTTTTAATTATAAAATCGTGAAAACAACGAAATGGAAACATGATAAAGGATGATTTTCATTGTATATATTGATTATTCTCAAACAAATTTAGTTACGTAAAATTTGACTTGAATTTGGCTCTTTAAAAGGTTTAAAAAAATAAGAACCCATATGAGCCAGCATCACAAGATATTTTACAATGTTATTTGAATGTTATCTCTGCCTTTTATAACGTGAAAATCTGGTGTATAAATCACATGACACAGATACAGACAGCCTTTCATAATGTGTCTTCCAAAATGGACCAAATTTTCAGACATTCCCTAATCGTTCAAATTGTATAAAGAGAGTTGGTAAATAAATATCGGAAAGTACCAGAAAACCGCGGTGCAAATACGCTTTATTAAAACCAAACCTAGAAAAATAACAGCAAGAAAAAAGCGTAAGAGATGCCTATTGCATTAAAGTTTTGAAAATTCCACATATCAAGGTAAGGCGCCGTTAGAGAATTGCAGGTGATCACAAACAATAACTCATTTAATAAATGTTTGTACGTACAATATGCCTATATGTCATAACAAAAATATTAATTTATCATATATTTAAGTTGGCTTTTGGGATGGTACTTGCATTGAAGATCTACCCGTAGAAGGAGGCGGAGTCATCCCCAAAAATCTTCGATCAGTCCCACGTCCTTGCAAGAATGGTTTTAGTGGCAATAACGAACCAAAAGTTATATGCTGTGCCACAGGAAATTTTCCCAATACCTAAAAAACATGTATAACAGCAATTTCATAAAATATATTAAATGGAAATGTCTCACTTCTGCTCTGTACATTTTGATCAAACCCAAAGTGACCTTGGTCCAATGTGCAACACCACTAATACCCCACAGCTGATTTGAATGTTCAGCAAATGGCCCCTTTTTTACTTGGTTTATATATGCGATGCAAGACAAAAACATGTACTGATCAGCAAAAGTTTCCACCACTTCCGGATTTAAAAATGAACAGGGTTCAATTTTTGGATGCGCTTGCAATTGCGAACTACCCCAAATAAATGGGACAAATTGGTAATCATCTAAGCTCCACACACCATGACTTCCAGCCGGTTCCATTCGGTAGGTTTGTTGTAACTTTCGTACCAGTTTCAAATAATCATTGAATACTCTTGTTGCGGCGTATATTTTATCATCGGGTTCTAGTGCGCCTATTTTAAACATGCAACAAAGGAACATAATGAAAGAGATTTCATGGCCAGTGCCATAATCAATTCGAATTTGGTTGCCAAATGATTCCATGAAATATGTGGAGACTTCAGCTAAGGCTCTTTGTAGGTGTTCAGGAAGAACTTCTGACAATAATTCATGAGTTGCCTATGCACAAATTATAAGTAGACAGATTATTGAAGTTTAATGTTTGAAAGAAACTTACATTTTGAACTTTTTCCAACCAAAGTCTAAAAGCTTGGTTTCCAAATCTCTGTGGTTGTTCAAGTGGTGGAGTTTCATTTATAAACTGATCTAATTTTTTAATAACACCACAAAGTTTTGTGATGGTTGGAGATACAGGTAATGCATCATATTTTAAAGACTTTCCCTTAATTGCTTCATTAATTGCAAGAATAAATCCCAAATATTCCTACAAATTTCAAGTAAATACATGTTAATTGTAAATATATGATGATGGATGTAGCTATATTTACTTGGTAAGCAATTGAATTCTCCCATAATACCATATCATCTGGGTTTTTGATGAATTTAGTTGGTATCATGTATTCATGGTCAGGTCCAACTAAGAGATATAAAAATAATGATTATTTCAAATATTTATTATGGTAGGCGCAATTAATTACCTCCGTCAATTAGATCAGTGCTCATATTTGTAAAAATATGTGTGAGTCGTGAAGTAAGAAAATTTAAATTGTTAATGTCACTAACGTCAATAATGTTTATTTTCTGATTACTTTTCCTTCAATCTTATCATTTAATTGTTAACCTTAAAATGATTTATAAAATTTTTAGGCGGAAAATGCGCGTGCGCAAAATGACTCAGATAAATTCCACAAATACACCGAGTGAAACCGAACAAGTACCATTTATTTAAATTTAATAATAAGTACTGGTACTAAAAATGTATATTACAAACATCTAGCAATAAAATAATAATTATAAAAAATATTTTTGATTCCTTAGTGCTGAAATAAGCAATTCAGTTTATAGTTTTTGCAGTTAAGTAAAGTGGTGTGTAGATAGCTTTATGTTTTCCAGTCGTCATAGTGACGTCATCCCACAAATGCCAAGTGTACATCGAAATGGGGGCCTGTCACGCGTCGAACGTTCCTTTTTGCATTCGGCCGTCTTGTCGTGTAGACGAGGTTTTTCTGGTGTTCCGTAAAACAATCTACACACATCCACCACTATGAGGATCTACAAAGATATTTACACCGGTAAGTTGAGAGATTTATTGTGTACCAAGTCTGTCAAATCGATATTTTTTGTATCATGTGCATTGGAACCCAAGAAACTAAATCAAAAGTTACACCTAACCTTCAACATATGCAAAGCTGGATAGCAATATAAAGTATTATTTTTTGTTTCAGGTGATGAGATGTTCTCAGACACTTACAAAATCAAGCTTGTCGATGAAGTCGTTTATGAAGTTTACGGCAAACTGATTCAACGTAAACAAGGTGATATTGCCATTGATGGTGCCAACCCATCTGCTGAAGAAGCTGATGAAGGCACTGATGAGAATGTGGAGTCTGGTGTAGATATTGTGCTAAATCACAGATTAATGGAAACTTATGCCTTTGGTGACAAGAAATCTTACACATCATACCTTAAGGATTACATGAAGAAGTGAGTTTTACTTTTACTATTAGTTTTTATAAAAGCAAGTAACTGTGGGAGGCAACACATAGACATCACTTTAATAATAAGTGCTGTTTAAACTGCACTCCCAGATTAAATGCTGGAGTACCTTGGAAAATGTAATGATTTGTCAGTATCATGTATGTTATCTGCAGTCTTCAGACAGTTTAATTTTGATGATTCACAAGTGAATCAATACTTTTCAAAACATGTGACTCATGTAGATATAGTTGACTTATGTTTTACATTCTATTAAATTACAATTTCTCTTTTGGCAGATTGGTAGCAACACTTGAAGAAAAAAAGCCCTGATCAAGTAGACATTTTCAAAACGAATATGAACAAAGTAATGAAGGATATTTTGGGCCGATTCAAGGAATTGCAGTTCTTCACCGGCGAATCTATGGAAATCGACGGTATGGTGGGCCTTATGGAATACCGTGACATTGACGGAACGCAGGTGCCTGTAATGATGTTTTTCAAACATGGGCTAGAGGAGGAGAAATTCTAGATGCGATTTTTATTAAGATTGAAAGGAAGACCTCATGTAATTATGATATGAAGACAAACGATTTCTATTTATTATTTTGATTGATTATATACAGACAACATTCTTGTGAACACGTACGAAAATATCAACAACGCTGGAATACTCGTCTCAAATCGATGACTTATGATTACGCGCCCCTTTTTTATTTTATACACCACGAATTTCCTCCTAAATCTCCTCTGTTAAATACGGACCAGATAAAACTTTTTAACGACGAAACGAATGCTGTGAATAAAATATTTTTTAAATTATGTTTGTCCTAATCATTTACAGCCATTAGAACTAGAAGTGGTGTGCGTATCAAATTGTTTTTATTTAGAAAAGTTGCTGTTTGGTGCAAAAACGCGAATGCAGGATCATAAAAAATCATTTCAAAACATACCAAGTTTAATAAATAGTCTAATAATAAAATAACATATTAGCAATACTGATATTCCTATAATAAGGATGGACACGTATTCAATCACGGTGACTTCGTCGTCTTCAGATTTACAATGCTGCGCAAATCCACTCTGAAAGCACACAGTTGAGGTTTTTAGCGTATTGTAGTGCATAATTTTGTATATAAACTTACCCATCCACCATTGGTAGCTATCCAATCCCCTAAGTCATCTTCCAATACTTCAACCATTCCTTCCATCAGCCCATGCAAGTACTCCGGATGCCCTTGGCATACGCAATCCACCCCTAATGCACCTGCGACTGCGAATATTGATACGACTTTACCCCAAGTAATTTCCGTCTTAAACAAATCATGTCCAATCGACGCCAAGAGCGCAGCAGCAGCTTTCTCCGAGATTAAAACCCCGCCAGGTGTGTGACTCGCTTGCCGTGCAACATTATTATAAACCTTGGGATATTGTCGCTCCAATTCGGTTCCTGCAGCGATTAATCCTGGAAATACATCTCGCACAATCAACGCGCTTGATGTCCCAACCATGCTGCGTAATCTGTATAGTCCTAATTTTTTACTGAAAATTCCGGAGCGTTTTAGCCTGTTTCGGATGTACTGCCCGCAGAGGACACGCCCCTGCGCGATGACTTCTTCGGGCGGGACGCTTGGCATTCGCCAGCCAATCGTCGACAATTTACGAGAGACTGCATCGCTTACATTGCTAAACCGCCGCTTGGCGTGCAAATTTTCCTCATTGGGCTTTGCGTAGGGGGCGATACCGAGGAGGTTGGCGTGCAATGCTGCGGGGAAACTGAGTTTACGCAATTGGGCGCGAGGCGGGCCCATATGCCCCAGTGGGCGTGTCAGGGCGGTGTTTAAACATATTGTAGGAGGCGCGTCGAAGGTTACTTTACGATCATGAATGGTTTGTGTCGTTGATGTCGTTGTTGTGGCATTATCCATAAGGGTCTTTGCACGAAAACCTATAAAATACAGGAAAACATATATAATATATTAAATAAAAACCATTTGTTACTTTTTCTTTGGAGTTAAACATATATCACTCTTAAGACATCGTCAGTCATAACACGTTACCAAAAAACTACTGAATATTAATATTTGTGAATACGTATAAAACAATCATGAAATAAAAGAAAATCTACTAACGTGAAACTAATCTCATTATTTCAGTTATTTGTGTGTGGTTGACATTGACTTGTGCAAAAACTGGTACTGGTACTTTTTCAACGGAAATCCTCCAATAATTACGAAAAATAATTAGGTTGTTGCGATGAAAGGATTAAAACATGATGAGCGTGACGTTCGATATGCATGATTTATTTTACTTGTTCGTTTTGAGGTCGCGTTTGGACTCAACCTGGATGTTGGAATTATGTACGAACGCCCCTCATCTTGTCATCTCATCACATTTATTTTTCATCATCTTTGTCGGCATTTTGCTAATTATTTAAGATAATAATTAAATTATTATTATCATTATTATTCAAATGAAAATTTGCCATTTTTGTAATGAGGAATTCATATTTGATCTCCAAATTGATTTTTATGCATTTATTCTTTATCCAAATTTGCTTTTCCTGTCATTGTGATAATTTGGACTTCAATTAAGCAGTTTTAAAATTCGCCTCATACGTGGCCCAAATTTTCGGACATAAATCACGACTTAACTGTTCATTAACGCATAATCGTGAGCACCGAATGAACATGCATGTGCTCATATGCATAAATGGTAGTGTTATCGATTTCTTGCACAAAAGTAGCTTATGTTTTTGCTGATGAATACGGCACCCGTGATGATGAACATCAATTCTGCACAAAGCGCACCAAGAATATAAATTCGGGAGTGGATTTATTTCTTCTTCAGTTATATCTGCACCTTATAACACAAACGTTATAAATCTGCAGTTAATTTTACAAAATGGATAAACACTTCTTGTTATTGTTAATAATATTATTATTAAAATTTTGTGATGGTGATTATTTGTATCCAGCTATACAAACAACGTCATCCCTACCAGAAATCATCATAAACAAGAATGCAGCACCTGGGTCATCAGGATATTATTATCCCGTACCGCAACCCCCAAATGACGTTTTACCGCCCCTGCAAGACGAGATACCAATAACACCAATTGATAATGGTTACCTACCACCACCTTCAAATGAATATCTTCCACCACAACAAGATTTTCAACCATTTCAACCCGCACCGCATCCAGTTTATGGCGTGCCATCAACTTTACAGAAACAAAACGGTAACTTTGATACGCCTAATGGGGAACCCAATGTTCGAATAATATCAATGTCCTGTTTGGATTCATCGGACACTCGATTCTTCAAAGCCACAATTCAATCTACTGATTTTATTAGTTCACCACCAGTTTTTTACCAAAAATATATTTGGATGTAATATTTTAAGGAAAGCCAATGAGATATTTGTAATTAATCTTGAAGCTGTCAATGTTGGTAACTGTGGGGTACGATATTGCGCCAATAAGAAAATGTGCTTAAATCTTCGATTACCAACAGTTCAAGGCCTGCAATTACCGGAAGATAGACTTATTACATTACAATGTTTACCACAACATTCCATTGCAAGTGTTGTACGATCAATCGGAGTTAGAACTCAAAAAATGTAAGTATTAAAAGTAATAATAGGTAGTATTTAATAGTTTTTAGTAAAAATATAATTAAAATTTTCTTTGTTATTCTTAATAAAATATTAAGATTTGCAAAAGTAATCGCTATTTCAAAATTAAAATGCCATTTTTTGAATTCATACTTTTTGAGGTTTTTTTGAGAAAAAATTTGAAAAAAATTCTCGAAAATATTTCTCAAAGGGTAGAAACGAATAGATAAGTTTCAGCTTAACTTAAAGGAGTCGGGTTCAAAAGTGGTCAATTTGGCATGGAATACCCCATATATTTAAATCGTTACATAGATTGTGGTTATGTTTCAGTCAACCCCGCGCTATTAGTATTAACACGATAGCTGCTGGTGGTTCACAGCGGCCATTCCGCCCCTACATATCTCTATACCGCAAAGGTAATCAACTTGTAGAACCTGGAAGTACAGTTTTCCTGGGCGAAGACTTACTTTTGAAAGCAACAATAAACGACAGTGACGATTGGAAATTTACAAAAATTGGCTCAGTTGTTATGCAACAAGGTATACAAACTAGCAATGGACGTAAGTCTGTTACTCTCGTGGATAATGATGGCTGCCGTGTAGAAAGCATGAAATCAGTATGTCCCAATCATCCAGAACAAATAACTAATAAAATCACCGTTGTACCATTTAGAGCTTTTTTATTTCAAGATGTCGACGCTGATGAGATGTTACTCAGTGTTCGATTATACGGATGTATGCATCAAAAAGATTGTCAGGTCAGTGACAACAAAAAAAAAACATTCATTTGTTATTGATTTTACTTATTATTCACTACTGTTTCTCGATATTGAATGTTCTTATTCTTATTTATATTCAGCAAACAAAACATTGTGAAGAGAAAGTGGTAGCTTCGAACGCTCTCAACACCTTGGACGGCGGAAAAAATTTAAGTATGGGTCGACGAAAACGAATGGTCAACGGATTAAATTCCACTCACGTGCAATCGAATTATTATTCATCGAACGATACAAGTCAGATGACAATGGTAAAGAATAACGATCAATACACAATTGATAGTGTTCAAAATTACGAATCACATTTAGATTTTCGCGTTGTACTGCCTAGAGCATTGAAATTAAAAGACAATACAAAATATTTAGAATGGTCAATGGATGATATTTATAATGGATATTTATTTGTTAGTGTGGTTTTAATTATTGGTGTCACATGTATTGTTATTTTGTGCGTTGTTATTAAGGTACGGATACGTTCAAAAATGTTGGTATATTCAAGAGATTATTAAACGTAACCTAAGATAAACGCTACATAAATGAATAATTAATATGAAATAATTACTGCGTTGATGTGTTTTCATTCTGATTGAATATTAACTTGATATGTTTTAAATTACCTATACTTGAGTATAATTAGTTGCTTTTTATATGTTTTTGATGTATTTATTTTTTTGTTATTAGTCTGAAGGCTGAAGGACTTTAGGAAAGTCATAAATTGATTTGCAATTAACTCATCTTGACACTGTACAGTTTGCAAGTATAATAATCATTGCAATACTTAAATTGTTAATGTCATCAAAATAAAAACATTGTAACTAAATGCACTTCAAACTATGTATACAGCGTGTAATTTCATCGCGATAAATAGCAATGCCGATGTCCATTATAACACTAACATAAATATAATGAAATCATTTTAATAAGTGCATAAATATATTTATCTAAAATATGTTACGTAATTAAAATTTAGAAAGTTATACCTACTGGACAACACAGACATAATTTAAGAGGAGAAAAACATGAGAATATTTCACTTACGAAATTAGTCATTGCATAAGATTGTAAAAAGATTAGTGGGTTCGTTAAAAATTGACCAAAACATCGAAAATGTTTTATTTTTAGTTTATTTATGACGTGTAGGTAAGTCGTAAGACAAAGACAAAAGTCGTAACGTAAATGGAATGCTGCAGGTGACAAATGAATAAGCCTGTCGGATTGAAAGCTTGAATTATATCAATAAATTCTAAAGAATATATAACAACACAACTTTACTAAACTATTCATTAAAATGGTAAAATTTCGACTCGCCATTATATTCGTAGCTGTGACATTTTAAGTTTGTTCTAAATCTCTTAATACTGGATTATGCCATGTGACGTGAAAAAGTTTTACAGCTCGATTAATAGGGTTTCTTAATAAAATCGAAATAAGAAACGCGGAAATGGTGAATATGCAGAGGATGAATAAAAACAGCATAATGCAGTTCCGCCAATTTGATAATTGATGCTTACTTTGAATTTTGTGTTAAAAATACTTTTAATTTAAATTTAGTACATATGACTGTATGACTGTTTAGTAAAGGCACCTCCACAAACTTTAAACAGCAAAACAGTGAAGTAACCTAAAAAACCAATGACATTCTTAAAGTTCTCGTTTGGTATGTACTTTCCAGATGTAGTTCGCCACTGCATTAAACGTGACATTTCATTTTTTTAGCATTGTGAATAGTGTAACGTTTTAAATTCGCAAAGAATGCTAATAAAAATGAAATGGTATTAATGCACTATTACCTAACCAATTTATATAGCTATTAAATAACATTTTGACATTGCAGCGATAACATACACTTCTACTTACACCTATAAACATACTTGAAACTTCTTGAAAGCCCGGAACTAATTTCAACTTTAAACATTTATAACAGGAGAGTTACTCGTACCCCTTTCAGCTGTCACATATGAAAATTAATATCTAAACTTTTACAATTCATAGCTTACTGATATACTGATATTCTAATAAGTCATCGATTAATTTCCAATTCATAGCACATAACTTCTTAACAACATCGTCATCGCATTGGTAAGTTCGCAATATATGTAATGGGTACTGATGTGTATGAAATATAAAACATAACACAATGGAAAACAAAATACCACAATATCGCACAACGGCAATACATTTAAAAGTATCGGCGCGTTCGCATGTTTTCGCACTGGAACCAAGCATTGGAACGCGCGTCGGTAAATTGGTATAAGACGTTGAGAATTTAAACGAACTTAACTTACATTACAATGCGTTGCATAACTTGAGATGTCCAATTATTGCACACGCCTTGTGGCTGATGTATTATCATAATTTGGCGAAATGATCAAAGAACCGCACGATTGAAATGTGGTTCGAAGGGAATTTTAATTAAAATGGTGACCTTCGGGCCGCTGAAGTTTACGTACAGTGCGTAATGTTAACTTAAACTTTAAGAGGCGATTAAATGCTCGAAATGTAAATTAAATAAGTGTTTGTGATTGTAACGCCATACAAAATGTAAACTGCAAGTCCAGGGTTTATTTTATACATTTCAAATAAAGGATTCTGAAAAACATTCATAAATTATTATGTCACAAATAAATTTGGGAATACATATATTATTATTACTATAATTTTAAAAGTTTTCTCTGTTTTTAAATCCCTTTATCTATTCAATAGTCGGCGATAAGTTCGGTTTGTATCGCCATTGTTAAAAATTAGTTGCAGTCAAAGACGCAACTAGTTATACACCTAATGATTGTTTATGCGTTCTCAAAACAACATATGTTGTATGCACTGATCTGTATATTTCAAAATTGATCAAAAAATCAAGTATACCTGTAAGGTGCAATTCCTTAAATTAATATATTAGTAATATATGCAGTAATAATGCAATTAAACAATGATAAATACTCCATAAATTTACTTTTAATGGGTTTTCTTTTAGGAAATGATGTAAACGCCAGTGGAAGTTTTCGATACGTGTTGGAAAACAAATGTATTGTCACACTTTAATAATGTCATTATTAACCAAACAATACTCCATGTTTCAAACCTCATAAACCCACCTAACATACACAATAGGGTGTCCGTTATTTCCCACATTGATTTTTTTCTTTTGCCGCCCTCTGAAGTTTTAGTTTTTGCTCTAAAATAAATGATTCAACGTAAATTAACTCTTAATTTTTAATTTAAACCGTGCCGGAATCATGATACTTTTTCCATTTAAATAACATGGGATTTCCTGACATTTTGCATTTAATTCTTTATCTCCAAAGTAAATAAACCTACACCTTCGACAAAGACATATTCTAATGCAAAATTTTACCCTCTACAAAAATATCTTTTGGTTTTTCCATAAAACATTCCTGTAAAAGTTATTTGCGATTAAAGTTATACATTGACACGTTGTCGATACGCGACTATTGTAACTTAACACGTTAAGGACGGCGTGTACCACCGGTGGTACACACGCGTCTGGTCTGTGGGACGGCGTGTACCACCGGTGGTACACGGCTCATTTGAAATGAGACTTATTCATTTTTGACTACGCCACTGGTTGGGTTATATCTTCTCCTCGTTTCACCTATACAATCAGGGCCTTGCATCTTTGTCATCAAATGTGTCACTCAGATTACATATTATAATAAATAGTGACCGACTAAAGTTTCAGTTTTGGCTTCAAATTTGGTTTCGGCCAAAATTGGCTGAAACTTTTGGCAGAACCGAAACTCAGTGTTCGTGAATTATCGTGCGTCGTTCGGCTTACTCGCGGCTAAGTCGTGGTCGTCACTTGCCATCTCAGATCGCACATAGTTTCGGTCGGACTCTAAAGATAAAGGCATTCATTACAAAGAAAATAAATAAATGGCGACGCAACTGCAAAACAATCGCTTTTGATACAGCAATGCATAACCACCAGTGGCGCACAGCTGAATTAATTAGACGGAGTTGAAAATGCTCAAACGCCGCCCGATGCGACAGACACCCAAAAACCGCGCCGTCCTCAACGTGTTAAACTCTAGTTGCGATCAATTGATCATAGGTGGCGCATATAGAATTTGCTGTGAATGAGATTATAAACTATGTGAATAACTTTGATTGCAAATAACTTTTACAGGAATGTTTTTATGGAAAAAACCAAAGAGATCTTTTTTGTAGAGGGTAAAATTTTGCATTAGAATATGCCTTTGTCGAAGCTGTAGGTTTATTTACTTTGGAGATAAAAAATTAAATGCAAAACGTCAGGAAATCCCATGTTATTTAAATGGAAAATGTATCATGATTCCGGCACGGTTTAAATTAAAAATTAAGAGCTAATTTACGTTGGATCATTTATTTTAGAGCTAAAACTAAAACTTCAGAGGGCGGCAACAAAAAAAAAATCAATGTGGGAAATAACGGACACCCTAATACACAAATACAACCTTCCAACGTAAAACAAATGAAAAACATGGACTTTTATTACCTACACGTTTAAATTCAGACATTTCAAATTATTACTTAGACAGAATATTGATTGCCGAGTTTCTTGCTAACGTAAATACAGTTTTTATTAACGCCATGTTGAAATTCATCACATCACATCACAGCCATTTTAATTATCGCTCCATGGACGCAACAAAACAGTTGTTCTGACAATTGGTAACAAATTGATCAATTAGGATCGAAATTAAAACAAATGTGTTAGATACCATCACTATAACACTAATTTATAAGTTAAATAAATACTGAGCGAGTTCACTTGTTACGTACCCAGGAAATTTCCAAAACTTTAAAGTTCAAAGCAGAATAGTAAAAGTACTGTCAGTTTAGTTTAGTGTAGGTAGTTTAAATTAATAAATCCATATTTTGAGCACTGCTAAAATGTCAACGTTGCACTTCTCGTGTGGAAAATTATTAATTTAATTTAGAACTTCAATCAAAACACGCACATCTGGGCACGATTATTGATAATTATCTATTTATCTATAATTAGCAATTTGCACAAACAAATTAAAATTCGGCACTGATATAGTTATCTGAGTAATGTAGCAGGCTGATGGTCATAGCTTTTTTTTTGAGCTTCGTTTTGTTTTTTGTTTGTTACGCGGTACGCATTTGTTTTTCGTTGTTTATCGATGAAACGCGATCGAGCGACACGCTACACGACGCAGCAGTAGCAACCGCGATGCAAAACGTGAGCGAAGCAACAAAAAGCCGCGATGTTGTAAGTGCGCGACTCTCGCTTTCGTTTTGAACGGTTTCGCCGATTTCGACGATCTCGTTTGCGTTTCGGAGGCGCTTCCTTCGGACCGGCGTCGTGCGGCGGCTCGCCCACCACCGGCTGGTTGCCCAGCGCGATTTTGAGATTTATGTTTGAGGTGTTCGATCGTTCGTTTCAGGCGGCAATTGAGGCAATCTTACGTGTCGCAAATTAACGGTGTGCAAGTACTGTGTATGGCGGCGCGCGGCGTGTAATCAGCGGCGAAAGTAAACGTAAACTTGCGGCGGAATGCGCGCAAAGCCGAACAGCGATTATTAACTTTTCTATTGTGTTAATATCATAAAAGGTTTAATAAGGTTCTTAATAACACGATAATCAAATATTTGCTCGAAATTAAGGTCAACCATTTCATTGCCGAACTAAAATTAGCCGTGCATTGATATTATTTGTGTTAGGGAAGAAAAATATAATGGTACAGACTGTGAATTATTGCGAGCTGTGAGTTTTAAGCAATAATCGATGTATCGTTGAAAAAGGGGCCATTGTTTATCAAAACCTTGTATAAACTTGATTATATTGTTAAAAGTTAATACTAAAATTTGCTTTATGAACATTATTGCATAACATTATTACATATTGAATATTCGTATTTTTGATTTTTATTGTTACAGTTTATCTTACCTACGAGGGAACTCTCATGGGCGCAACGACAGAAAGTATAAAGAGAGCGTGGAAGTTCTGGATCATTCAGATTAATGCAATTTAATAAGATACGCGTAAGCAGAACCAACCTGGAACAATACCGAAACTACTACTTTATACTACTACTAATAATTAATTTTGGTTTATGCCGTATTGTCGGTTGGATTGCATCAGAACCAGAAACTAAACCGTTTTTTAGCTGAAATTAGAACAGAAAGACTTGGTGCATTCTTCACAAAGTAATGTGCATTTTAAAATGAAAATGATAAAAAATGTTTATTTCAAAAGTAAGAATCGAATTTAAATTGATATTTCTCTGTCCAAACAAGACTGAAACCGCAAGTTCGGTTTTTATTTACGTCATATTTACTGAAACACCTTGTACAATTGATTTTTAAATTTGCCGCTTCAAGTAAACGCCGTCAGGTTGGTACTGCGCAGTTCGTTGGGACACGTCCAGTCCGCGTCGAAAAATATTAATAAACATGGAGCCACCGCTAAAACTGCACGATTCCCTCGTCTGCCGGCTCTGTGCCGAGGAAAACAACAACGGTAGCCTAATCTACCATTCGACTGAAGGCGGCGATCAGCTGAGCGATGTTATCAACAAATATCTGCCATTGAAAGTGAGTGCCCTTGATCGCGTTTCGATGTGCGCGTCCATTTTGTACGGATGTTCATTTGACTCGCTATTCTGCGCCGCTTCGATAACCAAAGAACGAATTCAAAAATATAGCGAAGGTTGTCAACACTCCTCAGCACAAATAATCCTTCCAATCTGTAGTTGCCCAATTTACTGAATTCTAACCTAACATAATAAATATATGCATTAAAAATTAATTAAGACGATTTGCGAATAATTGCAGGTATCTGATGATGGCAGACTTCCTTGCACTCTGTGCCCTGGGTGCACAATTCAGTTGGAAGCAACCAAGTCATTTTTTGATTTGATTATTGAAGGGCAAAGAAAATTACAGACTTTGTTCAATGGGCAGCAAGATCACCAGGGAAAATCACAGCTGGAGGAGTCTGGAAAGGAGCAATTGGAGAGTGCCTTAAAACTAGTCAATCCAAATAGTTCTGTGCAGACTTACTCAGTCCAATCAGATGAAAGTGGTGAAAAAATATTTATTCAAAGTATGTTTAATAAGTGTATTTATTTATTTTAATATCTTAATTTTTTATTACTTTTAAGTTTTGTCAGATGGACCTCTATTCCCACCAGATCATGAGTTGTCAATGAAATTGAACAATGAAAAACCTAAAAAGAAGAGAGGTAGACCTCCTAAACCACCTGCACCTGAAGTTAGTGAACCTGATAAAGTACAGCCCATACAAGAGGAATTTAAGACAGAACTGGAAGAACCAGAACCTGCAGAAATATCAGATGGGCTTGGTAAAAGAAGGAGGAGGATTAAAAAGCCATTAAAGTATTCTGATCTTATTGAAGTAAGAATCATAGTAATTTATGCAGTTTAAAATAACTGAATGATTTTTAAAAACATTTTAATTAGGGAAAAGAGCTTGATAGAGTATTCTTGGAAGAAGGTATCAATGATGAAGAACATGATATTGCAATGTTGTTAAATACAGACACAAAACTTCTTAAATCTGAGGTGGACTGTGAAGAATCTAAAATATCGGAGACCGATGGTGTGAAACAATCTTTAAGTCCCAAATTAAAAAAGGTGATTTCTGGTAAGAAGACATTTGAGTGTGAAATTTGCGGGCGGTGTTTCATGAATCAGAGTCGAATGGAAATGCACAAAGTTTTTCATAAAGACATATTCTATCAATGCATAAAATGCTCACAGAGTTTTGATACCAAAGAAGGCTTCATGGTACATTCAGAGGAAATGCAACATGAAGATTTTAAGCTTATTGAATATGTTGATAATTATGTAAGTTATTCAAATGTGTACAATTCATGTGTTCATTTGAGGATTATTTTATGTTTTCAGGGTCAAATTGAATTACCAACATCAGTTGAAAAAGATGTAACGACAATTAAAGTTGCGGAACCACTTGACACCGCCGAAAAGTTAAAATGTGAATTATGCGATAAACTATTTTCCACCAAGCAAAACCTCGACGTCCATCATAAAGCAGTCCACAACAATACGAAACCATATGCATGTGATAAGTGTGACAAGCAATTCCCTTACTTCTCCAGCTACAAAAACCACCTCTTGCAGCATGTGTCGAAAACTCACGCATGCGACCAGTGCGAGAAAGTATTCAGTCACCCTAGCAGTCTTGTCTATCATCGAGAAACAGAACACAACAACGGCCGCAAATTTGTCTGCAATAAATGTAAGAAATCTTTTAAACACAAACAATTATTACTGCGGCATCAACTCGTGCACACTTCTGAGCGTCCATTTAGCTGCACAGAATGCAAAGGAGCGTTCAAAACACGTGCGAATTTAATTAACCACATAGCGACACACACGAAAGAAAAAAAGTTTTTCTGCACCGAATGTGGTTTGTGTTTCCCGTATAAAACTTCATTGAATTTGCACCAACGGTGGCATAATGGACAGAAAGACTATGAATGTGATGTGTGTATGAAGACGTTCTCACAAAAAGGAAATATGGTTGAGCATAGGAGGATACACACGGGCGAAAAACCATTTTGTTGTTCGTATTGTGGTCGAAGGTTTACCACTTCGTCACAGTACAAATTGCACGTGAAGAGGCATACGGGCGAGAGACCGTGGAGATGTGAGTATTGCTCGAAGACGTTCTTACATAAGGATACCTGGAGGAGTCATACGCGGAGACATAGAAATGAGAGACCTTATCAGTGTACATATGTAAGTAACTTCTTTCAGAAACATGATTTCTATATCAATTCTTTGTGTTTGCTTTATTGTATGGTTTTATAGTGTTTAAGGGGTTTTACTGAACAATGGGCTCTCAAAAAAACACGAACGTTTGCATACTGGAGAAAAACCGTACACATGTGATATTTGTGGTAAATCCTTCGCGGATTCATCAAATTTAAAGAAACACACAAAGACTCATTATAAGGATCAAAACGCTGGTAACGTTTTAAAGAAAAATGCAGAACAGTCTTCTTTAAATGATAACAGCCAAGTTTTGTACCTGACCTACGACGATCCCTCCGAGAATCCACAGCCACTGGTACAGGGCGTGAAGGGTATCAATGACAGTGCGATATCCGCCGAGGACGATAATCCAGACAATATGTTCAACGAGGATTTAATACAAGGAACTTCAACTGAAGAAATTTCTATTGATGTACAGGTAAGACTGAAAAAGTTACTATTATATTAGTTTCTGTTAAAAATTAATAAAATCGAATTATAGCAATTGGTTGATAATGATGGAAATGTTATAAGTATAACAACGGATGACGGACAACAGATTAAAGTCGTTACAACTATGGACGATGAGCAATGTATTCAGGGCTTGATGCCAGACGGCACATTAATTCCGATTAATCTCAGCACGCAAGATGGCAAACCAGTTGCAGAATTGATTGCTAATAATCACGTAAGTGGAACGTATAAATAAAAGCGTTTCATAATTTAATCATTTTGTAATTCTTGTTTACAGATGGAAAATTCGTCGCTTATTCAGCCTGATTTGAATTCAATGGAATTATTGCCGCCGGAAGAATCAAATGACAGCGATAAGGATAAAATTCAATTTTTGAACGAAGATGGTCAAAACTTGTGTTTTATTGCGTATGGGCTCGAAAGTAATTCTATGGGAGAAAATCAATTTATCAACATTAATTGATGGAGAAACTTGAACAATGCTAGAAGCATTGCTAACTTTCTGTGATAGTTTACGGTATGTTTTTTTAAATATTTTGCATTAGTTAATATATACATTTTTTTAATAATTGAAATTTCATAGGACGCTGTGGTATAATATAATACTAATGGATGTAGATGGGTTAAATAATTTGTTTCTTACGACAAGCGCGTTCACATTGAAACTTAGTTTCTATTTTTGTAATATAATAACTCGAAAAATATACAAATAAAAAAAATAAAGCAGTTATAGTTGAATTCATTTATTGCACAGGTCAACACAAAATTTGCCTTTCAGTTTAAAGTTTTAATTTCGATAATTTAGGTCATAACTGCACAAAAAAATATGACACAAAGAAGTTTGCTTCTGTATTCAGAATTCAGATTTAACAATATTTTTCAAAATTTGGGCCTTTTATGTTTAATTAAGGATAGAACCATACAAATAAATTAATTTATCATTTTCATGTAATTTTACTATTAAAACTTATAAAAAAGTGAAATATAGTTTAAAAGTGTGCATGTTTGCTCTTTCTTTTATGATCATAATAAGTGCTTTCTCTCAATAAACCCCAGATATAGTCTCCCATCATATTTTCATTATATTGGCCTTGATATCGTTGTTCGAAGTTCATGATGTCCTGATGAAAACGTTCTCCTTGCTCTTCGGAATATGCCCCCATGTTATTTTTAAACTGATCTAAGTTCGCATGAAGCGTACGTACTTTCAATGACATCCTGCAATCCATGGCCTTAAAATTTTTTAACATGTCTTCAACTAATTTTTCGTAGTTTTTAGCTTTGTTATTTCCTAAGAATCCAGATACTACTGCTTTAAAACTGTTCCAACTCGCTTTTTGGGTGTGATTCAGCAATTTTGGAAATTTTTCATCGGCCAAAATTTGCCTAATTTGCGGACCAACAAAAATTCCAGCTTTAACTTTTGCTTCGGATAACTTGGGAAATTTTTTTTTTCAAATAAGTAAAAGTTTCTGAGGTATTGTCAAGCTGTTTAACGAATTGTTTCATCAACCCCAACTTAATGTGCAGAGGTGGCATTTATATTTTTTCTACGTCAACAACTGCATCGAATTTCACGTTTTGTTTTCCGACACAATATTCCGTCCTTACATGATCGCTCTACATAATGCTTAGCATCTGCTCTGCTATCCCATAAGCATGGATAACATGGATATTTCGTATATCCGCTCTGTAATCCCATTAACAGTCCGAACATTTTAAAGTCTCCAATCAGTTGCCAGTTATATTCGTGATACTTAACCGATGTAAGAACGATTCAAACACTTTCATAATTATCTTTAAGATGAACTGAGTGAGCAATAGGAAGAGATGGAAATTCGTTTCCATTGTGTAACAAAACAGCTTTTAAGCTTTTCGTAGAGCTGTCAATGAATAAACGCCATTCGCTAGGAACACAAGGTATGCCAATTTCTGCAAACAAACCTTTTATGTCGTTGCAAAAACAAAGTCCATCTTCTTTTGTGAAAAACTTAGAAAATGTTTCATGTCTAGTTCGTTGATCCGTAATCTTAACATCAGCAAGCAAATTCCATTGTTTTAAACGAGAGCCCAAAAGCTCTGCTTTACCATTCAGTAAATTTAAATCTCTTATCAAGTCGCGAAAATCTTCCTTAGTAATGAGATGGTAGCTTGGTGGTTCTGGAGTAGGTAAAAATTCTTTATCGGAATTACATTGTGTACTTTTAATGGAACTAAGAGATGAGCTACTTTTCTGAGATAATTTTTTTTGGTGGTGAAGGGACTGGTCGTGTCAGGTCGTGTGCAATTGGAGCAGAAGAAGACTCGAGACTAGGATATTCAATAGGTTTTGCATTTTTTGCGCTCTTTTATTTGGATTTACAACGTGGTCTTTCGGTTCTCGCCAGATTCTTGGTACTGCGAATTTCATAAATCTTTTCTCTCCTCGATACCAACCTAACATGTAGAAATAGCAAATGATATCTTTATTAAATTTGATTTACTGTTTAATTAAAAATTGTTTACCTTCCAAAGATCTTTTACAACTACTACAAGCAACATGTGGGGCCCATGACTTGTCTTGATTGCGAACAGGAAAATAAAAATATGCTTCGTAAGCTTCACAGAGAACCTGTGATGTCTTCAGTTCAAATTTTGTGTCTCGAACTTATATAAATTGACCACATATATGTATTTTTTTTGTTGAGCCGTGTTATGAATCCGCCTATATTAACCAACCGGTTATTATGACGTAATTACAGTAGAATCCGTTTATTGTGACTCCGCTTATATTGACCAACCGGTTATTATGACGTAACTACACTACCAAGTTTGGTTTTTATATAAAATTCTGTATAAAAAAGTCGGATATAATGACTTCGCTTACAGTGACATGTCGCTTATTATGACCCATTTTTAATAGATTATGTCCGGTTATAATGACCAACATGATTCTTGACACCTCCGGTAATGTTCGTTGATACCCGACGACGTTCGACACGTGGCGAACTTTTTATATTTATTGCTACATTTCTTTTATGATTGTCAAATTACTTTTATGTATTTACTATCGGAAAGACCAAATGCTTAAATAGTAAATATAAGCATTCGGGCAGCAGCACCTTGACCACGACTTAATCCGTATTTTCCATTAATCCGAATTTGGCGTGGGTCATTCGACAATCTCAATGCTTTTTAAAAAACAAGAGCCGTATTAAGCAATCGTTCAATTCAAATGTTTTGAAACCAAAGATGCTTCGAAAATCACAAGAAAATTAATTAAATGAAAAAACAAAAGCAGACAAAAATTACAGATTACTTGCAGTAAAAAATACACTTGTATGTGTTATAATGTGCTGATTACGTGCAATTTTGATTTTGATTTAATATGTATGTATATGTATGTGTATTTACATAAAAAGGGTTTTCATTTCACAAAACGCTTTGTATGACGTCCGCTTATTATGACGTGTTTGTCAATTCCCTTCGATGTCATTATAACCGGACTCTACTGTACACTACAAAGTTTGGTTTTCTATATTTAAAAGTCGGATATAATGACTTCCCGTACAGTGATATGTCGCTTATTATGACCCATTTTTAATAGATCATGTCCGGTTATAGTGACCGACATGATTCTTTACACCTCCGGTAATGTTCGTTGATTCTCGACGACTTTCGCCACGTGGCTCGTGGCTCGTTCTGAGTCGTTTTTCTCTTGAATCTCAGTGAGTAATTGACGCTTGAAAGTCACGCATTGTTTTTCGTTTGTTACTGTGAAAAAAATGTCATCTCAACAACGTAAAGCATTTTCAATTGAGGAGAAAAGTGCAATAATACGCAGATTAGAAAATGGAGAATCTAACTCACGTCTAGCAAAGGAATTTGGCGTGGGTCATTCGACAATCTCAATGATTTTTAAAAACAAGAACCGTATTCAGCAATCGATCAATTCAAATGTTTTGAAACCGAAGAGGCTTCGAAAATCACGACAAGAACATGTTGATCAAGCATTAATTCATTGGTTTAAAAACATGAGAAACAAAGGAATACCTGTCAACGGCCCTAAGCTACAAGAAAAGGCAAATGGTTTTGCCGCACGTTTTGGTATTCTCGACTTCAAGTGTTCTGCAAGCTGGATCAGTCGTTTCAAAGTTCGACATAACATTGTGGCGGGAAAAATTGTCGGTGAATCTTCGTCTGTTGACCAAAATTCAACAACAAACTGGTTGATATCTGTGTGGCCGAATTTACGAAGGCAATTTTCTGATGATGATATATTTAATGCTGATGAAACTGGACTTTTTTACAAATTAATGCCGAATGAAACTTTAAAATTTATAGGTGAAAATTGTAGTGGAGGTAAGTTGTTGGAAGATAGAATAACTGTCATGGTAGCAGCAAATATGAGTGGCACAGAGAAGAAGAAATTGCTCATTATTGGAAAGTCACAAGAACCAAGATGTTTTAGAAGTGTCAAATCACCTGTCGATTATGCTAACAATCATAAAGCTTGGATGACGTCAGAAATTTTTGAAAAATGGCTTCGTGATTGGGATCATGATTTGGTGAAGAATAAGAAAAAGATTCTATTGCTGGTTGATAATTGCCCGGCGCATCCAAATATTACTGATTTAAAGTCTATAACACTTGTTTTCCTTCCGCCGAATATAATATCAGTACTACAGCCAATGGAGCAGGGAATAATACGATCACTCAAAACGAATTTTAGGAAGAACCTTCTGCTCAAAATGATTAATTGTCTTGATGCTAGTGAAAACAACTCTTCTACAAAAATAACGGTGCTAGATGCAATTCTGATGGTTAATGATGCCTGGAATAAAATGTCACAAAGTACCATTCATAACTGTTTCAAACATGCAGGATTCATTGAAAGCCACGACGGTTTAAAACATGAATTCGATGAAGAAGATGACATTCCTTTATCTTTGTGGTCACGAAACCTACTCGTAAATTCAGATTCTTTAGCAGCACCAGAAATGTGGGAAGATTATGTTGACATCGATAGCGCTCTCCTCACGTTCGAGGAACCCACCGATGAAAATATCGTACAGAACATTAGTGTTAAGGAAGAACTCGAAAGTGATGGGGAAGAGGAAGTCGAGGAAGCACCATTACCTACCGCAGAGGAGGCATTAAAAGCTGCAGAATTATTATCACGATTTGTTCACAGCAATATTGAAAATGATAATTTGACCATAGCAATGTCTTCTATACACAATAGTATTAGAGAATGTTTTTACAATGAAATGATAAAACAAAAGCAGACCAAAATTACAGATTACTTACAGTAAAAAATACACTTGTATGTGTTATAATGTGCTGATTACATGCAATTTTGGTTTTGATTTAATATGCATGGTTATATATGTAATTACTATGTTTTTGTATTAAAATACTTACGTACATATGTACATGTTTACATAACGAAGGTTTTTCATTTCACAAAACGCTTTGATTGACGTCCACTTATTATGACGTGTTTGTCAATTCCTTTCGATGTCATTAAAAACGGACTCTACTGTACGTACTAAAGGTTTTTATTTGCTCTTAAATTATAACATATTTTACAATTCATATATCATACCATTAGAAAACATGCATTAATTTATTATAAATCATCTCTTTACTAGGCAAATATCTTCACCCAATCTTTTTTCCAACTAAAATAAGTGACTCATTTTTATGCACATTGCAACTGAACGATAGATAGATTAGAGTTACTATATATTTTATAAAATTACACGTACTCTAAGCTGATGCGAACCAGCAATTAAAAATATGGCTGAATTTAAAATGTGTTCGTAGATGTGACTTAAAACGAGAGTCGCGAAGGCCTTAAAGCGCAATGTTTTGCGTATAATCGTACTCAATAGTAGGAATGACAGATTGTACGAATTTTAAAAAGATTATTAAATACATATGCACACCCAACTCGCCACCGCCCTCGGTGACTGTTTCGATAATGCTTTTCATTACCTCAGCGTGTCGGCATGGGTGCACCGACGCCATTTTGGGAATACTCAAATGCGGGTGAGCTTCCATTGTAACTGTCTTTTTCGCGTAATCTTTGCTTATGTCTTGAAAAGTTTCGTCTGTTGTTAACGCCTTACGATTCTGCAAATTTTTAAAAATTGAATATTTCAGAGATTTGTTTATACTAAATTGCTTGCCTCATCATATCCTGTGAGCCATAGTCTTGGAGTTTGGTAGTATTTATCATAAGTAATGTGCAGATCATATGTCCGAGTGTGAACAATCCCACCCTCTTCGTCACCCTTTGGACTTTCTTTCAATACAACCGGTTCAGCTTTCTTTAAAAATCAAACATTCAAAATCAATGATAATTTAAATTAAATCTCCGTCTTAATTTTTACCTGAACATCATCTAACATTCCACTCTCTTCAAATTCTTCCATATCACAGGCTTCTTCATCATCTTCCCCATCTGGCTCATCAATGGTTGCTTTGCGCTCCATGGCATCCTCCATACATGCCGCTCTTGAAGAGTCCAAAGTCATCTCTGAAACTTTGTCCTCCAATCCGGCGGTTGCCGAATCGTAATGATGAGTGTCTACCCACCCATTATCGGCGTCATCTGATTCGATAATTCTCTGCAGATCTTCAGAGTATTCCATTTGTTCACAACGTCGTGAGCACGGCACGTTCCGCGTGATCAAGAACTGTTTGTTTCGTGGTAGATAGGGCTTCGCCTTAGAGTCGTCGCCGCTGGACCATTGCCATGTTGGGCAGTGGTGTACAAGGTGGTCGCCCGCGGCGACAAACTCTTCAGGTGTTATCACACCTGTTTCGCGAAATTTTGATTCCTGAATATAAGAAATATTATAAAAAATTATGCTTCTTTTTGATTTGTTATGTGGGACCAGGAGGAATTACTATTATTAATATTCAGGAATACACTTACTTTGAGAACAGGCGTTAAATACTCGGCCACCCCGAGGGCGGTGCCTTTCACGCTATTCAAAACGTTCTGCATCACAAATTGAGAATGTTACACTTCTTTCTAGTCGTCCAGACGTTCAGAGTTCAGAACGCGGAATGCGTTTTGAGAGTTTACACACACACACTGATTAAAATGCCGACGAGGGACTGAATATTCTGATTCTGATTGGAATGTCGAACAATAACATAACCCCTAACATGCTCACTATCTCTCTGACACTGACACTAGCTGTCCAGTCAAGTGTCATTATCATATGGTTTCTTATTTATTCGAAATTGTGAATTGAGACTACGCAAATTAATGGTTTAATGTAAGAATACATTTTAAACTAAGTGTTAAATTATTCCTTTATGATACTTTCTAAAACAAAGGAAGGACACAAACGTGACTTATATAATTTTATATATTTAATTTTTAAATAAATATGGATGATATAAAGTTAGAAAACGTATTAAAAATGCCGAAACATCAACAACCAAGTGAAAATATACCGGTTGTAGATAAAAACATAAGCTTTAATGATTTCTTTGAACAATATTTGTTAACAAATCAACCTTGTATCATCAAAAACGTGGCAGATGAATGGAAATCAACAAAACATTGGATCACAAAGAATAGAACAGCCGTGAATTTCAAATATCTCCGAAATAAATACTCCTCAGAAGAAGTTCTCACTTATGACTGCAACTCAAAGTTCTATAATTCACATAAAACGGAAAAAACCCTATTTGGAAAATATTTACAATACTGGGAAGAATACAAAGAAAATAATTACTCTGATAAAGATCCCTTACTATATCTTAAAGATTGGCATCTACAAAACAGCCACCCTTATGACAACTTTTATAGTGTTCCAATATATTTTAAATCAGATTGGCTCAATGAATATTTGATTGCAACTAAAAGGGATGACTATAGATTTGTTTACATGGGTCCAAAAAGAACTTGGTAAATATTATCAAAACATAATTTACATATGTGAGAAATCAATTCGGTTTTAGGACACCATTTCATGCTGATGTTTTCAAATCCTACAGCTGGAGTGTTAATATTATTGGTAAAAAGAGGTGGATATTTTTACCTCCAGGTGAAGAACAACATCTTAAAGACAAATTTGGCAACTTACCACATGAGATCATAAATATTCCACTTAATTGCAAGCATTATAATATAATACAAGAAGCTGGGGATGCTATTTTTGTTCCGTCTGGTTGGTATCATCAAGTTGTCAATCTTGAAGATACAATCTCCATCAATCACAACTGGTTAAATGGATGTAATATTAATTTGATGTATCTTGATATGCAGAAACATCTGGAAGAGGTAAAAGATGAAATTGATGATTGTAAGGGTGATTCTGACTTTGAAGAACAGTGCCAAATTGTTTTGAAAGCATCTTATGGGATGGATTTTAAAGAATTTTTACATTTTATTTCATGGATTGCTGAAACGCGATTGAATGCGAAACCAATGAGCAATTTAGCGCGATTTGATCTGAAAATGATTAAGAAGGTTTTGGAAAGTTTCATGTTAAACAAGGCTGTTAAGAACTTAGTACTTCTAAATGAAGTTGAATCTTTATACATGAACATTACAAATTGCTAGAAAAATCTATAAAAATATCTACAACTTACTACTAGCAATACTAATTACACCATCCTCATCCAATTGTTTAATTTCTTTGGCAGTATATCCTAAATTTTGTAAAATATCGACAGTATGTTCTCCATTTCGTAGCTTAGGTTCACTTCCTCGACTTTGCCCTGGTGTTCTTGATAATATAGGAGCAGGTTTCGGAATAACAACACCATCCTTGACAAGAAAACTTTTCCTTTGTTTATTGTGAGGATGATTAGCAGCTTCTTCATATGATAAAATAGGTGTAACACAAGCGTCCGTTGATTCATAGATCTGGGACCATTCTTCTTGTGTTTTCTCTAAGAATTTCTTAGTGAACAACTTCTTTCCTTCCTCAAAATCTAAATAAGGTGCCTCATCCAAACTGAGACACAATCCATCCAAGAGTTCTTGATAAAACTGTGGTTCAATAGCACCAACAGCCATAAACTTGCCATCCTTTGTCTCATATACATCATAAAAATGTGCACCACTATCCAAAAGATTTTCCCCTCTTGCATTTGTAAATAACATTGTGTTTTGTGACCTAGCCAACCAGCTAGAGACATATGCTGTACCTTCAGTCATATTACTATCAATAACTTGCCCCTTTCCACTAATGGCTCTCTCAAATAATGCCATGACTATCCCAAAGGCACAAACAAGACCACCACCAGCAAAATCAGCAGCATAATTGATTGGAAATAATGGTTTTTCATTTTTCCTGCCAAGCAATGAGAGAAATCCACTCATTGCCATGTAGTTGATGTCATGTCCAGCTCTTTTGGCAAAATTGCCAGACTGACCATAGCCAGTAAGGCGGGAATACACAAGTCTAGCGTTTTCTTTGCAGAGAATATCTGGACCCAAGCCTAGTTTCTCAAGAACACCAGCTCTAAATGGGTCAATCAACACATCTGATTGATTGCTGAGTTGCTTAATAACTTTGATTGCTTCAGATTTCTTTAAATCCAATGCTATTGTTTTCTTTCCATTGCCTAGTATATCAACCATATCCATAGGTTGCAGCTAAAAACGTGTAATTTAAGTTAAAAAATCTTTGAAAAGAAGTTTCATCTTACTTTGTCAATTCTTGTAACTGATGCACCAAAATCAGCCAGAATCATGCCACAAAAAGGTGCGGGGGCAAGGCCAGCAAATTCAAGAACTTTTATTCCTTTTAATGCCATTTTTTGTAAGAAATTTAACAGAAAAGCTGATTTCTGTCTTACATATACTTATCACTGCTCATCAGATCTCAACCTTTGGAATTTGCCCATTTAATATCAACAATTTAAAATTATGCAGGCAATTGTAATAAAATTAAGTTATAGCCTTACACCATTATATTTAATTAGTTAAAAACTTGTTAAAAAGTCGTTAGGGGAACATAAACCCTGTTCATTTACATTTTATACTTTTCCACCAAAATTAACACACATTGTAATTATGCAACCTATACTACTTCATGCTCACTGCAAGAAATGCGGAAATTTAAATAATTAAACTATTACATTGTGTTTTGCTTGTATAATTTAATTGCAATTATATAACTTTGGACACAATACAAAGCCAGTCTTTTGCAACTTGGAATTAGAAGTTAAATGCAATAAAAGTGCTAAATAAAAGTAGAGATAGTAGGCCACCCAATATGCATATTACAAAACATGTAGTTACTAATCAGCGGTCTCTGTATATTTTGTGATTTCCATATTCGTGATAATAACACAGTTTTTGATTTTATACCTAAGTCGACCGTCGTCGAGTACCGAGTAACAAACGCAACGAGTGCAACGTTACTTTCAGGTGCACCTCAACGAACGTGCCTTTCCATAATATTTACGTCTTTAATTACAACCGCATAACCTTGTATTGTCAAAACTACTGCGGGGCGATAATGTTATAATCAGCCGATAAAAAAACCCGGATAATTTTCTATTCATTTGTTCATTTCTCACGGAATCCATTTCTTATTTGCACTGGCACACGAAAGCAAATATTTGCACGCGTGTGATTAATGGATATCTCCACCGAGTCAAACTGTTAACATCATTTGGTGAGTGAGCCGGTTGTGTCGTGTAATATTCAACGCGCAGAAACAATGTCACCACTGCAATACCTGCTGTTTTCAAGTTTTCTCCTATTGAATAATTTACACTTTATCAGTGCGCAAAAACATTCGGATCAGTCGCAGCGGAAAAGTATCGTGCAGGAACCGAAATGTGTCGAGATTCGTGCCATGTGCCCTAATCTAAGCGACCAGTCAGATGACGTGCTCATAATTGAATGCCTGCAATCACTGGATCCTAAACTTCTGGGCAGATTAAGCGACGATTGCCAGCATGTGATTTGGACACACATGAACAACCTTCTACAGGATGAGAACATCCGCGATATGTTAATGCCGGTATGTCGTAGCAACTTGGATAAAATTAATTGCCAAGTTGCAGCCACCAGTGGGTCTTATTTAAAATGTATCGTCAATAATAAAGAGCAGATTGACAATGCAGATTGTGTTAACTATGTGTTAAGAATAGAAAATGTTGCATTTTATGACTACAGATGGATTGCTCAGTTTGTCAATCATTGCAATGCTGATATTGATAAACTAAACTGTGGGAGACTTGATCATGATGGTTTAACACAATCAGAAACTATATCATGCCTACAGAATCATTATGATGAAGTGAATGATGAATGTAAAAAAGAAATTTTTAAGTTGACAGAGATTCAGTCAGATAGTATCAAGTTAGATAGACAATTGTATCTGGCTTGTGCTGAAGACCAGATGAGATATTGCAGACAATTTGCACCTGGGAGTGGCAGAGTTTATAGTTGCCTTATCCATCATAGATTTGATTCTTTACAAGTGCAATGTCAACAACAACTATTAAAACGACAGAAGCTTATCTCACAAGATTACAGAATAAGCAAGGGATTGATGAAGGCATGCAGGGATGATATTAAAAAATCTCACTGTAGAAAACAAACATCTGATGATAAGTCAATCAGGATGGCTCAAGTTTTGTTATGTTTGGAAAGCGTTATGAAAAATGGGACACGCCTAGAGGCAAACTGCGTTGCGGAAATGTCGGATCAGCGTAGAATTTTAATGGAAGACTTTCGGTTGTCACCGGAAATTGTTGATAAATGCTCCAATGAAATTCAAACCTATTGTATGGAACTCGAAGCCGGTGGTAGAACTATTCATTGTTTAATGGATCATGCGCGACTTAAAAATAGCAAGAAACGGATTAATTATCAATGTCAACGTGCGGTAAGAATGATCTAAATATGCTAAACTATATAAATTAAATGCTTTTGTTTTGTAGTTGGAAGATTTAGTAAAAGAAACGGATTTGGGCGAGGATTGGCGTGTCGATCCAGTATTACATGAAGCATGTCAACCGGTGGTGCGTGCCGCGTGTCAAGACATCCGCGGGGGCAACGCTCGTGTGCTGTCATGCCTTTTGGACAATATCGCTGCTGACCATATGACGGAAGATTGCGAAGAGGCCCTCTACCAGATTCAATATTTTGTGGCGCGTGACTTTAAGTTGGATCCGCAATTATACAATGCGTGCCGTGACGACGCCGCTAAGTATTGTAATGTACGCGGCGCTTGGGATGATAAAGTCTATAACGATCCGGAGAATGGACCACAAGTTTTGCCCTGCTTATACCGTTATGCGTATAATGAAGATAAAGACAAGCAATTGAAGGAACAGTGCTTCGAACAGATCAGACGCGTGATGCGTCAACGGGCGCTGAGTGTCGATCTTATGCCGGAGGTTGAAGACGCTTGCTTGCCAGACTTAGCATCGTTTTGTTTTGATAAAACAGAAAAAGGTGAAGAAATGCTGTGTCTTCAAAACAATTTGGATAAATTGGACGATAATTGCAAACATCAAGTGGAAGAGTTTACTGAAAAGGAAGCTCAGAACGTTGAGTTGAATGCGTACGTTTCGACACATTGTAAGAAAATTATTCAGACTTTATGCACACCGGATGACAAACACGATCAAGGTAGTGTTATGGAATGTTTGATTTCAAATAAAAATAATCCAACCGTCAAGGCAAACCCAAAGTGTCGTATTTCTATCGAACACTTTCAGTTGATTTCGTTGAAAAACTACAAATTTTCGTTCAAATTTAAAGCGGCGTGTAAAAATTACGCAATGCGGTTTTGTGTAGCAGCGAAAACGAAATCGGAAGTGGTCGCATGTCTGAGTGAGAAAATCACAAACGATACAATTGCGGGGATAAAAAGCGATGTACAAAAAGAATGTAGACAACAACTTAAAGCTCAACTGTTTCAACAACGCGAGAATATCCATTTTGATCCCAAATTGGAACGGGCTTGTCATGATGATATTCGGAAATTCTGCAAAGATGTTGAAGCCGGTTCGTCACAAGTTCTCGAATGTCTACAGTCAACATCCGAGAAAAAGTTAAGCGATACTTGTCAGGTGGAGTTGTTTAAAGTGAAGAAGCAGGAGACAAGCGATAATTCAGTAGACTATGCTTTACAAACGCTGTGCGAAGACACAATTCAGTTGTTTTGTCCGAAGGTGGAGAAAGCGCGTGTGTTGGACTGTCTTAAGAGGCACAAGGACGATATTGGCTTTAATAAGAAATGTCTGGCTGTCGTGAAGCATCGCATCATTGAACAGAACACAGATTATCGCTTAAATCCGCTGCTGCAGGAAAATTGCAAGATGGACATCAAGAAGTTTTGTTATAGTGTTGCTGTCCAGGCTAAGCCAGAGAAGGAACTGAACGGAGAAGTGATTGATTGTTTGAAGAAGGCATTTAAACATGCCCAACTTTCGAATCGATGCGAAAAGGAAATGTCAATGATTTTAAGGGATCAGGCGATGGACGTGCAGTTAAATCCATTGTTGCGAGCAGTATGTAGGGATGAATTGGATACGATCTGCAAGGATGATTTGGAGAAAGGTTTCTTGGAGGCCGAAGAGTGTTTAAAGAATGCCTTTCTTCAGAAACGCATACCAACTGCGGCGTGTCGGAATGAAGTAGTGAGCATGTTGGAAGAAAGTCAAGCGGATATCAATGTGGATCCGACGTTGCAGCAGACGTGCGCGTTGGATTTGCTGAAATACTGTAAAGATATCCAGGAAGGCAATGGAAGACGTAAGATATTTTTGATATAAAACGTAGTTTGCAAATAACTTTTACTTTGTTTAGATATTCGTTGTTTAAAAATTGTTTTGGAAGATAATCCCAAATCATTGACACCGGAATGCAAGAGTATGTTGTCCAAGAGGTTTGAGATGTATAAAAACGTTGCACAGGTTTGTACTCGTATTATTATCAAATATTTGACCAATATTTTTCGTCACCATGTTCTACACAATGTATTTTATTGTTTCAGTTTGCTCCACCGGAAGGTTTACAGCAGCTGTACAATCAAGTGACGTATTCGCCTGCGAAGCATTACTTTTTCTTTGTGACGCTGATGGTGATCGGGACGATGTTTGCGATGGGCATGTTCTGCGGACGAGTGACTCGCCGCCATATGCTCGTAAAAAACAAATGATGTCGTGAAGGAGTGTTTGGTCGGGGCATTAGGTATAAACAAATGGTCATATTGTGATAGAGCCACTCGTAAGTTTCAAAGTGATTTTACGGCAGTTGAGATGTAATTTTTAAATGTTTTATTCTCGATTTCTTTTTAACCCGTTACTTACTTATTTGCGAAAACTGACAAAGATTGTTCCAAATACCAATGGCGGCTTACAATTTCCCACGTTTTCTGATTAAAAGTTCGTTTGTAGCTTTTATTTCGAAGCGGAAGAAAGCGAGCTCTTGCCATTTCAATAATGTGTCTGATTATTTGTATTATCATGAAAAATGTGTCAATGTATTGCTGTGGTTTTGTTATCGCACAATGTAAATATTAACGAAATAACGCGTGCTAAATACATAATAAAACATGTTTTATAATGAATTTATGAGCGTGTTTGCATACGGATATGGAGACGGAATCGTTGATAATTGGTGTGTTTAACTTCAAAGTTCGATATCTTGAGAAATACCAACATCCGGTCTTAATTTGATAGTTTTCTGGGATTTCTTGTGATAAGGTAGATGTGTTTTGTATGGATAGTAGAAAAATATGCAGATAAGGACAACGAACCTAGTTAATCTTATTTGGAAGGTAGAGGCACTATTTGTAGCAATTATTTTTATTACCGTGTCACTTTAGATTTATGGCAGCACTTTTGAGATCTTTTTCTACATTTTTTGGGAAAACAACTCAAAAAAATAAGTTGGTAAAATAGATGTGAAATCAGTAAATATTGGAATTGTTTGGAATTTCAGTCAACATGTAATTGCCCCGAAATAGTTAACGCTAAACATTTAAGCCTAGACTTTGAATTACGCGCGCATAGCTGCAAACGCCCAGGAGGCGTCTCATTCGCTCATGGTTGGCTCGAGTGGGGAAACGACATCTAATATGGCGACAAAAATGAAGAGCATCTGCCATTTTGCGAAGGCGATTTAAAAAAACGTAAATAACGCAATAAGCTGGCGCGTCCGCGTACGACGGTATCGCGAGTTGGTGTAACGACAAGGACTACCATCACGACGCCCGCATAAACAAATGAATAAATGGACGCTACGTCCATTATAACACAAGTGTCACGCGACGACGAGCACTTGAATAGTTATCCACCCGAAAAAGGTAAATAAAAAGTGACAGATCGCGGCGTTTGTGATCTGCGATCGGACGGAAATAATAGCGCATCGGGATTTTGCTTGAGCGTTGTCATGATGTGGGGTAGCCGCGTTTGTCAGAAAACCCATGCCCATTCAACAATCGCTTCTGACGATTGCTACTGACCATCGCGTTGCATCGAAAGTATAGGCGTGTTGTGTCCATGTGACATGTATGCATATTAATTTCAATATCGAGGCCCAGGAGGCGACGGCTCGCTAGGCGGATAATCCCAGATTTCTAGCTTTGCGAGCTGTTGCTGGGGCCGTGAGTCGCCCTGGACCACCGACCTTGGTGGCGACCCTGGTCGAGCTCTCGTAGCCTTGGCGTTGCGTTTCATTCATTCTTACATCGCCACCCAAGGCACATCTGGTCTTGTATTAAAAAAATTCATGCTATGGCCCTAGATTCGTTTGATTAAATTCTTGGATAAATGATGTGATCACAAAAATGTTTATAGAATTGCGTCGCGTATGCAAATGCACTGCATTCCACACACCTGTATGACCTCTTTTCAACAACAATACCTAACTGAAACTTGATCTGTCCTGTGCGTTTTAAGCTTTCACCTTAATATTTTAACTTATATTACTTGATGTTTCTTTTGAAGGTACACTTCCAAGGACTGAAAATGACATATCAGAGGCGCACGACGCAATTCAGCCACCCCAGCAACCGAAGAAGAAAAATGGCTTCTTTAAGTCGTTTCTCTGTTGTCTGGGTTGCCACAAGCGCAAGCCGCAGAACCCGCAGCAGTACAGTTCCCGCGAGGTGGTGTACGAGACCGAACCTAGAACTTCAGCCTATTTACTGCCACCAGTCAAACACAAAGATATGCGCAAAAAATGCATGGTCATTGACTTAGATGAAACTTTAGTACACAGCAGCTTTAAGGTATACTTTAGCAATTTTTTTAGGATTTTTTTTCTATATTAATGTTTTATTTTTATTTTAGCCAATTAAAAATGCTGACTTCATAGTGCCAGTAGAAATTGATGGAACGGTGCACCAGGTATACGTGCTGAAGCGGCCACACGTAGACGAGTTCCTAAAGCGCATGGGCGAACTCTATGAGTGTGTGCTGTTCACTGCGTCGCTGCCAAAGTACGCTGATCCGGTCGCGGATCTTCTCGACAAATGGGACGTATTTCGCGCGCGACTATTTCGCGAAAGCTGTGTCTTCCATAGGGGCAATTACGTCAAGGATCTTAACAAACTCGGCAGGGAGTTGCAGCAGATCATCATCATCGACAATTCGCCCGCTTCGTACATATTCCATCCAGACAATGCGGTAAGCACGATATACAAAAATATGCATTAAATATACATTATCTTCGAGTACATAGTAAAATAATCATTATTGGAAGTATTTGGTCAAAGTAATAGCATACAATAAATTTGCATGAATAATAATTATTCATATCACTATGTTGTTTGCAATTTGTGGAAGTTGAGTTGCAGACATTATTTTCCAGTCATCGGAAAATATTAATTTCATGATTTCAGTGTGAAGTCAAAATGTAATAATGACATTTTTTATAGGTACCAGTTGCATCTTGGTTTGATGACATGAGTGACACGGAACTGCTTGACTTAATACCATTCTTCGAGAAATTGTGCAAAATGGACAATGTGTATACAGTGCTGTGCAACTCGAACCACCCGTACAACAGCACCGTGCCGCAACTGAGCGGACCCTCGACGCCGTCGTCACCGGGGTCACCAACGAGCACGTAGCGCGCGGCTTCGTGGCGCAGAAAGGCGACCCGCTTCTTCTTCTTTGTGCTGCGCGTGTTCTACGCGGCGGGCGAGCTAGACACGATCATCAGGCATTGGTAACGTGCTCGAAATGCGCCTTTTCCGATCATTTACCTACTCCCCGCACACACATATACCCTTATACCCACAACATAAACATAAGACTAACGCAAAACAAAAGCGCTGTACAGATAACGCTATCATTCGGATCGCAAATTTATACGAATTCGATGTAAGGAGAAGAAGTGTATTTAAGACAAGAGTGTACATAACTTTATGAAGGCGACATCACAGGTAAATAATGTTGTTCGATTGATTAATTGATTTATGATTAATTAATTTTATATCGATAGCGGATTTTTATATAAATTGACACGAGCAATAACAATCGTTTAGGGATTCACATTATATTTTAATCGAACGTAGGCGGGCGCGATGATTTGAAGATTTTATTATTTTTAAAATAAGAATTATAGTCATTACTCATATTAGTAATTAAATTCTTTCTTTGGGTTCTTGCAAAGAATTAAATCATTTTGCGGTTGCGTATTGTAAGATTCAAATGTACATACAATTAATATAATGCAGATAAAATACCTATGTCACTATATTATACATATACATAAAATGCAAACATTACTAATTATGGTGGTTAGTGAGATTTTGAAGTATTTTTACACTGTCGAAAACAAATCTATATTAAATGAGGTATATATTGACAGAATTTACGTACGATGCGGACGAACCGGTTGGAATGTGGAAATATTTTTAATGACGACAAACATTGATTGAATAACACACATACACTAACAGAACAAATGACAATTGAAAGAGTTGCACACATTGTCGAAGCGAACTCAGTTACCACTTAAGCAGGCCCATTTGCCATGCATTTATTTTAAATGTGTTTACAGTTTTGAAACGTGTTTAAAATTTCTATTGGAATTTGAACTATTTTGCACACATACACAAACACATACTCACTGTATCGGCATAAATTTGTCAAATTAAGTTAGTTGACTCGAACCGCTGTATGCGAGTGAAAAGAACAATCATATCTGTGTAGGCAAAAAATTGTAGGCGAATATTTTAGCTATAATGAGATATACTAGGGGATGAAGCGACCACTCAAACAAGTAAAGAATTAACATGCATAATTATACCAAGTCAGTCTGTTTTGGAACCAAATTGGTAACATATTATTTGTTCCGATATCTAAACAGTGGCCTTAACGCAATTCATTGCTATTTCTAACTATTTACACGATGAATTGCAATTCGCTAACGAATAACGTTCATGTAAACTAAACATGCGACTAATTAAATTACATAAATAAATACATGATATTAAATAATGAAGGATAGGATAGAAAATCAATTGAGTGATTTGAATGGGAAATTGATAATGTTGGGACATTTTGAATGAAATACGTAGACGATTTTTAACATTTTTCGAACCCTTTTTTAGTGGAATAGACAATTAAAAAGGATGTACAACATGATACATACACGCATCACATTTTACAACGTCATGATCAGTTGCTGCTGTCCCGAGAGGTTGCACTTTTTAAGTATTTAATAATTAGCATTTCTGCAATTTCGAAAGAGTGAAAATTTCGAGCGAAAACAACTACAGTATTTTTGGGTGTGCAAGCCGCCACTTTGCAAGTACCACAAAATATAAGTGTCGGCTTGCACATTGAGTAACCATATTTAATTTTCATGCTTTTGAATGCTTGTTGTAACTAACAGTCATTTTTGAAAAGGCTTATACATTCATATATAAAAGTTAACACAAAAATACGGTATTTAAATTTAATTTGCCGATTAAAATAGTGTAAGTTACATAATTAATATTGTTATGTTATTCAGTAATATGCGTTTAGTTGTCTTCATTTTTTTTATGTTGCGTATATAGTACAAAATACACGGACTTCGAGTGACGCGACGCGACCGATTTCATTATCACCACGATGTACTGTTTTTGTTCGAGGATTGCGGAAGCTGTATATACATATTTTATATTATATCTGCGAAGCACACCACCGCGGAACGCAATTCAATCAATTTTTGTACAAAAACCAGCATGAAACGAAGCAAGAAATGAATCTATGCTCAAAAATAAAAAGTATTAACTCGATGCGTTAACCGATGACGTACAAGATAAAAGATGCAAATTATAATACTACATTTAAATAACAAGCATTATAAACATTTTTTAAATATGAAAAGAAAACAAAAGCTGATAATACGTTTGTATTTATAAACATAAAGATGTATTTTATGTACGATAGTGCCACGAACTTGTAGATTGATTGTTGTTTCGTTTGAGTCTATCATGTTTTAGAGAACAATTATGTTTGTCGCTTTTTTACCATCCACCAAATCGTTTTAAAAATTTATTTTATAATTTTGTTACACGAATTTATATTATTTACTACTCCACGTTTTATTTTATTTTTGAAAATTTCTTCTCACCTTTGCATTTTACATGTTTGACATGCACACTTGTTTTGTAACGGACATTTGCGGAAGTCTTCTTATTGTAATAAATTTCTACTCGTAAGCGAATATTGTAAGGACAGAATCAACAAAAACTAACAAATTATATATAACACTTAGTTTTATTTTTAACTTAAATGTACATGTATTGGATTATTTTATTAATGATCTATTAATAACTATTATTTAAATAGATTCTATATTTATACACATTAAATTATCCATATTATATTATAAATTATATTTGTTGTAGTGTAATGCAGTTATTGTTTATGTTCAGTCCTTTAAGAACAGACAGAATCATCCAAATTTCAAAATGCAAGTAACACCGGAAACATTAACGTACATCGGGAGTGCATGCATATTTCAACTAACTCAAAAGATTTATCTTCTTGGTAGAATACGTAATACATAGTATAATAGTTATTTAAAATTGTACGTGAATTGAATTACAGTTGTTTTGAGTATACATGCCTTGAGGGCATCGTCAGCGCAATTCACGTACAATTTTAAATAAATATAACTCAAAAGAGAAATAAGAATGTGTTCATTGTCATGTCAAATACAAATAATGCCTTGATTTTGTAAATATTAGCCTGTCATTTTTACCCTATGTACAGTTCTTTGATGATGGAAATATAATGAGACACAACTTTGGATATATTCCGAATCTACTTTTAAAACTATCCCAATAATGTTACAATTTTCAGAAATCCATTACACCTCCGACCATGTTTGGAGCGGGACTACCGCAAGAAGGGTGAGTGTACTTTGAATTTATTTTCCGAAATTTTGGAAAGTTTGTATTTAGATCAGTTGTCCCGGCTTCCCATTTGGTATCCAAATTGTAGGGGTTTTACTTCTGTTATTATTTCATCCACGATGAAGTTCAACAAAGTCGGACTTGAGCTGTCCCCTTGTCGTATTCCTTCGGAAACCGGTGTTGTCGCACTTGTACCCATTCTGGTCCTGTTGTTTTTGTTTACGTCTCTGATAATCTTTATGAGTGGAGCTTGTACCTAGTTTTTGTAACACTTCCAGGACGCCTTCTGTCCGGATTCTATCGAATGCTGTGCTGAGGTCGACGAAGCACATGTAAAGTTCGTTCGTTGTAAATCCACGTTGGCCGTTAATTTGCTCTCTATTATTTTTGTGAATAGTTTGGCATTTACATTTATTAGATCGATTCCAATATAATTATCAGGATTAGTTCTGTTTCCTTTCTTATGAATAGCGATAGTTTAGGTGTGCTTCCATTCGCTCGATACTTTTCTTTCACCGATAATGTTATTAAACATTTGTGCGGTATAATTATCCCGCAACCTCCAAATTAAGAACCATTTTATTCAACAACAAAGATAGGGTCCCCCAAATGTTTAATTCGGGTATTAATAGATAGGATTGCCATTTTTGCAACTCCAGATATATAGGGCAACCTGGTAGAAATTTCTAAATTAGGTTTAAAGAACATGAAAAACCCGACTCTAATTCCACCATTTTTAATCATGCCTGCAGCAATAATCACCCCGTAAAATTTAATAACTTTTCCATTACACACAAGTGTAATAAGGGCGCGGTCATGAATGCCTTAGAAGTAGTGGAAATACACAAGTCATTATGGAACCCCGCGGTACAGTTCCTAAATGAAGTGATAGATCTAAATAAATCCCATCTTCTCAGAATTTAACCCGATTTAAGCTTGATAATATTATTTAAGCAATGTCTTTGAAATGCCGTGTTGATAGTCCTGACGATGCCCTCAACGGCGAAACAATTGTAGATTCTAATCAAAAGCAGTGCAAATAGAATAAATAACGCTTTCAGTGAAAATTCATTCATAAGTTAAAAATGTTGCACAACATGATCACCACAACCCAAGTATTCTTAGTTAAGCCAAGTACTTTTGTCACATTTTAAATTTTTGAACAAAATCTAACTGGCACTAATGTCTTTTTCGACACTCTTTCCTAGATTTTCTGAAAATTGCAATTAAAATTTGATGTCAATGACGGTCAAAAAGATACGGGTCATACAAAGGGACCCTTGAACAAAAATATAACGGCAAGGTGCGGGAAAGAAATGAATTAGTTCACGAGATAAGGGGGTGTTTCACACAATATTTTCAAATTTATAGAAAAATATTTTATGGTCATTTTATGGCATTTTCTAAAAGTCTAGACTATTGATAGAGTACAAAAGGTCATTTAAACCACAATATGATCGTCAAATGAGCATGGTAAATTAATTCACAAAATACGACATGCTTTTAAATTTTAGAATTGTTGCAATTTTCAAATGGTTAATAGTCGGGGGTAATATGAATGTTGTAAATAATCTAACTACAATGTGATAATAGAAAGCAACAAAACGTGCAATTGGTATAAGAGATACAGGGTGTTTCTTTGGTTTTGCACTTTAACTTTAACGCTAGCGCATAAAATACTCGGCGGTCCAATAGTAATAATCGTCGCATAAGTAGATTGCAGCAATCAGTACAGAGCAGCTTCGTTGTCAAGGTGTAAAAAATTAGAACTTTGAGTGGAGTAAATTAAAATTGGAATAAGCACAAGAAAACTGTGTATATTTTCTTCTTTCTAAATAAATAATATAATAATATTTCAAACATAATAAATGTATGCATTTGGAATTAATAATATGTACTACTCAAAATCTTTAAACCAACCAAACACAAAAGTAATTAAACGTTAATAACATTAATATATTCCTGTAAATAATATTTATTATACATTATACAATATTGGTTTATACTGCTTTGATGTGTATTTATAATGATATTATTAAATGGGCAGTTCAGGTACTTAAAATCATCATCATTGATCCAAGTTCGTAACTTTCAACTTGATTATTGCGTTCTAACCAGTCACAAACCAATTCTACAATTTAGATATATTTCTCTTTAGTTATTAATGATGGCATAGTTTCTTCCTGACTTTCACATTTATCACATTAATCACTAATCAATTTGTTCACATTCCATGTTTATACTATTTACATATATGTTTTCCTACTGACACATTATCTTATGGTATATATTAAATAATCAATAACAGTAAATAAATATGATTTTAAAATATAAATATTTTGGTGTAAATAATCATACGTATCTGTAAATTACTTTCTATGCAAATCACAGAATAAAAATACGTCTGTACAATATAAAGCAGTATTATCTGGACGTCATACACATCACTAAAATAACATTTAACAAACCCGAAATAATTATTTTTACATATTGCAGCATTCATATTGCCGTTAATTCTCTTTGATATGTTTTCACACTTAACTTATGACATACTACCGTGTTAACACCTTATTCATTCTCATTCCATCATTATTGCAAACATAATATATATCAACAATTAGGGTCGAGTTTTAATATCAATTCCCAGACACCTTTTCCTGGGTGATCAAACAGTAGACAGCCTTTAGTGTAGTAAACATTATGCCCAACTCACCACTTTCTAAACTTGGTTCCATGAAATCCTCAACAAACTCCAATATAGAACCTAGCTGCAAAATTCTCGCACGCACGACCACGTATTGGAAGAGCGGAAAAAGATCATCCATATTCCACTTATAATTCTCGCCCAGCTGTTCGCGTACACATTCCGACATCTTCTTAAAGGTCTGTTTGATAACACAAAGTTTTTCCATTGGTGAAAAAGTCGTGATTAACGATTGTAAGGTTTCCACAGCTTCAATAAACATTAGGTCACGTTTTGTGTTACCTGGCGAAAGTGGAATTCCATCCGCATACCCTTTAATAAATTTTCTAAAAAACATACAATCAACAATAGCAAAGATAAATAGCAATTGATATTTAATACTAACTGGTCAACATGTAAAAAAGCCATGAGTGTATAATCGGGTTGTTTATTCCATTCCAGCAGGCGTTTCCAATACATTGCATCTTTAAACTTGTTCCGTAATGTGTATAAATTGAACAATGTTGAATGAACTCGTGGCAGGATGATCGGATACAAAAGTATTTGACATGATACTGTACCGGACAATTCGTCTTTCTCGTCTAATATGATCTCTTTGCCGTATTGAGGCAGTGCGGGAAACAACAGCCTTACAATATCGTACAGCCTCTGCGTTACAAAATGAAGTTCCCTCACCGCATGTGGCAAAAGTAATGCATGCGCTCTTGATCCATAAGCAGCCGTGTACGCTGCCGTTAAATCATTCAACAATGAACCTAGTGGATGTCTTGGACAGTCAAAAGCCTAAAACATACCAAAAATTACTACATCTAGGTTACTCTTACTTACATTTATGACTCACTTTATGCAAATAATTTCTCATTTCCATATAAGTCTTCATGTTAATACCGTCCTTTCCAAAATCAGGTATCATGTCTAAGTTATTCATGGATTTTTCTAAGTTTTTACAATTTTTACTATTTGAGCCAAAATGCTTATTTGATATAATAACAGCTACATTCTGCCACACTCTATGGGTATCTGGCAGTTTCACATTGTTTTTGGTGGTATTATCTTGTACACCCAACAGTTGATGGTAATGCCTGAACAATCCTTTCCATTTCTGATCAACGGGCGTACAGTATGTACCAAATGCCTTTGGACTATCATCCACATGATCAAACTTAGGCAATGATAACACGCCGTTAGATATCTTGATTCCTTCACTCCACGATCCAGTCAGAGAGCCTTCCAAAATGTGTCCGGATTTCAGTGTCAAAACTCCTTTGCCACTAAGTACCCCTGTACCCTTAAAGTCGCCTTCATAATGAGTACCATCGTCGAGTATCATAATTCCATGGCCCATGAGTACATCTTGATTAAAAACTCCTTCATAATAGATGCCATCCGAGGTTACAATTGTACCATTGCCATGTTTTTTATTATCTGACCAGTTTCCAAGATATTTCTCACCTATAGTTATTTCATCCATAACACCATATCCGCTTTTATTGCCAAAAAGCCAATCACCAATATAAATGGATGCATTTTGTGCCATAAAATGTCCCTGCCTAAGGCATCCATGGCCATTTGGCAGACCATCTTTAAAACATCCTTTGTAAACATCGCCTGATGAATAATTAAAAATTCCAAAACCATTTTGAAGATTATCTTTCCACTGCCCCTTATATACACCTTTATTTGGTTCATCCAATCTACCTCTACCGTGCATCTGATTTTGTTGAAACTGTCCAGTATAAACTCGTCCATCAGGCCATTCGAGTTTACCTTCTCCATGCATTTTTCCGCACTTCCATCTGCCATTGTATTTCGCATCCTTGTAATACCCATTTTTCGTAAAAGTATATTCCGCGTTTCTTTCTTCGGGTGGTTGGTGTAAACTAACCTTCCCCAATGAGCTTTTAATCGCATTCTGCAACGCATGAAACCACTCAATCTTCTGCTCTGGTTCATTTGCATATAGATCCAGGGTATCCTCCGGCATCTTCAAGCTAATCTGATACTGATTATTGGCGCTATCCTGCTGTGGTTCCACCCACATGGTGCGCAAGTCGTGCATATTGCACGTGGACCCGTTCATGTGAATAAAAATATCTGTTAACAAAATAAACCAATGAGTCGAGAAGCGGCTGCCATTTTGCAGGAATAGTGGAAATTTGTGCGATTCACGCAGCAGGCGTCTAGACGGAGTTTTCAAATGCTCTATCACTTTACCGGAATTCAACCAAAACTCTTTGGTTTGAATAGTTTCCTGTTTTTTATTTTTCTGCTCTTCAATGAAAAGTGTCCATTTGGACATGACATCATGGCGAACTTTTGGAGTATTCTTGACAAAAAAATGGACGAAGTTTTCATAAAACGAAAGTCTATCCAATGGGTGTGCCAAAAGTCGCGATGTGACAATTTCGTCACCTTTCTTATCTCGCTTTTGTACATCAACCAGTTTATAAAGACAAACGGGAATGTCTAGGTATTTGGCAATTGTTGAACACCCGCCGAGTGAAATTACATTATGCAATGTATTCAAATAGATGCGATATACTCGGATATGTTCCTCAACGTACTTCGTCATAATAATATCGCTTTCAGGCAATACATTATTTGTAAAGTCAATTAAACTTTTCACATTAGCAGCTGTGAAGTGCAACAAGTCGATATACTCGCGACAAAGTTGATCGTACAATGAGTCATCGCCAGTAGCAATATTCTTTTTCATAAGCGGTTTTATCAGATTACTCTGAACAGTCAGCATATCTTCAAGTGCTTTTTGCTCGACAACCAAATTCTTCATTACAAAACTATTGCAATCCGCAACGTGATTAAGCAGTGAGTATTGTTTGCAGGATATCAAATAATTCGCAATCTTATCGTCTAAATGAGGATCGTCCTGCATGTCGCTATTTGTCTTCTCATTTCGTTCCTGCATATGAACATCAACGATCTTTTGATTCGCATGTTTCCCGATATACTTGGTGACGTTGCTAGTTGTTAGCAGCCATGTATGCGAATCACAACAAGTTATATCTTTTATCCTTTCACCACTTTCAGTGGAAAACAACCGCGGTGAACTTTGATCCACGGCGCAATCGACGGTAACTTGATTTTGATCGTTTTTGCCCCATAAGAAAGCTCTGCCATCCAATGTGAGAATACCAGCGTGGTAACTTTGCACGCTCACTTTCAGTGCACCAATATTCGATAGTTTCGTTATTATCATCGGGCGCTCACGTTTGATGATATCGCCAATTCCTGATAAACAAGTGAACGTTTCAAATAATTGTAATACTAAATAAAATTATCAAATCACTACAAGAATGTGCAGCTATGCCAAAAGTCGCAGTTAAAAGAAAATGCGTATAACGCTGTTAATCAAACCTTAATTAAAAATTGAATTGTTTGTTGAAAATAGGAATATTAATAGAAATCGTAACCAAACGTAATTATTAACGCAAACTATATGGTGGGTCTAACATTCAGTTGTAAGTCGGATTAATCAATATAAATATAGTAGGAAAACTTTTCGAAAAATTACCGTTGAACAATGCCGTTTTTCCTGAAGACGTGCATGAAAGTAAAATTTAATTTATCAAATATTCCTTTCAATTGAAATCATCTCGAAATGATTTGTATGTTTCTAAATAAAATGTATTCATATAAACAACTATTTTATAGAGAATTGTTTTTATGAATACATAAACTATACTCGAATTATTTCTTACCTAATTGTCCATGTACAATGTTTCCCCATGTCCAAACTTCGCAATTAATATAATTGCACCCAGCTTTAATAATATTATTACACTTTTCATGAATTCCCTGCTCGGACATATCTTTCTCCTCGGTGCATTGACTCAAAGACCACATAAACTCATCCTTGGACGTCACACGCGGCAACTGCATCTCTTCCAGACTCTCAAGCACATCGTTGTTATCAGACGACCCGCTGACATGTCGCGATAACGTCACGACTTTATCACCAACTGTCTTAACTCCTTCGTACACCAAGTTCGCCATGCTACTGACATTTTCCTTGATGATGCGAGTCGGTTTCTCCGTACATTCCACCAGATACTCTTCCCCAGCTGAAGACATCCATGAGAATTGTCTGGTAAGAAACTCCTTGGCTGCTTCTGTGTTTCGAAAAATGATGTTCTTTTCAACTTTGGACTCTTCATTCGAATCGCCGTTGCATTTCTTCGTTTCGTTACTACTGATACTATCATTTTTACTGCTAGTTGAAGTGGTTTCTATGTCATAGCTAACAGGTATTGGCAGACCAAGTGGACAATTATCTGACAATGAATATTGAGAGATGGGAGAAGTCAACTGTGAGGTGGATAAACATTGGGGACAGCTTGAAATGAAAACATCTTCCTCACAGTCATCACTGTCAGTGTCATCATTCAGCAATTGTTTGCTTACAATGACTATGGCAAAATCATTGCCAACATTGCAAGCATACACGTAACGATTATCAAAAAACGTTACTTTTTTCGGTGTTGTGCTATTAATGCCTATTTGATGCATATTACCTGACCCCCACAGTTGACCATTCTCAGTAATAAACAAGCCACCATATTCACCCACAGATATCTTACTGACTTTCATCTTAAAGCGAGATGCAGTGTGGCCATGGAAACATGTTCTAGCATCTTCAACCAGTGTAATTTCTGATTGAAACTCCAGGTCTTCATTGTATGACAATACCTTGCCATTTTGATCAACAATGTATAAAGTGTCAGCTTTGCAATCAATGTCCTGTGGCCTAAATGCATCAGAAAGTTGAAATGTTACCTGTTCTTCATCCTCCACAATTTCTATGTTTCCATGGTAAAACTTATTGGTTGAAGTGAGTAAATATAGATGGTCGTTGATGTTGCACAGTTTCTTAACGGTTTCATTGATGTTGTTTAACAATTTGATTTTTTTCTTGCCATTCCAGATATAGATCTTGTCCATCATATTTAACTGAGCCACAAAACAATTGGAGCTCAACTGAATTCCGCGTTTACGATCATTTTACGTTGGGTGGCTTGCTTTACATATTTGAAGTCGAGTTCGCTGAGTTTTTATGAATGAAAGTCATGACTAATAATGGAGCAGCCAAACTGAAATCGCGGGTAAAAATGAGTGGAGTGAGTGTGAAATAGTATCGAGTGATTGTATTGAGAAAACAGATGATTTCTGTATGTAAATGTTAAGTGATGTTAGGCAACTTAAAATACATCAACATGTAGGTGGCTCTAAATGAGTCAAACGTGTAGAGGGTTGCATATGTAGGGCGCAGGAAAGTAAATATTTTCTTGTTTTTCGAAACATTTGTAAAAATATCAAATACTGTGAGTCGACCATAACATCCAGCAGTTGCACACCAGTGAATTTTCAATGTGCGCATGCTATCCGCCTCTGCATTTACACGTAAATTAAACAAACTGCGTATAGTTCATATAGACTATTTACTTTCGGCGTCAGTGTAACTTGTGCAACGACGCCGCTGTCAGAGTTATTGGAAGCTCTAAAAGGCGGACCAACAGCAAAATCGTAGAAAACGTTTGCATTTCCGTCGATCGATTAAAGGCCGAACGATTAACATCAAATTTAGTTGACAAATTGGAAATAAATGAATGTATGTGAAGGAAAAACATCGAATAAACCATCGCAAAATTCGCGAATAAACACAATATATTGAGGAAAACAAGTGACAATCAAGGTTGTATAAACTGGCCATTGAATCGTTCACGTCTGGCAGTTATTATTCCCAACATCTTGTGAAACTCCAGCTAACAACAAATTACAAAATCTCAAGCAAGGTCACCGGGCCTGGAAGTGGTGGGTGAACTCACCGATCGCACTCCTGCCTACGAGTGTCGTACTCATGTTGTAGCAGTGTTGAAAACGCAAGTGAATGCTGGTGAACATTTTAATATCAAAACACGAAAGCTGTGCTGAGCTCGGAACACACATTAATATTCCATCCAGACTCAATTAAAAATACTTGTTTTTATAATATTCCATGCAATTTTTACTAAGGATCGTTAACAAAAGAGTGATTAGTGTTGTTTTGGTGTTATGCGTGTGTCTGATGTTACATTCATAATAAGTAATGTGATAAACAATTTGAATAATTCAAGGTGTGTTTCTAATCATAAGTTCTACTTGATATGGTTTAAATTGTTACTTAAAAGTTCAATTGAGTGAAACAACAAGAGAGTGTTAGCAACAATTTTCATATTGACTTTGATTGTGGATATAAATATAAATAAACATGATTGAGCACGACTTTGTGGAAATTAATCAGATCAACGGTTTCCTTGCGTTCATATGGAGTGTAAGTATCTAATCAAGTAAATTTAATTATATCATTATGGGAATTACGCATGTAGATATTGATTTTTAGAAATCAGTATGATTTTCTTCGAAATATCTTACAAGCGTTTCGATTCTTGCACATAGTATTCATCTTCCCGTTTCCATGATGGATGTTTAATGTTAGTATTAATCAGCACATTGTTATAAAAATATTTTGTACGGTTTGACCACGTGGTGAATGAGTTGACATTAATGAATTTCGAGGTTGGGTGAATGTCAAAGGTTTTATTTGTTGGTTGCCATTAGCAACGTTAAAAAATAGTTTGATTGGTGTGATGATTTCATGAATCGACAAAATTTAAAAGTGGAAGAGAACCACTTTTTCACATGCTTAACAATAAATTTATAAAGTGTGTAGTCATGCTGATTTGTTTTTAAATATGAATGTAGATAGCACATATTCTAGCTGTTTATCTGAAAATGCTTCAAGATTTCATTTGTACCAATCTGAAACATTCCACGCTCTATTTATAATTGAGCATTTCTTCAAGAACACCATCGTAACTTTGATTTCAACCAACGCAGTCTTGCTTTGCAATTTCATACAAAATTATTCCATGACACAATAATTTTAATTTTTAAACGTGGAGCATGAATGCATAAAATTGAAATAATTATGCGAATCATAAATGAAATTTATTATTTTTATCGGGCTCACATAGGTCATGATTAAATCCTGGCTTGAATTGGATTACCGTGCACAACACGCTCATTGTGATTGTGGTCATATTAATATATTCAATGCGCAAGTCGCAGTGACTTACGAACTGATCGAAGTTCAATATGAAACACCATACCTAAAGTTGGTAAAAACATTATGCGACCAAGTTTTGTCATTTTCAAATCATATCAAATTAAATAAACATTAATATGATTTGAGTTAAGAGGTCGAAAAAAAGTTTAATTTTTACAGATAATCCATAATGTTATATGGATAATTTATATCAATGACATTATTTAGGTTACCAAAGAACTCATACATATTGAAGTTATTTATAATTTCAATGTGAACACATTCATAACAGGATATTTGATATGCAATCAAAAAGTTGCATGGTAATAATTTATTATTAATGTATTATGCAATTAAATGCATCTTATAATTATATTTTCATGCTATCATTACTTACATCACCTGTTGAACTTTTTGTATATTATTTTTTGCAAAAGTAGACTGTGTCGCATTATGTTGTCTAAGTTGTAACATTGCATTGTTTCATCAAAATTGATTTTGCTGTGTTTGTGCGAATGGATAACAAACATACATTTGTCCATTCTCATAAACTTCACATTTATAATTTAATCAATTCTACAAATTATGTGCAAACTTTCGTTCATATACCTAGTATATGTTTATGCCTGTTTAGTGAAAAGTGCAACAAAAGGCAATTTTAACGACAATTTTTTTTTCATTTCAGATCGATTGGAAAGATCCATGGATAATCGCCTTATTCACATTTCACATCACTGTCACATTGATGGCGCTATTGACCCGAAATTATGGAAATCTTCAAGCGCTTCTATTCTTCTTCCTTCGTAAGTATATTCCTTTCGAATACATTTATTGACACACACCATGTGCTATACAAGAAATATAATTTATATTGCCTGACCTACTTCACACTAGTATTTTCAAACCAAACAGTCGAAGTGACGAAGCAAAGAAGTCCTCCATCATTTGGATACATTGTACTAATTTATGCGCACATAACGAGTATTTATACTGGTATAAATTTAGGTGAAACATTCCTAACGAGCCAACAAAACGCACTTTCTTCGGGTGAAGTCAAGTAAAAACAAAATCAATGTGCTGACCCAAACCGAGGTCGATGCTAAATTGGGAATGATTTTTTATTCTGATGCGAAATTCTAGTAATAAATATAAAAAGAAAACATGAGATATCATGCTGTGAAGGAGAAAAAAAAAAATGTAGTTCTTATCTTGGAAACTTTGGTAATGGCCCGGTAATGCCTAGCCTGAAAATAGCTCTGTTCTATTTAGGGTCATATTGCACAACGTGAACATATTCTGTGCTCAGAACTGCTAAGATTTATGAGAATAAATGTTTTCCGGCCGTGTTGCACGAACCGTTCTATTGATTTTACATCACTGGTGTTTCAAAGTTAATGAGTTAGAAAAAATATTTTTGAAGGTCATATTTAAACATAAACAAAGTCGATTTATCACCATCTATATTTATAGTATATTCACATATAATTAATAGTATAATATTATGTAATTTATTGATCCAACCCGGTATAATGGTCATTGATGGGTCAGGCATTACGTGAATATTTTATATCCGAAATATACAGCCGTTATCAATATCGTTTAAAAGTTTGTTACTAAATTCAACACGCTAACATACAGTACAATTGACATAACAGCAGAAATTGAAAATTGCTAGGATGATGTAGCTATTTACTTGCAAATTATGGAATTCAAAACACCTAGTTATTTTTTATTTTATTTTTTTAATTACTATTACTATTTTCTAGGAGCGAACTACTCAAACGAGTGGTTCCTTTATGTATACAAATCACCACATACTTCATTACGTTTCGTTGACTAGTAGATTGAATATGGTTTACCCTGATTATGTGGTCGTTTTGTTTTGTTTACTCGAATGCGACGTCACAAGCAACGCTAAGCGAATTAGTGCGAATTTAAAAACTACACACTGAAATACACTAAAAACTATAAGAAACTCTACTAAATTTGTGTATATAACAAGAACACAATTTAGAATAAAAATAAAAAAGTTCATATCGATAGCATTTCAATTTTTTCAGTTTGTCTCTGTTGTTTTTATATTAAGAAGATGAGTCCTCCAAGTTTTAAATAATATCTTTTGCAAAGATCTTAACAAATTTTGTATTGAAATATATTAGTCTAACCTTGAATATCTATTTTGATTGGTCTATATGATATTCAGTCTATTCTGAAAATATTAATACAGTCTAAGTGTTCGTCTTCAAAAATGTTTATTTAAATTACATAGTTTCTAGTACAAACACTATATAATTTATGGGCTATCTATCGCCACTTCTCTATTAATTTGATAAGTGATAAAGTTCAATTCAAAATTCAAATTCATTGAATATGTATGAATATGTACTACGTATTTGCAAAATCATAAATTATTCATGTTTACGAACATTTCGTTAAACTAGAAACGTTAAACTGCATTCTCATAATGTAGACTCCTATTGAATTTTGTTTTTGTCTACCAGGTAGGGCTATTGAACCTATATTTTTAAATTCAAAAAATAAATCAAATATTGTTACAATGAAAGCGAAGTTGCAAATATTTCTTTTTTAATACGTTTTCCACATAGGTACTTACACTGATTTAAATTGAAATTCAAGAAATTCATTCTGTATTGAAGAAGTTTCTTTAAAGTAAGATTAATTGTCTGTTGTATTATGCATTTTTTGAAATCATGTTAATATATTTCATCTGAAATTAATCTTAGCCTAAATATAAACAATTTTTATCAGTTTATCGGCATAATTTTATTGAATAAGTTATTAAATGTAGGTTATTGTTCGCTAGTAAATATTTGGTCTATGCTTATATCAGTTCAATAGAATGTGCGATTTCCGTGGTTGTATCAAATGATAAAGATTTGTGTCACGCGTCAAATGTGGGATCGTACGATGTATGCAAGCCAATAATAATAACCACAACTAAAAAACGCAGCAATATAAACATATTAATTTTTGTAATATCAGCAAAAGCATGAAAATTAAATATAAATTATCTTTTTAAGTCATTTAAATTTTAGTATTAAATTAAGTCTAATAAATTGACGAAAAACATGTTATTCAAGAAGGCTAATTGCACTCACTTTCCTGGATATGTATTTTTATACATCGTTAAGTGCTAATGATAGTTTGTATTAGGTATATTTTCTGTTGTCTATAATTTACGTCAATACAATATATTTAGACACGATAAAAGTTGGAAATGTAAACACATTACCACATTTTTGCGACTTTAGTAATTTTAGTACATTTTTAATAAATTTTTGCACATTTTAAGAAATATGGTATATTTCACGATGTTACAAAATTAATCAACGATTTACATCAGCCGAATATTTCAAGTATTTAAATGCGTAGTTAATTCGTATTTTTATAAAAATACCATGTCTATTTAAAGAAATTGGCAAATTATTCATAGCGGTGTGAATTTATTAACACATTTGAGCCTTTTTAAGGCTCCGCTTAATGTTTCAATATTTTTAGAAAACCTAGACCTTGATCTTGTCACGTTTTATACTTAAACGTTTACAAAAATGCTAAAATAATGTATAATTTTTATTACCTGTATTGTTTTCGGCATGACCTTTGCAAAACACAACATCACATATTTATTTAATTATTGTTTACTGAATGATTCATCAATTAAAATGTTTGTCTTGCAGTTTTATTGGTTTACTTCTCTGAAAGCATCAATGAAATCGCCTCCACCAATTGGAGTGTCTTTTCACGGCAGCAGTACTTCGACAGTAGTGGCCTATTTATCTCTGTGGTGTTTTCCATTCCAATATTACTTAATTGCATGTTGATGGTGGTAAGAATTAAGATATAATTCGTTTGAATGTGAATTAAATTGATTGAACTTGAATGTTTTAGGGCAATTGGTTGTATCAATCTACACAGTTAATGAAAAACTTGAAAATTGCCCAATTGCAAGATCAACAACGGAAGCGTCAGAAACTCGAAAAACATAACAGTCACAACGGAAGTCTGAAGGAAGCAGCACAAAAGAGCAAATGCGAATAACTGCGCGAAATTTATTGCAAGATGACATACAAGGATCAATGGGCTGTTTTTAGTTGTGCGTTTCTTCTAGATGTACGAATAACGAAAGCGATTGATATTTGTGACACATATTTATATAATGATTGCTTTCATGAATTGCGTTGAGTTTGTTACTTGCTGCTATTTAAACCATTTTAGGACCTTGCTTGTTTTTAAATTTAGGATATGTTAAAAAGACAAATATCGTAATGTTTAGCAGGTGATGATACTTATTTACGGTACGCATATGATGATGCTTAAAAAGTTTAGTTTAGGATAATGCGCGATAGATAAGAAATAGGAGTTACCTATGGCCGTAAAAACCGCACCGGCACGAACCGGTTTTTTCACCTAAATGTTACTGATACCAGATAATTTGTCTTTATACACTTGGACTAAAATTTGTGTCATGTTTAAGTTACGCGACAACACTTCTGAAGATGTTTTTTGATTGGGACTAGTCAATTACGAATAAACCATGAAAAATACGCTTAATATTGGCCAGCACAAGATGCAAATGAAATTTGAGCAGTTTTAATCTGTATTATCTATTGCAGTACTACGGCACTATACTTGTTTGATGTAATTATTACAAACTGCTGGAAAATTGATGCCAGATATGAATCATTGTTTAAATTTTATGTAAGTAGGCTTAAGGCGATAAGAAGTACTAATTATCTAAGTAGTAAGAGGTACATGTGTTTAAATTTATGATGTTAAGAAGTTTGTATACAATTCTTTGGATGTGTATAAACGAAATGTTGGATAATGATATTGATGAAATCGGATCATGAGACTGAAAATATTTGGGTAAAACTATTATATGATGGATACATAATAACAAAATAAAGAACCTGTACGAGATTAAGATTTTTTAAAACGTGATAAGTTATGAAAACACCAGAAATTAACCGCTTTTAGATTTATACCCTAGCCACCCTGCCTATATTTTTCAAATAATTGTAACCATAGGCAACCAAGTTAACTGAGTGTTTGGCTGGTGTTGACCAGTGTTGACGTCTCCGGATGGTATCTGGATTAAAAACTCTTATAATTAGTGCACAATTAAATAGACAAATTAATAAAGTGTTCTTTGTGCTTTAATTAATTTACTCTAACTTAATACACATAATAAGAACTAAATGAGTATAGTTTAATCAGTGATCCGTACTTATTTCTATCATAACCTCACTCCAAAGTTGCGACTTGGTAACTGCTCAATATGAGCAAGTACGGCAAGAGAGGCCCTGGGCCTGTGCCGAATCGGTGGCTTCGATGCCCCCGCAAGTCCAATGGTGTTATTATAAACAAATTTCTTGCATTCAAAGCACCGCTCAGCGAGGAATTCAATGAGCAAGTACCACAAGAATACAGGTTTCATCCAGAGATGCTGATTGATATTTGCAAATCAAAAAAGGCAAGTTAGTAATATTTATGCAACATTGAGTCATAATTTTATTTTAAATGATACAGATTAAACTTGGTTTGTGGATAGACTTAACAAATACAAAACGCTTCTACAAGGAGAGCTCAGTTAAGGAAGCTGACATTACTTACATGAAGATGCCATGCAGAGGTCATGGAGAGACACCATCAAAAGAACAGACAGAGGATTTTATTAATGTTGTATCAACTTTTATTGAACAGCATCCACTGCATAGTATAGGAGTGCATTGTACACATGGTTTTAATAGGACTGGTTTTTTAATTGTTTCTTATTTGGTGGAGAAGGAGGATTGTAGTTTACCAATTGCACTGCAAATGTTTGCAAAGGTGCGGCCGCCTGGTATTTATAAAAAGGATTATTTAGAGGAGTTGTATGCTAGGTATGATGATCCTGAAGATACTCCACCACCACCCATACTTCCAGATTGGTGTTATGGTATGTTAAACTGCATTTGTCAGTCATATTTTAATATGTTTAATTTTCAAAAATTAAGAATACTGATTTGTACGGAAAATAATTGATAAAATGAATTACCTTATTTTTTAATGATTTTGCAGAAGAGGACGAGGAAAAAAGTACTGATAACGACAGTTTCCCAAGTTTTGATATGCCTAATTCATCGAATAATTCTGGTGTTAGTAGTTCCTCTCAACCGCCGAAAAATAATATTCGAAATTCGAATGCCAAGCGGGTTCAATTTATGGAAGGTGTTCCGGGTGTTTATCATTTTACCGAGCAACCCAAGGCACATGCATTACAAAGACAAGTTCAAGCTATGTGCGGATGGAAATCGTGAGTTAAAATATATTAAAGAAGCGTATTTTGAGTATCAATGTTGTATTTAAATTATTTTGCAGGAAAGGTTTTCCTGGATCTCAACCAATTTCGATGGATGTGGATAATATCAAACTGCTTAGTCAAAAACCATATCGCGTGTCCTGGAAAGCCGATGGAATGCGTTACATGATGCTGATCGATGGCGAAAACGATATTTATTTCTTTGATCGTGATCACAATATTTTCTTTGTGGAGGGAATAAGGTTTCCGCGCAGGAAAGATTTACATGCTCATCTTAAAAACACCCTTATTGATGGTGTAAGTATAACATCTGCTTAAATTATTTTTGTTTTTCCTCGATTTATTTCACCAGCTTATGATAATTTTTGATTATTTCTGAATATAATTTTAATATAAAAATACTTTGCTACTCTCGTGTATTTTCGTATATAACTGAAACAAAAGCGGACACAATTCTTTGCGCTGCTTACATTGAGCGGACATACATAAAACTCAATACAGTGGAATCTCGGTAATCCGGACCCGGCTTGATCCGGCACCTCTTGTAATTCGACACGGTCATATGCCATATGTTTGTACTTTAAGATTTGTAATTTGTCGGATTACAAGGTACTTTTTTGTAACAAATTCCGGACTGAAAGGGGTCTTAGACAGCGACTATAATCCGACAAATTCGCTCATCCAACACTGCCCTGCAAAGTGATTGTCGGATTACCGGGATTCCACTGTAATTGAAAACGTAGTAATTTTATGCGCTACGCTCTGTCTGTCAGCCTCTACCTTATTCGGTTGTTAGCGCATCGCACGAATAAAGTTTTAAATGTGGTGCGTTGCAAAAAATAACGTATGAAACTTGGTTCCTGTTAGCAAATTTTTTAAAATTCTATTTCTTGTTTATTTTTGAATTTGATATGAGACTTCCACGATTTTTATCAGTCTATACTAGATAAATTCATTATTTTTTACATATTAAAATATCCCCCAAAAACGCTTTCAAGTTGAAACTTACCGAGAACAAAGCAAGTGCGCTTGAATCCAAGTCCTAACAAATTGAACCCTACTACATTTTGAGCAATTATAAAAGGAATGTTATAAACTATACGCAATGACGCAAAGCTTAAATCTGTGGTTTGTTCTTAATTGATTTTGGTTTTTACAGGAAATGGTAATAGACAAAGTCCAAGGAGAAAGCATCCCTCGATATTTAGCGTATGACATAATTAAATTTGAATCGCAAGATGTAGGAAAAATGGCCTTCTATCCGATTCGGTTGCATTGCCTTGAAAATGAAATCATCAAACCTCGATATGCCGCAATGGAGCAGGGCATAATCAACAAGGCTTCTGAACCGTTTAGCATACGACATAAACAGTTTTGGGATCTTACCCAGGCTGGTAGTTTATTAGGACAAAAATTTGCAGCTACTCTCTCGCACGAGCCAGACGGTCTTATCTTCCAACCATCCAAGGAACCCTACGTTGCTGGAAGGTGCGATGATGTTTTAAAGTGGAAACCTTTAGATATGAACTCTGTCGATTTCCGATTAAAAATCGTTAAAATTGAAGGCACTGGGTAAGTTTACTTCAATTTATGTATTTATCTAAATTGTATTGGGTTGTTTATTTATGTTTTAGTATTGTATCCAAGAAAGTTGGACATTTATTTGTTGGAAAACGGGATGGTCCGTTTGCTTCTATGAAGTATACTAAGGAGTTAAAAGATTTAGATGGAAAGATTATTGAATGCAAGTTTGAGGACCAACAGTGGAAGTTTATGCGCGAACGTACTGATAAAAGCTTTCCAAACTCTGTGACTACAGCTGAAGGTAATATTATTTGATAATATTGAACGCTGTTATTAATTTTGTTAATATTTTTAGCTGTTTGTGGTTCAATTCTACATCCAGTCACAAAAGAATCACTTCTGAACTACATCGCACGCCATAAATTCGAAGACGACAGCGAAAATGATGCCTCCGCCGAGCAAGAAAGTTCGACGGTAACAATGACCAACCCAAATTAGTTACTGGAATTAATGAATGGGTGGTACAGTTGAAATGGTTATTTAGTGTAAATTTAATTGAGAAGTTTGATTGGGAAGCGCTCCTTTTTTCACATTTTATTTATTTATTAAAAAACATTCAATCATGGTAAAGTTCGAAACACTTCGAAATGATTTATTAGTTTTCCACAAGTAATTATGAAACAGAAATTAAAAATAAATACCTTAGTTAATACTTAAATACAACATAGTTCTGCTGCCTGCACCTACAGCTTATAAGCTTAATATCTTAACTTACCGCGAATAAACTATGATAAAACTTATTTTGCTTAAATTTTAGAAGCGTGTTCCTTGTATTGCCAGCGTTTTGTCGCCTCTGCACAAGATACTTTGCCTTCTTTTAGAAGTTTACTCAAATGGTGGCCCACGTTGAGTGCAGCTGCGGGGTAAAGCGTCGTAGGAGTATCTACGTAGATTTCTTTCACCAGTTCCAACTCATCGAATTGTTTACCTGTATGCGCTTTCAGGACATTAAGGATCTGTGCTTCGCGTTGGTTGCGATGGGTGATGTAATATTGCAGGCGCTCTTTTGGATCGTTAATAATATTACCATGACCGGGGTAGATAACTGCAGGGTTCTGGTCGAGAATAGCCTGAAGGGAATGCATGTAATCGTGAAGATCTTCAAAAACAGCGGTGCCTTCACCGAGAATGCAGTCGCCGGCAAAAATAGCATTGTCTTCGATAAGCTGGAAGACAGCGTGGTCAGTGCTGTGACCAGGAGTATGCAGAACGCGTAGTGTAGCACCCTCAACGCTGAATTCTTGACCGTCTTTCAAGTGGTCATATTTAATGCTGGCGTCGTCTTCCTTACGAGGGAATTTCCATACTTGACAATATTCTATACAATTTAAGAAAATTTCATGAAATTATTTGGTAAATAAGTTTTTCTACTTCCAACTAACAAGTGTTAGTTTTTCCAAGGTTTTGACACAAAAAGTGGTAGTTTAAACATGGACGGCCCAGGCCGTGACTAAAGTACTTCGTATTTATAATACAAGTACTAAATGATTTTCAAAGATTTAAAATATACGAGTAAACAAAAACCTGAACGTGGAAGTAGAAAAAATAGCATAAGCATCACGTCGCTAAACGTTGTTAAACACTCGCTACGCTTGCTCTCAATTAATCTTGTGGTAAAAACTCTCGTTTAGCCCACTTGATACTTAATATACTATTAAGTTGTGTTATTACTTGAGCTTTCGAGTTCTAAAACGTCGTTGAGGCCACCGACGTGATCATGGTGCCAGTGGGAGATGAAAATGTGGGCAAGGTCGACTTTTTCATGTTCCAGGACGCCTTTTAGGTGGTTAATGTATTGAGGTACATCCGCATCACCCGTATCCAAGAGAATACGCCTGAAACAAGAACATTCCTTGCTCAATTTTATATATTTTTACTATTGAATTGATTTTGCAACTAAAACCAAAATTATTCTATCTCTTGATTTATTTGATGTAAGTATAGATTCTTGAAAATAGTTTGATTCCATTGACAGAAAACGCTCTATTATTTTCTTTAGATGACGCTGCAATGTACTTATTTTCATTAAATTAAACTTCATTAGACCCACTTATTTTATTTATACTTATTTTTTAGTTAAATAATGAAAATGGATTAGATTCTCATCAATTTTCATTTAAATAAACATTACATGATGCATGAATAGTTAAAAGATTGCAAGTGTAGTTCAAGGTGATCAGAAAAGTAAAATTATTACGATTCAATTTTAACTTTTGAAAAATAAAACTTCAAGGTTCAAATCGTTCATATATTTGACTGTCAGCTGTTTGTATATATCCTAACCTTATCATTTGAAAACAATTACCTTTTCCCCGTGCCAATGATATACGTATTGGTCCCTTGCAGGGTCATGGGCCCTGGATTACATCCTAGGACCCGAATGATCCTGCTGGAAATGCGTGTGACGCTTGGAATTACCGTTGCCATCTTATAGGACGACGTCGAGGAGTGATACACGCTGTAGTCATTGAACGTCCCGTTGACTATCACTTGGTTGTCGGCTACCATACTTACACGAAACTTTGCACTTTGCTTTTCGCTTTCTATCGAAGTTCAAAAGTTTTTTAAGCGTTTGTTTTATCGTTGAGTGTAAGGTCTGAATCGTCTGAAAGAATGAACGCTTATGAGACGTTGTTCAAATTATACATGTTTAAATAGTAACTGCAGACGGCAAGGCAGACGTAAAAAGAAATTAAAAAGAAAACTATTGATAGGATTATTTCATTTTAATTGTAATCGCAGGCACGAACTTATAAAAAAGAAATTATTTTAATTTAAAATGGAATAATTTAATGAGTTGAAATGGTGTTTTTAAATAATTAATAGGAATTTCGAAAAATTGATAATAAATCAATAAGAAATATATCTCTGCGTAATCTTCATCTAAATATATTTTAAAATAGACATTATTTAAATTTTGTTAAGTACAATCCTGTGATAACATTTATATAAAACTACTATTATAAAGAATACCGTCATAATAATAAAGTTTCTGTGACGGTTTAAATTGATTTAACGACATTGATAAAGTCTGTCTGCAACGTTTTCTTGGCGTTGCATTTTTTCCGTCTTCCTCTGATAAGAACAGATCAATCAACTTGAGTTATTAACAATTACGTCTTTCACGAATACGATCATTAATTAACTGTATCAAAGTACATTGGGACAAATGCACAGACAATGTACTTTGATGTCATTTTTATTCTAGAACATTATCTCTATTTATATAATATACGTCTGCCACTAACAATCGATTGTTTATGTTTATATTATTTATATAATAAAATAATAAATACTTACATTTACGTATTGCTGGAATGTTCAACGAATGTTGAAAATTTTGATTTGGTTACTTTTAAGGACTTATAGTCAACTGGTAAAATTTTGCGCTTCAACGCGGCTTTTATTCGTTTTGTGCCAAAGTTTGAATGGACACAACCTCCTAAAATCGGTCATGCTATTGGTTACAATTTGGGGTCAGCACCAAAATAATTTGCTTGTGCTTGGATTTCTTATCGATGTTATCAAGTACGTGTATGTCTGCTTGCGATTGGTTTTTGTTCATGTATTGGTTGACTTTTTGTCGGAGTGCGGAGCGCAATCCGGATGCGTCGTACGTGGACACTATTATTTTTTTCATTTTCTTATCATGTTTCATGTGCAGTGGACCGTATCGCCTTATTACTGCGCATTCATAGTAAGTACTTACATATTATATTAAGTTATCAGGAAGAATGTTAATCCTTCTTAAATTTAAATTGAATCATAACGTTGTGCAATATGTTGCATACCTTGTTTTCAATTTTAAGTGGGATGCATTGATGGAATTCTAAATTTAGAAGATGGGTGGAAGCTTGAGGTTAATTTTGTATATTTATAATTTTTGATAAGGAAGGACATTTGCATGAGACCGTGAGACGTGATCACGCACATGCACTTGAGTTGACTGCGTGCCTTGAGGTGGATATATGATGTCAAAGTGCACGTTATTTGCGAGGTCAGGTTGTTTAACCGTCAGTTTTGCAGATATCTAGTCAACTTCTTTGAAATCACATGACTCACAAATTATGTTATCATATTATATATTGATGTTTTAGAGAAATAAGTCAATAAGTAATTATTGCTAATTGAATTAATGATTAATGGATTTCCCCTAATATTATAAAATTTTAATAGTCCATGTTGATAATTTATTATAAACTAAAAAATTATAAATATATAATTTCAATGTTTATAATAAATAAACGCTTTACGCTCTACGTTCAAACAACATTATATTAAAAAGTATGAATGAATTAAAAAAATTACTTTACAACTAAATCTGCGTTATGCACACTATCATAGAATAAAACAGTAATAGTATTAAAAATTTAATGCGCAATAAATATGTATTAGATCTTTGAACTTGCACAAGCAAGTGTCACCATACGTATTGCATCTTCTTGTTTCCTGGAAGAAATACTAATATCGCAATTTAGTGCCATCTCAACTTATCCATAACATTAATTATAAGTGAAGGTCCATATAAACTTTTATCAGCTATAATTTTATACCTGTAAAGTTAACTTGCTTATATTTCTTATTACTGGTAAAAAATATCTATAATACTTCAAATTTATTCAAATTTGTAAACTGATTTTAATCAACTCACAATTGATCAATCATATTGGGCTTGGAGACATTTTTTTTAGATTATCCTCTTAAATTTATTTATTTATTTTAATTTAATTTTAACAACAGAAAGCTAAACCCATCTATATATCAAAAATCATTTTTTGAATGATTTGTGTTACTTCTACCATACTAAGAATATTCCGCAATATTAGTAATTATTATTTTTAAAAAAATTTGCGTTTTTTGCGTTAATTTTGCATTTTGCATAAATGAAATATAAAATGTACAAACCTTTGTCCTCTATATTAACCAAAACAAAACAATAAGGGTAAATTCAGTATTCTGCATATTGTACAGAAAGTGCATACGTAGTGCGACCAATGACTGATTTATTACACATGTCATATCACGAAAATTGCACGTTGTAACAATTCGACAAACTTGCAAAATCATAGTTTTATAATCTTATCATCCATAATTTTAATGCTCTACAATTAATTACTTTATAATGTTTTATTAGTTATGAATAGTTAGATATTAATTGATGTAAAATGCAAATATGCAAAATGTGTAGTTAACTTTACGCATAAGTGCACGTTCACCGAGCAATGACGATAAGTAAAGATTGATAAATGATTTTTGTATATTTTAACCGGCAGCGTAATCATTTTTACATTAATTAGAATACATTTATAAAAGCGTAATTGACTTGATTGAGTTACTAATGATGATACATTGGACTCATTGTTATATAAAATATAGTATCTGTAAACTAATCTAAAAAAATAAATTACTAAATAAATTGTTTCAAATACTTGAAACAATTTTTTCACGTATTAAAAATATTGTTGAATATACATAAAAAAATAGTCACGATTTGTTTATTTAGCTTTTCATTAAAATAATAACCAAACCTGTTACATAATAATAGGAATTATTATTATGGCAAAACCCAAGGATTAATGATTGAAAATGTATTCATTTAAGAACTTAAATTGTTCATTTGTAAAAGATTGATTCAATCAACGTTACGAGTTTAAAAATAATAATACAATATTTCGAAGTTATATAACAAGCTTAGAGAGATATCAACAAGTATGACGCATTTGAACATACACTATTTTTATTTATTTAATTTTTAATTGAACCAAAAAGCCCTTTACTTCTACGTGCTCAACAATGAATGAATGAGCCTGTGACTTTCTTTAAAGATTATTAAAGCTATACAATAAACAAAGATTTGTTATTTAAAAATAATCCCAAAATAATTAATAAAATATTTGCCCGCTATTTCGATCGTGTAAATCGCTTTTGTTCCTTTGCGAAAATACAAGTACAGATGAAATTTGCAATCTGAATCTTATTATTAACTACCTTTTGCCTGCGATGAAGTCGTGAAGTAGTGTTTAATAAAAATGTAATTCTTTTTTACTCTCTTATTGTGTTAATTCTATCAATAAGACGTACAATTTTATTTTAAAGAAATTAATTATATAAAGAATTGCTAATAATAAACTTCAGCGCACCGTCCCGGATTCAACTATTTAACTATAACTATGATTGAATCTCAATGTCAACTTTTATTCTATAAAAAGGGCTGTCTTTAGGATTTTCCCGGCAATTATTCGAATTTTTCTTGCCGCAAAAACCATTCTTGGACTTTAACGAACATTTTTAAACAAAACTTGGCCAAATTGGTCTAGGCGTTGTTGAGTTATGCGCTTACTAACAGATTTAGCGATTCTTTTTTTTATTATAAATAGGGTAATCAATATATCCTTCAGCAACTGTGGTTGACTTCCAGTCTCCATGTCTTTTCAGTACTGTAATATCAATACCTGACTCAACCAACAAAGGTTTTTCTAAGACAATATTAAAAGAAATATACACCCATTTGCATTTTTAATTCTTATTAATAATATATTTTTTAGATCCAATACCATCATTTTTTTTGTTTCCTAAAAATATAGTTTCCGGTACTAATAAGAATGTAATGTATTCACTCGATCCACGAACAGTTTTATTATATGCAATTTCAACTTTACACGTAATAATTTAATGTTTTGTTTTGTAAACAGCGCTAATAGTTATAAAACAGTTGGCACCTGTTGATTCATAAAATTAATAATAAATTGCAATTTTAATTTACACTAATCTCATTTTTGCGTGTCCGAATGTTTTTCTGTGAAATATATTTCAAAGACTTTACTATGCTAACATGATGGAATGATTGTGTTAACCACATATGCATTAACAAGCAGTTTGCAATTGAAAGATTACTGAGATTACTGGTTTACTTCCACCATAATAAAACCCACGTAGTGTTCAAATCAGCTAATTTAAAACGGTGTATACCGGTTAAGTGCCAGGCAGTTGCTCAGGTTACGTCGACTAACAACGTTGCCAGTCTTGCCAGTCAATCAACTTCCAGGTCAACTCAACTCAACGCACAAATATTCGCATTAGAAATTAAAATGTTAGCACCACGTAAATCTACAACATTTTTATTACTTACAATAATTACGTTCGCATATTATCATGGTGTATGTGCGAATGAAAACCCAAAATGGAAAGAACACGGCGTTGTTACTGACGTAATGAGTGAAATTCCACCTGAAACTTTGAAGGTATTCTATAAAGAGTTCAACAAGAAGGTGGATTTGGGAAATATTTTGACACCGACACAAGTTCGTAAGGAACCGGAATTATCATGGACAGCTAAAGATGGTCAGTATTATACAGTACTCATGGTGGACCCTGATGCGCCTAGTCGAGCGGATCCCAAATTGGGGCAATGGAGGCATTGGTTGGTTGGAAATGTGCTCGGGAATGATATTAGTAAGGGTGATGTATTGACTGCTTATGTTGGAGCTGGACCACCACGAAAGACCAGTCTGCATAGATATATTTTTATGATTTATGAGCAATCGAAACACATTGCTTTCGATGAGGTAGTGGTACCGAACACCTCGACTAATACCAGACCTAATTTCTGTGCGAGAAGGTTTGCGGATAAGTATAGTTTGGGTTCACCTGTTGCTGCAAACTTTTTCCAAGCAAAATATGATGATTACGTGCCAACTTTGTACAAACAATTGAAGGATTAGTTAAATTTACTGCATATACTCGTATTACGCTTAAAATATATCTACAAAAATTTCCTCACTGTATTGTAATAAATATTTTGAAAATGATAGATGGGATAATAAATAAAAATTATTAACATTTATAAATCTGTTTTTATTCTATTTATAGTATGTTTGTGTGCTTAAAATTATTTTATTTAATGGACAAAGTACAAACCTTTGTTTTCTACTATACCTAATTATTGGCTGGTGTAGAAAATAGATGTTTGCAGGATGCATTTTTATGATTGACATATACATATTCATAAATAACTCCTGATTTGACCTTGAACTGCTGTATAATTTGATACTCGTTTGGTTTACTAGTTTTCCTCATTATTTTCAAAAAAGAATAAACAAATACGGATAAATAATTTGATTTCCAATTTTGCGTATTCTGCGGACAAGTACAGAACACCTCAACAATGCTATAAACGTGTGACATGGAATAAAACAGGAAATTAGATTACATGATACTCATTAGTTTAAATGATCAGCATTGGAGATCGGCGTATTTTTTACACTCATAGAAAATTGTATCCGGAGTGTGAACGAAGTGAGTGTGGACTCTGTGGTGAATAGCACACCTAATCATTTAATACCAGCGCCCTAGTAATTTCGTTGTTAATAACGCGCGAGGGTGTAAGTCGGAAATACTTTTGAATCAAATTGGTACCGGTAGGTAAAAGTTTTCTTTACCGAAGCATGACCCTTGCGGATTAAGTTCTAAAAGAGCCCCTAGTTTATCAACAAAAAAAAGTTTGTACATTTTTAAAGGACTTTATAGCACGCCTATTTTACATGACTTTTTGAAAAATTACGCTTACGATTTGCAGAAGCATTCTTTAATGCCGCAACTAAAGTTAATTAAACTTTTTGTTACTTTCCACTTATTAGGCAACTTTAAGAACAATAGTTAAAGTTTTATTTAACTAAGTATTAACATTAACGTAAATGTTAAGAAGTAAGTTCTCAAAATAGGTAAGAAGTAAAAACATAGATTAAACATTTATTGCTTTTAATTTGTTATTAAATATAATAAAACAAAAGAAAATTTATATGTTATGGGCATTTATTTATTTATTTTAATGAATACTTGCAACTTTCACTAAATGATTCTTATTTCAATTTGGTATTAAGTTTGTTTAGACAGTTTTACAGCAGAACAATAAACAAATTATAGATAATATGAAATTTAAATAAACTATATAAACCAAAAATATTTACAAAAAAATCATACTTGTAACTTGACTTGCAAGATGGTAAGTCGTGAAACTCTATTAATTTTTAAAGTATTGACTAATATTAAAATATTCCTGTGTTTCAGCAACAAATATTATTATTTTTCCTAACGTTTTACTGTAGTGCCTCTTCTACTTATGGATTTTTTTTCAAAGCGGCTACAACTGCAGCTCCAACAACTGTTCATCCCTATGCTAACAAGCCTATCATTATTCACCATCATCATAAATGGAAGTATGTATACCCTACCACAACTGCTGCACCCATTGCATGGCACTGGCCTGCTCCAACTGAAGCACCTCATCCATGGCATAACCCAACATGGGGTTTTAAGCCGGTAGTAGAACTCCCACAAGAAGTACCGCCTAGTAATCCGTGGAAACCCAGCGTTTGGCAGTGGCAGCCTACAACAACTACAGCAGCTCCAACATGGGTTTTACCGGCTACAGAATTGCCACAGAAATGGGCATACAAGAGAGAATCACATTTAAATGAAAATGATACATTTATTAAGCCAACAAATAATTCACAACATCTGAGAATTATAAAACCTGAGTATGCTACTACCACAGAATCACCAAAGACATCTATTATAACATCTGTATCACCAAAATTGAAAACAAAAATTTTGATTAGAAGAGCAAATTTAATAGCAAACCCAACTTCCATGATTTCACCAAGGGTTGAAAACGTGAATAACAGTGACAATTCTGGTTATATTGAACGAGCAAAAAAATTAGAAGAACCAATAGACGAGGTTGACATTAAATGGCCTTCGCAAAGTGTTCAAAGTGAAACTGAAGCAATTCCAGCAGAAACGCCTGAACCGCGAGTAGTATATTGCCAATTTTTTAAATTTCGAACATTTGTGGAGGAGATGAGTTGAGGAATATTCCATTGAGGTTGTAAAAAGCGGGTAACTCTCTTTTTGGAATATTAATTATTTCGTCTTTCTATCATTTTTCACATCTGCGGAACACGTTGTACCAACGTGTATCCTCCTACAATTTTTATCTACATTTTTGGGGTGGTAGTTGGATTAAAAAACAGAGAGTGGTCAGTGAGTCTTGAATCACAACCCCGAAAACACTAGTTCTACAAAAGTTTTTTCTCGAAGTTTTGTGCATAGATGATTTGGCGTGGGTGATTTTCAAAACTGCAGTCAATAATCAACAAGAGCTTCTATAAAGGTACATCGTTAATATTTCTTATTTATTATTATTTGTTATTTCTTATAATTTTTACAAAACATATTTGTGCAATATTTGTGTAATTATTTTGCAATTTAAAATGCAACGAACATATTTATCCGGCTCGGAAAAGCGAAAACTGAAAGTACAAAAGGAAAAAAGAAATGATCTTCAAAAAAATTCCTTGTCATCATATTTAATACGACCATCATTAAATCAGGATAATCCTCCCCAAAGCACATCAGAGCAGATTAACACGGCAAATCATGTTGAAATTAAAAATCAGGTAGACAACCTAGACGTGGGTGATAAAGTGGACGACAGAAAGGAACATCACACCACAAAATTTCCAAGTGATATTGCTTTGTGGCCAGAAAAATAAGTGAAAGTATGATAGAATATTTCATAGTTAACATTCCCAGAACTTTGGGAATATTGAAAATTTGAAAACCGAATTTGTTGACAGAAACAGAAAATACTTTAGAAATTTTACTAATGCTAATTTCTATTGCACTAAAGTTAATGGTTCTAAAGAAATAAGAGAATGGTTAAAGTTTTCAGACACGAGCAAATGCATTTACTGTTATGTATGTAAATTATTTTCAATGTTTTTTTATGTTTTTGCAAAATATATATACTTTCTTGCCTGAACCGAATATATTATACAAATATATTTATAAGGTACACAGTCCGATTACAAAAGACATCAAAATGCACCAGGAGCAAAGTGATGGTAGTCAGATTATAGGCCATTATTCACTTGTCGAACCAGATGGTACCACTAGAGTAGTGTATTACACAGCCGACGAAAACGGTTTTAATGCTGATGTTAAACATTTTGATTGGTCGTTAAAATCAAAGAATGAAGCTGATAAAAGAAAAATTGATGTTTCTTCACATCCAAACAATTAAAAATGTCAGTATGTAAGCTAACCAAATTGTAGTGCTATTTGCATTAATACATTTTATAGCGGATATCCGACTTTCTTCTGGCTTAAATTTTGGCACAAAACACGCAAAAGTTAATAATACTTGTTTTATCTTATTAGCCAACCGTTACAAGATATTTAACGACTTGATAGTTGGAATAATTTGTACTAATGATTAAGAACGTAAAAAACTAATTTTATTTAGATTTTCGAACAACATTGTACAAAAATATAAGTACTTCAAAAATAATCACTTAGTGATGGTAAACTGGAGCGGCAACAGCGACGACTTTCTTAACTTCTGGATGGGCAGCGTGCCCAGAATACGAAACTTCAGCGTTGAAACCGTTGTGATGATCAGCTGAGTAATGCACATTGCGAACGGTACCATCAGGTTGGACAAGAGAATATTCACCCTTGACGACATCACCATCACGCACTTCAGATTGGCTCTTTTTGTCACCAGTGTGGTGATCTTCGACGCCATATTTGAATTCGTATTTTGGATGGTGGTCAGGGTAAACTTCTTCGTGATGTACCGGAGCGGCGTGTACAGCAACAGGGGCTGCATGGGCAACAGCAATAGGGGCAGCATGCAATTCATGATGTTGTACACTAGCGTAAGAAGAAGCATGTTCGATTGGAACTGCAACAACGCAAGCTACCAGAGCAGCAATAGCCAAAATCTGAAATAAACATTGTGTTAATAAATTTTATAAAAAAAAAAGTATAATATTATGTGTTTAATATTCATCTTTACCTTGGAATACATTTTTGTATTTGTAATGTTGTTCACCGATTGATGATCAAATGAGTTGTGATATATTTCAACCAAAACGTTTTGGTTTTTATAGGAATCAAGGAGTATTGGCAAGCGCGTGGACAAAATGGTCGAAATTCAAGAATTGTACAATTCGACACAAACGTCAAAACCCATCAACTTTTCGAAAGCTTGTTACTGTTACATATCGCGAATCAAACTCTAGTTTCGCATCTCTGATCGATTGGTGTTTTGAGTGCAAGTCTACCGATTATCTAAGAACTCTGCATGCTTTGCATGCTTCTTAGATAATCAACTAAAAAAGGGCTATCGTAACACAAATTCCATTTACTAATTCATTGTTAACATAATATAGTTAGGTGCAGTTAATTAAATATTAGGCTTGATTATGAGCAGAGGTGCGCTAATTAATTAGACACGATTGATGTTTCGATTTTACGACTGTGTTAGCAATAAAAGTTCGCTTATCGTTTGCGATTGAGCATAAAAATAGTTTTAGTGAAACGAATTCGCTAATTGGTAGAGAAACTTAAAGTTTATGTTTGTACAAAAGAGATTGTTGTAAAGCAAATGAAAATTCAGATGAGCTCAATTATACAGGATGATGCACAAATATATTATTATTATGACTTCTAGTATGTTGCATAATTATTTATTTTAAATGCATTTATTGTTTTGTGTTTGATGCATGTTTGCGTTTGAATGAAATTGTATAATAATTAAATTAATGGTGAAATTCAATTTCACAATACATGGAGGCTGCAGGCCGGCTGGGAGCATTAGAAATTAAATGAAATTAAACGGTGTACGAAAGCAAAAGCACCTGATTGCATAATCGTGCATGTTCATCGGATTGCTCCGGCGCGCAGCCAAGCCGTGATCTGGCCGACTTCCTGTACTTTGCCGATTGCGTTATCGCACATAAAACCGGCGAATTTTGGGAGTGTCCCCACTGAAATTTCTTCGGCGTGTAGTTCTTTAATACGATCTGTTTCGTTCTCTTCATTTGCACAATCCTACCAAGCGCACGATATAAAAAACGGCGGCATTTCACCGAAGTCGTCAGTTCAACAACTCCAGCCATTCCTTCATTGTTCACTCATTTAATCTACATAGAATTCAAAATGTACAAGGTAATTGAGAAACAACTAATTAAAAAATCATAAATATTGAGTTTATAATAGTTATTATAAATGCAGTTTGTTTTACTTTATAAATAAGTGTACATTGGGTTGCATATCACAAAATACTATAATTTAAATACTTTTGAATTGGTGATCTGCTCAATAAGTCGTTCAAAAGGCTATATTATAAGACTATTAAAATTACTATATGTAATTTAATTTACGATTTCTTTTTAGATTTTAGCTCTTTCTGCTTTGGTGGCCTGCGCCGTCGCCATCCCAATTGAACACGCCTCTTCTTACGCCAGTGTGCATCATCATGAGCTGCATCATGCCGCCCCCATTGCTGTGGCTCATGCCGCCCCTATTGCTCTGCACGCCGCTCCCGTTCACCACGAAGAAGTTTACCCCGACCACCACCCTAAATATGAGTTCAAATATGGCGTCGAGGACCACCACACTGGTGACAAAAAAGAGCCAATCGGAAGTCCGCGATGGTGATGTAGTGAAGGGAGAATATTCTCTTGTTCAACCTGACGGCACCGTCCGTAATGTACATTACTCAGCTGATCATCATAATGGCTTCAACGCTGAGGTTTCATACTCTGGCCACGCTGCACACCCTGAGAAAGCTATCGTAGCCGCCCCAGTTTATCATCATTAATATTTTTAGTGATTGATATAGGGGGTGAGGCTATTTGAGCAAGTATTCGTTCGCATTTTGATGTCTAATTATTGAATATGATGATTGAATGGTTTTTCTCCTTCTTGCATAAGCATTTTTCTTCATTTCTTTCTAGTTCCTTCATTTTTTCATTTTACTTCAACGTAAAAAATACTTTACGAGTATATAAATTGTTATAAAATATTCTATATTTTTTATTGATGTATATAGGAAAAATAAAAATGTGATTATTGAAGATTACGTTTTATTTGCGTTCCCACTCAATTGTTAGATAATGATCATGACGAAGACAGCAAATATACTGAATGCAAAAAAATTTATTCAAATGTATTTTTTAGTACAGGATCCGGGGCCTATTTTGTCACTTGATTACTATCAAGCTAATTTTCCGTGAGTAGCTTCATTTTGATAAGACGCCCAACAATTTCCTGTGCGAAAATTTTGATTGTGGTAGTTAACAGAGGTAGCAATGATAAAATATGTCGATTTGATGATTCTCAAATATTAATTACTAACTGGATTGTTTTTATTAAATCTTAAGATAATTATCTAAATTATTTGAAAAATATTTGTCCTACAAAATCTATGGTTTCATCAAAGAGTCCTCCCCTCCAACATGTATTGATAACGAGATCACCAAAATTATTACTAACCAGGTAATTTTTTTTATTACTTAGTTAATATATATATAATGTCACGGTCATATTGTCCTACAAATTCCGTGGTATGTTATCCCGGTCCTACGGTCAAAAGTAGTAGTACAGATCATTGATGTAAAAATAATTACTATCAAGCTGAATCTTCGTGAATAGCATCGTTTTGATGAGACGCCCAACAATTTCCTGTGCGAAAATTCTCGATATTGGTAGCTAACAGAGGTAGCAATAATAAAATATGTCGATTTGATGATTCTCAAATATTAATTACTAACTGGATTGTTTTTTATTAAATCTTAAGATAATTATCTAAATTATTTGAAAAAATATTTGTCCTACAAAATCTATGGTTTCATCAAAGAGTCCTCCCCCTCCAACATGTATTGATAACGAGATCACCAAAAATTATTACTAACCAGCTGATTTTTTTTTTATTACTTAGTTAATATATATATAATGTAACGGTCATATTGTCCTACAAATTCCGTGGTACGTTGTCCCGGTCCTACGGTCGAAAGTAGTAGTACAGATCATAAATGTAAAAATAGCGTGGTACGCTATTGCGGTGCTCCAATTGAATATATATTGGAAAGTCATGAAATTAAAAATCAATTTATTTCTCAAGCGTGAGAAAAAAAAATCTTGACTTTTCGGTAGATTTCACTTAACAATAAGTTAAAAAATTACTGAACGCCAACTGAAATTAAACAAAACAATAACAAAGAAAACTTTGTGCCGCTTGGGTTTCTGTATTTTTCTACAACAGCTGAGTCCATCTTTTGAAGAATTATCTTCTGAAATACAAGGTAACCTATTTATACTATTGTTATTTATTGATTGATTATTCATTATTATATAATTTACTTAATTTTTTAATGTTATTATAGAGTCAGATATCACAAGTGAGGAAAGTGAAACAAATGAAGATGACAGCGATGTTAGTAGCGAAGATTATGATTCATCGGATGAATATGATGAAGATTAATTTTTGTTATCTATAAATACACCAATACACCAATTTTTGTACCTCATTTTTCAAAAAAATAAACTTATTTAAATTTTAAAAAAGATTTTCTCACTGTATCTTATGTTAGAAATCGGAAAACGAAAAAATGACAATTTTTGTCGGACTAGTGATACATACCTGTTTTTTTGTAGGACATTGTTTTATTTGGGCACTGAACACACTAACCTATTATGTAATATTTTTGTCCTACAGTTAGTAATGAGAAAAATGGTCTTATGGTATTAACAATTTCTGAGCGTAGGACCGGGATAACATACCACGGAATTTGTAGGACAATATGACCGTGACATTATATATATATATTAACTAAGTAATAAAAAAATCAGCTGGTTAGTAATAATTTTTGGTGATCTCGTTATCAATACATGTTGGAGGGAGGACTCTTTGATGAAACCATAGATTTTGTAGGACAAATATTTTTCAAATAATTTAGATAATTATCTTAAGATTTAATAAAAACAATCCAGTTAGTAATTAATATTTGAGAATCATCAAATCGACATATTTTATCATTGCTACCTCTGTTAACTACCACAATCAAAAATTTTCGCACAGGAAATTGTTGGGCGTCTTATCAAAATGAAGCTACTCACCGAAAATTAGCTTGATAGTAATCAAGTGACAAAATAGGCCCCGGATCCTGTACTATTATATATTCACTTTACAACAATTTATTTTAACTTATTTTAAATTTATTTTAATTAATATAATACAAAACGGAAATAAATAACTATGTCAGTAACTACTTTATCGTAATAAAAATCAAATAAAATTTAATTCTTATGTTTTGTACATACTCACTTGTTTAAATTATCGTTAAACGATAATATAATTATTTCATGATTACAAAATCATTTACTGAAGATGTTTCACAAGTGAAACATATTTAACTCAACAAATATGTGTTAAAGTACACATGCATTAAAATGTTTCAGGAAAATTTTAATTTTCTCAATTTGCCTTGTGCAATTATAATTTTACATTTATAAAAGAAATGGAATATGCAGACAAGGTTTTCTCTACAATTAATCAAGTTTATATTCCAGAAAATAACTTATATTTATGTTGTTCCAAAGTTGTATTTAAATTTCTTTCTTTAGTTTTTGTCACAAGTCACAACTACTATCATTTTTATTAAAATTTTATGAACATTTTTGCTTGCAAAGCCTTAAAGAATGCAACATTTCACATTTTTATCGAAATTTAATATTCATGAACAATAATGAAAATAAAAATATTAAATCATTATAAATAATATTTTTTGCCGATTTAAACAATTTTGTCCAGTGCACTACATTAAGAATTATTTTGGCATAGAAATGTTTAAGCAAAATGCATAGAGTTTATTAATAAAGTTTAAAAGTTTAGTGAATGAAGTTGTACTTATATCCAGTATGCAATATTAATGCATACTAAATGCATATTAAATTGCTATAAAATTAAGCCTGGCGTTATAATAGAGGCTATATTCTAGTGCTTAGTCATAGTTTTGCCATTTTTGTGGATAGCAATATCCAAAGATATATTCTATTATTGAAATAAGTATTGCATGGTAAGTAGTAGTTCAATGCAAATAGTATTTTTACAAATTGTTTGAACCAGATATACATTTATTATTTTATTCTTTCAATCCCATTAATAGACTTAAAAATCATTAATTATCCTAAAGTTATGAATAACAGAATCGATTAGTCGACACGTATTAGCATGCGCTGCCTTCACAATCGCAACACATTCAATTTGCGAACTAGATGATTTTGGCACGGGCAATAACTTATGTTACGGTAATTTTCATTGTTCATTTATATATTAATTCAATGTAGAAATAGCAAAGAAACAAGTTACACTTTGTTACACTATATTAAACCAGGCTCATATTTTACCATTAACTGAAAATTAACATGCAGGTCGGCAGCGACCAGTCTGAAAGTTTTCAACTTTTAATTACTTCTCTCGTTCGTGTCATATTTGGCTTTGGCATTCGTCGACACTCGGCAGAATGCAACAATGAGCTTGTCAGTGCGTACGTATATAGTTGCACTCAAGTCGTAGTAAGTGTAATGAAATGATTGGATATTGACACACCTATCGGACACTGGCTGCCACAACAGCAGCAAGTGTACACAATCTAAATCTTAAATTAAACGCGCTGCGTTGCGTTATTAGATTAATGAGAATGAGTATGGGACATAAACATAAACAAGACGTTTTACTTTCAAAAAAGCAAATCAATTCAATTTGTGATTTATACAATGAGTTAAGTAAAATTTTAAAAATAATAATAACCACTGCAACTAATACTGCATATGCAAATATGAGTTTGTGTGTTTGTAACGCTTTCACACAAAAAATTAAAGAAATTTTGGTAAATTGTCGTCTAGAGATATTTGTGATCATGGAAAATTAACTAGATTACTTTATGTCTCGAAATTGTAATTTTAAGACTGTGAAATAAGGGATGAATGACGATTTAATCATTGTTATAGTTATATAATTTAACCCGGGATGGCGTTAAGGGGCATTAGTAGCATTTTTTATATTTTTTAAATAATATAATATGCATAATAATATGCCTAAGATACACAAATTAATTAGTTAGGCTACTTTTATTGCAATATATTCTGACCAAGTCGCGATGTAAACAAAACACAAAACTTGTTTCCCTATAAATATATCACCATGTAGTTGAATTTTTACGGTATCACTCTACATCTTAATAAACTGCAAAACTAGTTAGTAAATACGTAATGCATTGTTGTTCGAATGTGATACACATATCAAATGATAAATGGAGCAAGCGGAGAGTGTAAGCCAGGCCACGCCGGCCGGCTGGCAGCATGTCGTTCGACCTCTTTGTAATTGTAACAAAATTAAAAGTAAAGCGCGACACACGCATGACGCGGCGAAAAAGTGAGCCGAATCTGAAGCCGGCGTGAGCTATGAACCAATAACGCGACGGTAGTAGTTTGTGCCCACATTATTACGTTTTTTCAAAAATCGCGCACCGAGCGTGTTACACATTTCGAACGCACGTGGTCCTTGAAATCGGGGGCTGAACTGGTATAAATACTTAGTTGATCGCCACCGAAAATCAGTTCAGTTCTTACATCTGACCAACACACAACAAACAAAAGAAAAATGTTCAGCAAAGTAAGTTGTATTGCAAGGAAAACAAAAATGAAAGTTGGAAAAAAAAAAAAACAACTAATACTAATTGTGTTTCATTATTAGATTTTGTCTCTTGCTGCGTTGGTGGCTGTGGCTAACGCTGGAGTTTTTGAATTGCCCGGACATGGTCATCATGCCGCCGCTTCTTCTTACTCGTCAGTAAGCCATCATAATGTTCACGCCGCCCCTGCTCATTATGCTGCCCCAGCTCATATTGCACCAATTGCCACTTATCACGCTGCTGCTCCATCTTACCATGCCCCTATTGTTGCTCATGCTGCCCCAGTTTACAAAGCTGTTCATCACGCCGAACCCGTCTACCCAGATGTAAGTAAATAATCATAACTTATTAAACACCAATTTAAATTAAAGTAATAAGTCAATAAATTAGTAAATTGCTGGTTATGCAGCCAATTGAGCAGAAAAGTAGTTCATTTCATTCGAAAAATAACTTGATTTACATTATTGTTTAAATTATAGAGTATTATATAATCTATTGCTACATAGTAAATGATTAGGATTGATTTATAGCTATTCATAATAACGTGTTCCGCGAGTGTTCTGATTTTTGAATTTAAAAATGCTAACCTAGATTCTATTTTGTATAGTAGAGCAAACGACTAACAGATGTCGCTTGAAGCTGTTTTATTAAAAAGTAAAAGTTAGCCGTGTAGACTTTTTATAAAACGTTGTCTAACAAATATTATTCAATTTTGGATTTATTATGTGAGGACTACGCCTATAAGATATTCAAATAATATTGAGTATCGAGAAATATGCATGATAAACTTTTGGGTCATTTTGATTGAAATTATATTACAATAACTATAATTCAATTACAATATCCGATTTCATCCCTTATTTTACACCCTGTATATAATATTTTGGCGACAAAAAGTTGCCTATTTGCTTTCCCCCCGGTTAAACAACTATCTCTAAACTAAAATTTATCAATATTTGTTGAGGTTTGTCCGTGAAAGCGTCACAAACAAACGAACAAACTCAAATTTGCATTAATAATAAATATTGCATTAAAGGTCATACATTTTGCATGTACTATAGGCTCACCCACATTACGCTTTCCAATATGGTGTCCATGATGGTCACACCGGAGACGTGAAAAACCAACACGAGGAACGCGACGGTGACGTCGTCAAAGGCGAATATTCTTTGGTGCAACCCGATGGCATCACCCGCACTGTGCATTACACCGCTGACCATCACAATGGCTTCCAAGCTCAAGTTTCCTACTCCGGTCACGCCGCTCACCCACAACCAGTGCACAAGGCTGTCGTCGCCAAGGCTATCATTCCAGCCGCCCCCGCCTACTACCACCACTAAGCGGTTTACGCCAAGTTCGTAGATAATGTCTCACTTTCATACAATGACCATCTTTTATGCACACTTGTTTATTCTTCATAAAGCACCCAGGAAAGGGTGCGCAACGCCGTGGAGTTTATTTTTGTATTTATAAGTGAATTTATTATTTATTAAGAGAATATATATTTATATATATTTTTATATTACGAAAAGAAAGAGAGAGAAATATAGTTTTATTTTATTTGCACTTTTTTGTTTTAGTTTTTAATTGCATTTAGCAACGACTTTGCCATCGTTTTCTTGTTTTTTTTTGCAACGTTTTCACCCAAAAGAATTGAAATGCTAATATGTAATGCAATATAGCGCCATCTCGCTTTGCATTACATAACTTTGCCTACTATTAAATTTCTATACTAACTTTCATCCCCTTTTTTACACCAGTTTTATTTTTACAACAATATGTTGACATAAGAATTTTTTTGAAGGCCAAATATCTCTGCACCAAAATATATAAAAATTGATGAAGTTATTAAGTAAAAGAATCACAATCAATCTGTGAATAATTATTTTTAATAAGCTTTAATAGACAAATAAAAATACGTTGGTACTAATAGCAATACATGAATTCAATTATTGAATTGCATTACTGCATTGCATGTCGATCTAGTGCAATATGAATAAACCGAGAAATACATTGCGTCAGTATTGCAATTCAGTTTAAAGCAGCAAATATAACAAAATTGGTATATATTTTTTTAAATTTAATTTAATTATAAATATCAATATTTAGGGTTTTAATTCATTGTAGTAGTAATAATAAGTTATTGCTAATTAACTTCCTTCTGCTTTTGATTTGCAGGTTTATAAATCTTTTATGAATAATTAAAATGTTTATTACATTTGCAGTGTCACCATAGGATATTATGAAAGTATCAATTTCTTCATCTATTTTCCGGAAGCCATGAACTCCTGAACTTAATGCAAATCAAGTGAATGGCCATTTTGGTTTGTATATAAACCTGTGAGATTTGATTGCATATGTCAGACAGTTGCATCTTGTGCAAAGGTATCAATAACTGTCGAGATGATAAAACAAGTAAGTTTAAAAAAATTTTAATAGAGTTTGTTTCTATTTTTGGATATAATATTGTGTTGTGATATAGATTTTAATTAACTGTCAACAGAGACATTGCCACTCTGGCATAACTTGTTCAAGACATTGGCAAGGCAACACAATATTAAAACTAAAATAGAAATATATAAATTAATTGATTGCACTTACAGAATAAACACTAAATTATTGTTTTGATAAGTTTTTAGTGCAAGCTATCTTATTATTTATTTGCAATCAAGTGCAATGTACTGAAAACGCAAATTCTTTCCAAATATTTAAATTGGAGAGCAATTTAGAAAAGAAAGTAATTGTTGGCAAAGGGTATACAAATAATGGTAAATTAATTTCGGTCATTACGCAACCATTTGTCATTACCAGAGATATTGAAGTGAAAGATCTTAAAATAGAGCCAAACGTTGATGTTATCGTAAGTACAACTGCTATACATTCTAAATTTGATTGTTCTTAATCACTTAAAGCGATTTGATCATTAAATAAGATGACTTTACTGCACAATACGTATATAGTTTACAATTTCTTTATTTTAGGTTAAGGCCGGTCCAAAATATGGCTTCCAGTATGTAGGACCGGCTCCAGTCACTAAAAACTTAGAAAAACATAGTGCAGATCTGTTTAAAGGACAGAATACGTTGGTGGATACATCAGGTAATAGCAAAACTGTATTTAGTACTACCGAAGCGTATGTGATTCCTCCAGAGCACGCAGTTTTTGCTGAGTCTGATAAAGCATACACAATTGGAGTTGCGAGAGGAGATAACAGTGACTGGGAAATTGAAAAAATGTATGAAGCGATCAAAGCGCTTAATGCTTCATTGACTGATATTAAGTAATATTACTTAAACGTTATTTATTAAATGCTCATTTGTTTATGGCAAGTAATAACATGTGGAATTATCCTGTATTGTTTAAATTAGCTTAATAAATAGAATTTAACAGTATTAACATCAAATTTTTCTGTATGCTTCAAATTTTCCATTTTTATCCGCCACTTTACATATGGCTTTAAAGATACAAATTTATCACAACACATTACAATGAATTCAATTATGTTTTAGAAGCATTATGCCTTTAAAAGACTTCTAGTATGGCAGGACTGCGAGCCAAATTAAAAATTAGAGGTAACAAATTTGTAAAAACGGCTAAATTTACAATACTTAAAAATACATATATTTATTACAGTTAAGTTGTAATTCAAAATAAAAATAAAAATAAAATATAATTTAAAAAAAGAATAGTTACGTATTCGTAAAACAAGATAAATTTAATATCGCTAAAAAAATAACAATACACCTCATTAAATGTATGTCTTTGAAATAAATAAAAACATTCTCTCTGCCTAAGTATTAACGAACAAACTCATCGTTCTTATAATATTGTATATGTAATTAGCACGAAATTATAACTTTTTCAATCCACAATTACACATTGGTTAGATATATACAGGCTGGTTATTGCTGTTATTCTAAGATTAGATTAAAATTTTCCGGGTAGAATTAATGTAGTACGCAAAAACACAAATATAGAATATGTCATTTTAAAAATCTGTAATAAGAAAGCAATTCTATTAAATAAAACATTGATTCTAAAATTATTACCAAAACTAAGGAACGCAAATCTGCCAAAGGTAGAGCAAATTTGTTTTTGTTCAAATATAAGTTCATAAACATGAAGAACTTGCTTGTTTTTACATCACCATCCCAAGGTATTGCATAAAATGTTGCATATCTAAATCTTTCACTCTAAAATAAGCCAATTCACATCATAAACACACATTCAGAATTATTTATTATTTACTAATTGTCGCATTTCTTCCCCAACAAAACCAACAACACATGAACCAATAATATAAAACCCAAAAAGACCCAACGACAATAAATCAATTTTCTAAAAATAATTATAAACAATATTTTATATTCAATAATAAATTTGTTCACTTACATTTAATTGGGTTATTATAAGCAATGCGAGCACAATACCAGTTGAAAAATATTGCACTGACAATGGAAATTCAAAAATATTTGCTGTTTGATTCCAAGCCCTATAATAATAGGTATGCAGTAATAGTTAATAACTATCCAACCAAATAATAAACCAACATACTTTTTTAAATATTCAAGTAAATGATATGCCTTAATAAGTCTCTGTTTTCGCAGTGAATGATCTTTGATTTCTTTGGTTGCTTCAACCATAGACATAAATTCTTCTAAAGCATCTTTCGTAAGCATATATAATAAATGCAAAAAACTAAAACTGATGAGCGTCGCGAAGACAAAATAAGTCCAAAGAAAGAAAAATATTAAGTTATACAATTCGCGATATGGCCTCTGACTCAGATTAATATAGAGATACTAAAATCAATATTCTAACATTTGCAATATTTATATTCAACAACATGATGAATATTTAATACTTACACTAGGATATGCAAGGCCACACTCAAGGTCATTCGAATCTACATCACATACCTCCAATTCAAAGACGAATAAACCAACCATTACTGAAACAGTTACTAAAAAATAAATAAATTTAACTATCCACGTATCAATATTTATGTTATGTTGCATTTTCTTTTGGGTATATTCATATTGTGGATGTGTTTCAACAAACTCCCACACTTCTTGGCCCGCTGCGGACGCGATTTTAAGTGAATATGCTACAAATTGTCCGTTTAATGTTGATGTAAGCCATGACAAATTTAAAGTCACGTCTTCAAATAATTTTCCATTATCTTTAAATTTGAAAAAAATATATAGCATGTTAATTTAACAGTTACTGTATGTTACTATTTTTATTACAAAGTTGTAGAATAATAAAACTTAAATTGCCAATCACAATAAAAAGAAATGCACTGATGTTAATCCAATCTATTATAGAATGATTATTCCAATAAAAGTTTTCGGCTAAATTAAATGCAATAAAATATTGTTTCTTTGGCCACATTTTCAACTGATATTGTAGCCAGGTTTCAATAAGTAGTGTTGGTTAAGAATGTTTAGAAATTTATTAAAATTCAAAACCATTAAAAAGAAATCATCAAATTATTAATTTAATTTAATCATTATTCAATATTTTTCTTTTAATATTTTAGTATATGTATGGATAATAAATAAATAAATTATTTATCATGCTTCAATCAGATAAAGGCAATGAGACAGAACAAACAACAAAATGAATGCATAAATCAATTTATTTGATAAAAGACCACATGTTGGATCATTTTGTAGGTTAAGTACAATAAAATGTAATGTCTAAAATAACGATGATGATGAAGGAAGAACAGCCATTAGATGATATGATGATCAGTCAAATATACCAAAAAATCAATAACTATCACCACCCCAGCTTTTGACGGGAACAGTAATAACTTTCTGAACGGATACAACTTGTGGATGAATGGCGTGTCCAGCCCTAATAACTTCAGCGTTGAAGCCATTCTTTTTATCAGCGGTGTATTTTACGATTCTTTTTGTGCCATCGGGTTCAACCAGAGAATATTCTCCTTTAACGACGTCGCCATCACGTTCTTCCTGTTGCTCTTTGTTGTCCCCGGTCTTCGGATCGGAAACGCCATATTTGAAGCCGTATTTTGGGTATGCCTAAGCAAAAACGTGTTTTTAACCTAAATTTGAATGGAATAATATTTTACTTACAATGTAATCGATTTGTGGTTCTGATTCTTTGATGAGAATTGGCTGTTGTACAATTTGGATGAGTTTACTTGTCTCACCACCAAGCTCTAAGCCCAAACTTTTTCGACTGAGACTTAAGCCCAAAGTTTTACCACCGAGGTTGACTTGTTGGTATGATTCGGCGGGGGGGTAGCATTGTGCGTTGTTGATGAACACCACCACAAAGACGACAGCAAATAACTATTAATATTGATTATTTAAAATTATAGTAAAACAAATATATTTAAATATTTATCTACGAGTATATAGTTTAAACTTACACATTTGAACATTGTACTGGTTTTGATGTTTTTCTTGATTGTTTTTATGTGAACTTTTTGAGTTCTTTTTTAGTTGTTGTTGAAACTGCTTGAAGCTGTTGGAACTGTATGAGTTTAGAAGAACACCACCCGGCTTTATATAGTGCCAAAACGGCCATTCACTCAATTTGCATTAGTTCAGGAGTTTACTCTGCCGAAAAAAACGGGATGATTTTGTAATATCACGTGAAACTTAAACTTATTATGATGTTTGGTGCATGAGAAGGCACTATCAGACACTATCAAGTGTTGTGATTGGTGCGTTGAATTAGAGGGGGTGCGTGATAGGTGTAAACTAAAGTGAACTGCACAAGTAGTGCCAACAATAAAAATTTTAAGATAAAGTAAAGTAATTTAAAAATTTCATAGAATATCATTTTTCGGTTATGTTTTGGTAGTAAACGAAAAGAATAAAATGATAAATGAAAGAATTGATGAGTTTTGTGAAGATTGTGTCTGGCTGATGCAATACGGACTCATGTTAGTTCACTTTGCATTATCTTATGGAAATTAGTCATGCGTAACGACATATATGCGTAGTGTAATATTACTTGCATACAAGTAGTGTCATTTCCTATTCAATTGCTGTATAGCAGTAAATGCAACGAATCAATTGTTTGAGAGGCAGATAGCTTGAGACAGAGGTTAAGAATTAATTTTCCCAATAGATAAATATATAGAATGGTGCCAAAACTTTAAACACAATATGTAGTTTGAAAACCAGCTTTTTCTTAAATAATAAATAATTCAAATGTTTACAAATATATTTTTTTCCAAATATTCAAAAAAATATATAGAATCAACAAATATCAAAAATTAAGAAATACGAGAACACAAATGCCCAACTGGTTGCATAGAGTTAGAACTATCATTTAACCTCAAAAATGAAAATAATATTCATTTTAGGGTTAGGACGATGTCAAAATGCCATTATGTCGATCAAACCTATAAAATAACACCTAAAAATGTAATCTATATATCACACATGCTCCACTTGCGATTTTTAGTTTTTTTCCTTAATTTACATTACTAAAAGATAGACTTTCACATTCTCAAACAAAAGAGCTCTACTTTAGTTCAGTTAAGTTTATATTCCGTAGTAAATGACTAATAAAATAAATGACAAACGCAATAACAAAACAAAATTATCACCAAACAAATCTATCAGGACTGCTTCGTGACAATGTCACAGCATGACAATGTCGCCATATGGCAAAACGCCATTGTCTCTTACTGATTATAAATTCATTTATTCATAGAATACACCACGCGAATAAAGCAGCGATGCAATCAGGCGCTACTTACAACTTACAACCGGAATCTTTCAATATTTCGGAGCAGCAACGCACAAAAAAAGCGCTCGGTAAACAAATTATCGTTCCGCTGTTGTTTCGACTAATGCCTCCAATCTGCATAATCGATACATGCATAGATAACGACGTACACCGCTAAATGTAACATTCAAAATTTCTAATTATTATTATTTATATAAACATTTCGCATTCGAGTTTTGCACAGATTGCAGACACTAATATTTTTAGCGTTATGGTGGTCAGTAGAACATCGTAGGTGTAGATATTTTTAATCTCGAAATGAATATTAATTATAGATTTTTTTAGAGTTTTTACATTCAACACATGTCATATACCCACTCAAAATAAATTCATTAGAAATATATTTGATGTACGCTTCTGAGAGTGCGTGAAAGTGAAACTTTGAATTCAATGAGCAAGTTGCGCGCGATAAGGAGGTCGGGTAGTGTTGATTTGGTTGCCTAGCATTGGCAGTATAACATCTACTGGCACTAAGGTTAACTTCAGTTATTTAAATACCAGATTTGCAGGCCACCTTCGCAGATTTTAAGAAAAAATAACCTAAATTTTTACTTTTTTGTTTTATGTGTCTAATCCGTCAATAAGATTCTCCATTTTAATAAAAAGATTTCTCATAATGTACGTTTTACTTAATTGAATCTTAATTATAATTAAATAACTATAACTATGATTAAATCTAAATATTAACTTTCCTGTCACATTTTTCAACCTGGGCAAAATATTATTGCGACTTAAAAAAAGTCAGTTTGATTTTCTGTGGTTAAACATATCTCTGTGCTAAAATTGTGCAAAAATTGTTGACAAACGTACATTTGCATGTAGAATATTAGTTAAAATTTGTAGTACTTGTTGACAACACATCCGCCATTTCCTAGTTTCATTCTGAATCGTGGGTGAGGCTCAAATATTTAAATTTTTGTAAGTTTCGTAAATTCCTACCGATATTATCAGTTTTAAAAATCTAATACCCATTAAAAACACATTTTATGATATTAAGCGTATTACAAGAATGTAATATTACGCAAACATATTTTCTCGATTTCATTAAAATATCATGTCCTGATAGTAGATATGAAATGGAACAGACGATAAAAATCGATTGTGTCAAGATATCAGCTTATATAATTAAATTGATATTCGTTTAGCTAATGCTTGTCATCTACTTCTTAAGCCCTTGGGGCTTATGTATATTTCTCAACTATAACAACATTGTTATCGTACAACATCAAACTTTAAATTACATTTATTTAAATTTTTATACAAATTTCAATATGCAATGAAATTGATTCGTGAAGAACATGGCTTACAACGTTTAAAACGAAATTTGCAAAGCGTGTAGTCACGATGGCTAAAGGCGCGTGAAGCCCGTCCAAATTAAATTATAACATGATATAAAATTAAATTAAATTAAACTAAAAGTGTGCGAGCATATAAAAGGAGCACATATTTTTTGTGTTGCTTTTTACTATTTCCTTAATTTATTCACGAGTTACGCGTTCTGCGGACGAGACATCGGCAATTAAATGTGCGTAATATCTGGATTACCGAGCAATAAATGTATAAATTACAAGCATGTCTATCTTTGAGCGTTTTTCGACTTTAATAACAACATGAGCGGAGACTTGGAGAGCAAGTGGATTTGACGGAGGACGTAATTGAAGTGGCAAATTAGCAGTTATTTATTGCGGCACTTTCTTCGGCCTGAAGCTGCAGGTATTTTTGTCAATGATTATAATTAAAGAATGCCTGCGAGACGGCCACCTAGGAAATATCTAGGTTCTAGGCCTAAGCGTTATATAATTGCATTTAATAGTCTTATTAATGTTAGATTTCAATTTTGAAGGAACGCAGGTGTGCAAAGATAAAATGAAATGGTAAAAGGTAAGGTTATATTGGGCTAGGTTAGGATGAGTTATTTGAATTAATTATATCATTTTTAAAAGTTGTACTTGGTATTTTAGTGCTTGACTTGAAGTTTAATTAGGTTCAGTATTAGGAGAGTAGGGTAATGGGAGTCAGCGGGTAATGGGAGTCACCCACATATCCACGAAACAATAGTTGCGAGTAACCCCGACAAATCATGCCAATCGGCGCGTGTATCATTGAGATACGCCATTGTTTTATTTTTGAGCTCCGCTGATCTAATTTTACGGCAACGCAAGTTAGAAGATAAGTGGGGAATATCTTGCAATATTCGAATGAAACTAAGCTATAAGGGAATTTAAAAATTTCATCCTCAAATGCAATTTTCACCATCAATGCTACAAAAACTAATCATATAAATAGGCTACTTTTTTCCACAAAAGTATAAATTCTGATATGAATATTCTTCTTTAAATTAAAATTAAGAATTTTATTAACTCAGTTGGCACATAAAAAGTTAATGAAACTAAAAAATAATTAGTTAGATTACTTTTTATTAAAATCTATTATTATTCTGCTCATTACAAATTTTGTTCAGATTATAATCAAATTATCTATTTTAAGACTAGTTAAATGCGTTTAATTTTATTATTAATTATTGTCGTGTTGTGGCGCGTGTTACATATTAGATTCGACATACCCGTCATATAATATCACTGATTATAGGTTATACTGTCAATTAATTAATAAAAAACGTCCCCCACTGTGATTGCGGTTTGCCACACATATTAACCTAATAATCTCAGTTCAAGTCAACTCGAAAATCTCGTCCGTGCTGTGGTAATGATACGCGTTACCATTTCGCATAGCGTGGTGTAAAACAACGCGACTACTAATATGGCGTCACTTCGGTGACTAGTCAAGCCACCCAGAAGTTAGACGTCTACATTCGTCATATCTCAACAAGATCACGTTACATGTTACACCAATATTTACTTCAATGAAATATTAACAATGATATGTTTTCACAATGTTTTGTGTCATATATAAAATAAGTTATAGTATAGTAGGAGTATAGTTTTCTATTTTTAGGCATCCAAATATTATTGCTTAAGTCATTGTACTTATAGACCAAGAGCCAGTGACGGCCAGACTTTCGTCATTTTAGGAAAGATGAAATTTTGTCCATGTGTTTCTCCAGCACAGGTAAGAACGATCCCAAATTATGAAACCTGGATCGTGGTTCCTTTGGCAGTTAACAGCCAACAAAGATGTACACATGATGACCTATGTTTCGTTATTTTAGCAAACTCCATTTTTGCATATTTTGTTTGTCACATTATTATAACATGCGCTGCTCATTGCCAGTCACCTGGTATGGTTCCAACCTTAGCCAGACACCCCTCAAGTATATTATATTTTAACTTTTTTTACTTTCGTTATATTAGGAAAGCTGAATTTGATACACATTATACAGAGAGCTATGAAACTGTGTTTTCCAGCACGCCAGACAGTTTGGTCGGTTCTATCATCCTGCCAGACGCATTGAAAGTGTATAAGAGTTGCAAAAATTGAATTGTTTATACATGAAATTTTCGCATAATAGTAATTTTATTTCAACAAATATTTAATAATAATCCATATACAACATATATGATTCGCTCGCAAAAATTGTTGAAGTAGCTCACTCTTGCAAGGTGGTAAGCTGCTAGCATCAAAGTTGCGCAATTTTTTTTTATTAAAAGCTTCAGTTAATTTGATTTTATTTTATTTTTGTATAAACGGACGGAGCAGGCGATATTGATAACGATCAAACATCGGACTGGAGTTGCAGTGATGGCGAAAATGGAGATATCGATAACAGTGATGATTATTATTAAATATTTGTTGAAATAAAATTACTATTATGCGAAAATTTCATGTATAAACAATTCAATTTTTGCAACTCTTATAC